GACATGTTCTTAAATCACGAATCACTTTGGCCACAAGTTGAACTGCGAGGGCCTGTCCTCGGGCCAGGCACGCAAAAGTTTAACGCCAGGTACGCAACACAATAGTTGGGGCTGTGTCATTGACTGATATGGCCCATACACGAACGGCCGTTACAGCCAGCACCGACTCGTGGCATTTTATGAGAAAAGCCATCTTACTGTTACGAATGATTGCTCATCAACATTGAACACAGGGAGTTCTACGGAGTAGTTAGCTGATGCAATGACCCGCCAGAGGCTCTAAACGCCAGTCACATCCAGTCAAGCAGGGTCAATCCAATCCAACTCAGGCCGTCCTGATACCCCCCTGTTCCGCCCTTCTCTCTCGCAGGTGATCCACTGGTTGCCTGCTCGTTGTCCCTCGCCAAAAATTTGTCCGAATTAAGCATCGACCTGGAATTGCGGTTTCCTGCCTAGACGCAGACGCCCTGGTACCGCCAGCAATCCATCATCGCCAACCGATGATATGCTGCTGTGCGGCTAGCTTGCCATTCCCCAGTCGATGCCAGCAATCTGGTTCCTTGTACTCTTGTCTCTCACCCTCTCTTTCCTTTCCCATCGTATCGTCGCTCTCGGGCGTAGTGATCTCGAACTATCATCCATTATACAACCCATATTTCTAAACGTCCTGTGTTGTCCGTTTCTGTTTCCATCTGAACCAATCTAATAAGCATCTACGTAACAGCAAACATAACTGCCGATCCTGTCTTCTCCCTTGTAGGAGGTGAGCAGCGGGGTCACCCTTGTCGACAAGACTTTTTAGTGGTCAAAGGTAAGCTCCATATCCCCCTCTCCCTTGGCTCCTGCTGTAATATTCGTGCTTTTCGGACGAGAGCCTCTTTGCCCGTCTCTCAGATTTCTTCTCTCGTAAATCTAATGGTATTCTAGCTAGTCTTTTTTTCATGATTGATCCTCATTATTATTCCGGATACCTCTAATATTCTTCACCTATTTCGGAGCTCTTCCCTCGCGCCAGCCGACACAACCTCTCGAAAATCTACCATCGGCCATATTTTGCCGCCTCTCCTGTCACCTTGTGTATCCAAGTGCACGCAACCTACATATTGGCCTGCTACGCTACTCCATTGTCATTGGATAGTTGCAAATACCTGGCACATGTCCTGCTTGTAGTCCAGCGTCAGCTCTTCCATGCCATTCACACCTGGGATGAATATTCTTGGACTGTAACAATACTGCAATCGCACGGTTTGCTATGAGCGAGGATCATCCGGCCGCCAGGTACGTGCACTCATGGAGCGCTCCCCACTTTCCACCGACTATTCATTGACGATCACATTGAGCTGACCTGATAACGACTTGCAGTAGCTTTGGAGAACCAAACGCTCAGCCGCCCACGCCGAAGCAAACACCGACGTCTGCCGTATTTCCCAGTCCCGTTTTCGAAACGCCAAAACACTATCAAGGCTCCTTTGTCGAGGCCGGCGGGTTAACTCCTCGGTTTGCCGAAGAATATTCCGTCTTCAACGCAACTCCAGGCAATCTGCGAGGAACCCAAGGCCCTTTTCCAGACTTGATTCCTATCGCACCCGTAAGCTCTTCGGCGAGCCATAAGCGCTTGCTGTCTGCTGAGGGGTTGGCCATCGAAATCGCAGCACATACAAATCACTTCTCCCCAAATCCAAGCGCCACCTTGCCTCCAGTTGCTCCTGCCCACCGATTGCCGTCCTCCCCGAACCCACCCACAACCGATACAGCTTCTTCGACGGCAGGTTTTAAGTCTCCGCTAAACCCCAAGCTGTCTGAGACCCCAACTTCATCCCCTAAGAAAGCTCGACGGTGTACCACCGCCGAAGAGCCAACACAGGTCATATCGCCGCCACCTACGGCACGGAAGGGAGAGCGTTGGCTCGCTCCTGGGCTCAACATGCAAAATGACCAAAGCTTCGGTCGGTCGGACTTTCACGATCTTTCACAGCAGGAAATAGCGGCATTAATGAGTAGTGCCACCGATATGTTCGGTTATCCAATGTCTGCGCCAGCCGCAACACATTCCAACTTTTGGGACCCGACCATGTCAATGAATATGGACTTAGACTTCACCGCGGCAGGGACAAATATGTTCCAACCGCCTACACCCTCCTCCCACCGCCATACGGGCTCATTTGATTGGAATAGCGAGATTCAGCTTTTTCAGGATCCAAACGCGCCGCCGTCTTCAAATCAAGAGAATGTTCAGCCTACTAAGGAGGAGAGACCGTTGGCTCCTAAGCCAACGGCATCCGATATCGTATGCACGGGTGCGCACGACTCAACATTATTGGCATCGTTTGCCCCCGTGTTGGAGGATCCGTTTAACATGATTAGTGCTGGAGATGCGGTTGACCCTGGTCTTCTGTTCAGTCGCCCGCAAAGTGCACCCATAGCCGCTAGCTTTGGGACGACGGTACAATCCGGGACTGCAGAGGCAGCAATTCAATCCAGGAAGACACCAGTTGGCGAGGGACGCCGATCCGGCAGCGTGAGAGACAGAAAGAATAGCACCAAAGACCCTGAACGAGCAACTGCAAGCTCTCCAGTAAAATCATTGGGCAGACCTGGGCTTGGGCGGAGTATGAGTGAAAATCGAGGGAGGAAAACGGTTAGGAGAGGTTCACTTCCAATGTTGGCTCCTGCGGCAAGGACAGCAGCCCCTGACCCAGGGCTTAGAGGTAGCAAGTCGACTGGTCGCCTGCCCGGGAGAATATCGCCACTCAAGACACAGCAGCGGCTATCGAGTCTTGCATCTATCCCAGAGATGTCCCCACAAGCTCGACAGCACAGGTCTGTCCGATTGTCCATTAATGCCCACGGGCGAGCGACAGTCGAGACATTGCTAGGCCGCGGCGGCACAGCAATGACGCGAAGCCAAAGTTCTCAGGACTTGTCAACACATCGAAGTTGGTCGTCGGCCGAAGATGATTCAGATACAGATGACGAGCCTATCATCATTCCCAGTCGCAATAACTCCTTTAAAGCGTCCTTTGCCCTTCCTGATCCCCGTAAGCCGGTAGGCTCAATGTTCTCGTCAAGGCGAAGCGCCAGTGACAGAAGCAACAGCAACTCGGCCAACGAGGGGGAGAGTGAAGCGGAAACAGTCATCAATGAGAAACCAGGCAAGTACGGTGATGCGACTAGCGAACTGCGAAAGGTTGTTGAGGATCGACAAAAGCGCTCTCTTCGGCTCGGGAGCGCAACATCATCACAACGGTCATTGAATACCATTATTCGTAACTTTCCTGGAGGAATCATTTCGCCCACTAGTTTGACCGAATCAAGCTACGGTCCGGATAGCTACAACGTTCGATGTGTATGCAACAGTAGCAAGGCAGACGAGACCGACGGCTTTTTAGTTCAATGGTATGTCTCTCCTTCACCCGCAGGTTTCACCTTCCAATCTGGTAGTCTGACATAAAGCCCCTATTAGCGAATCATGCGAAATGTGGCTTCATGGAAATTGCATCCACATCACCCGCCGTACCATGCCGACAGTATACATCTGTGGCTTTTGTGCAAACACTCCCAACATGGCGGGACGTAGAACACGAGATAATGCATTGGGGATTGGATCATCTCTATCTCCTCTGGCGAACAAGTCATTTCGGTCGTTTCGGTAATGACGAAAACAAATATCTGCAAAATATTCTGCATTAGCATTGCATTCCAAGGGGTTAACGGTTTTTTTTTTTTCCTTTTTACGGCGAAATTCATTCTATTTGTTAAAAACTAGTAAAGTTTCGTGAGGACAGCATTGTAGGAATACGGGACGGAAATACATGTTTATACTTTTTGGTCTCTAGCGGAGCAAGTTGCTGTGTAAAAAAGCATACATGATACCCTAGGAAAAGAGGGTTGAGGTTGCAAGAGAATAAGAAGAGCGTGATAGGACATGGAATTAGCACTCAATGGGTGTAGAAGGTGCAGCTGTATGGTATGGCAGAGCAGTTAAAGCTGTGGGAATTATGCATGCCTTGCGACATTAGTGCAGACATGACCAGTATTTGTTGGTTGTCGTCCCTTGATTACATGTCAAGCAGGCATTGCCCGAGACTCTGTGGGCAATGTACTTAAGTAGGCTTCGTCTATGGCCGCGAGCCCACGACGGCTTCGATACTGGGCAGATAATCATCGCAGTCCTTACCGTCGGTGTTCAAGCGCCCGAGATGTGCCACCCCTTCACGCCCGCCGACAATTTTGAATCACACGCTACATACCAGGGTTCGCGTACGGATGGATCTTTCGTAAAGCGCTCACCAGACTTGCACGCATATATATATATATATACAGTGATCGAGGATTGCCTCCAGTCCCGAATTCACATGATCACGAGGCAGCATCACAAGCCACAGTCAAAGCAAGCACCCCGTGTAAAAAAGAAAACCACTCAGTTAAGCCTAAGTTAAGCAGCAAAGAGCAAAAAGAAAACAGAGGAAAAAGGAACTGGTCCAAAGTAGACAAAGATTCGCGCAGCGGGTTACCGTTACCAGCCAAGAGAAATCAGACCATTCCGACCAAGTGTTTGTAAACAGGGTTATAATTCTTTTGCTCCGGTCCGCCAGTCCTTTAAAATAAAAAGACAACCCCATGAGAGGATTTCAATCAAAACCCCCCACCAAGCACCAAAGGTCAAGTTTTTTTCTCATAACTTTGTTCCCATATTTGTTTTAATGTTGTCTAGTGGCAACATCTGTCCCTCTTTCTTCCTTCCTTCGTTCCTCTCCTTCTTTCCAGCTAACTGTCCATACACACATTTACCATTTTGGGGGGGGTTAAGGAGCATCTTTTCCAAGGATTCCCCCTCGGGGATTACCATGCGCAAGATACTCTGGAGGGCTCCCTTGCAAAATTAGGTACGTCTTGAAAGAAAGACATACAAAAAGCCATAGTGGGGGGGTATCTGAACACATGTACTATGTCAAAAATACCAAAGTCCAGGGAGCCACTATACGCCAGTAACGAGGCGCTTATTTGCCGCCGAGGCTGGGGAAGGCAGACTCATCCTTGGTGTTGATGGGAGCAGCAGAAGCAGCACCACCACGTCCGCCACGGAAGTTGCCTCCACGTCCACGGTCGCCACCGCGCTCACCACCGCGTCCACCACGTCCACCGCGGCCTCCGCGGCCGCCACCACGGGTGCGTTCAGGCTCAACGAAGCGAGGATCGAAGTCGATGGTCTGCTTGACCTTGCGCTCACGCTCACGCTGCTTCTTGCCGTGACTACCGGAGATGAAGTCTTCGTCATCGTTCTTCTCGAGGGCCTTGGCGCCGGCCCATTTCTTGTCGGGCTTGCTACCCTCATTAGCCTCGCGGACCTTGAAGACGGCGTCAATGTTGAGCTTCTTCTCGGCCTGTTGGGCGAGGTAGGTGGCGTAGGAAACACTTTTATCCTCGGGCTCGGCGGCCTCTTCGCCAGCGGCGTCCTCGGCGAGTGCCTCCTTCTTCTCAGACTGGGCAATGGCTTCACCAGCCTGCTCATCCTTCAGTTCGGCATCGCCTTCATTGGCACCCCAAGACTGGGCAGCCTGCTTCTCGGAGCCACTAGAACAGCCAATGTTAGCTTCCTTTACATGGGCGGCAGCATCAAGTAGATGGAGCAAAAGACATACGGGTGGACGCCGGTGCGGGAGGTATGGCGGTCATCGTTGTCACGGGGGCGACGCGAGCCGCGGCCTAGGGCGATTGAAACATCAGCACACCATTTTCTACGCAGGTGGATTTGCCCAAAGGGTCCAAGACGGTCCACCAGGGTCAATGATAAAATTCAAACTGCATCACTTACCCCCACGGACACGAGCTCCATAGCCACCACGGGGACCATCTCTAGGGGCTTCATCAGTGGATCGGGCATGGTTTCTATCGCTGCCGACACCACGGTCACGGAAAGCTATACGACAGCTTGATTAGCCTTGTCACGCTCAACGATGCTGCAGTTGCTAAATAAACACGCGGCCGTAGCGGATGCAACTTACCACCTTCGTTTCCACGGGGACCTCCGCGGCGGTTGCCAGTGCCGCGAGTGGGAGCAGCAGGAGCCTGGGGCTCCGTGTTGCGCTTGGTGGTACGGGCCGGGGCCTTGTCGACGGTCTTGACGGGGACAATGGGCTTGTCCTCGCCAGAGTCGTCGTTGCCTACAAATGCGATATGTGGTCAGCCTGGTGTCAACTGGGCGCATAAGACAAAAGTGATCTCGGCGGTATGAAAGATAGCCGGTGAAAAGATATTATCGAGTTGCTCGAGGGTGAGGGCCGGACGGGTTCATACCAAGGAAGGCGAAACGGTTCTGTAGAGCAACAAGACAAACGGAAAGTTAGCATTGGCTTCAACAAAGAAAGGCCAGGGCGACGCGACGTCAAGGTTCATGGCCGAGGTAATGGAAAGGTAGAGAAGAATCAACGGTTGGCATGGCCGAGATGGAGGTGTCCAGCAACGCGTTTTCTCAAGGGCATCTGATCAGGGAGAGTTGTGTATGGGGACAAGACGAAAGCTGGCAACAAGAGGCCGACGACAACGACGACGACGACGACGACGCGATGATGACGGTGCGTCGGGTCCTATATGTCGACGAGCTGCCGGCGAGGCCTCAGTCGAGCAGATTGTGGCGATGATGAAACAAAGACCATGGTTCATACCTGAGAAGCGACCTGGGACATCTTGATGGCCTTGGGCGAGTCGGCTACGCTGCAATTGTCTGTGTCGGCGGTCGGGTGCTGCTTGTGGAGGAAGGGGGAGGTGCTTAAGAGAGCATGACCTCGGAGAGGAATAAGCGCGCAAAAGTCTGGTGTCTGGGGGGTTGACGGTGGGTGTGAGGCACCAGCAAAAGAGTCAGTCAGCAGCTGTGGACTGGTGTGGTGATGGTAGTGGGAAGAAAACTGCACGATGTGCGTGGTTCCGTGTGCGTGTGGTCCTGGGGCCTGGGACGTTGTTCGTCGCCGTGGTCACTTGAGTCCTTCCCTTGCCGCCTTGGACGCTGGGCGGGCTGCTCAAGCAACAGCACTGCGCGTCTGCTGTCTGGTCGCAAGCCAGCTCTCAACACTGTGTTTGTGTGTGTGCTGCAGGCGCCTCAGTGGCCACAAGCCTTTTCCCTTTTTTTTTTCTTCCCACCCGCCGTCCGCGGTACGCCATTAACCTGCTGCAAGGTCCAGTTGGCCTCGAGCTGTGGCCCGCCTTTTCGCTTAATTCCGCAATTTGTTTGTCGTGGACTCTTGTTAGGGCTCCATGCGGGCTCGAGGTACCGACTGATAGTGCGCACACTCACCTGCTATGCGATACGCTATTACCTGTCCCACAGCCCCTGCTCCCCATCCTCGCACTAGTCTGCGGCACCAAGCTTGCCCAATGGCCAATGGTTGTGCTCCATGCTCATTCCTTATGCTCAATGCCGTTCCGACCCAGAGCTTTGGTCCAAGCTGTTGGTCCGCAGCTGTGGCGACCTCGACCCTTGTGCCAAGAACGCCGTAGAAACTCCAGTTCGTGGCTTTTGGCCGCTTGCATCCAACGCCTCGAGCTCGGTTGCCGCTCATGGTATTGCTTTTGCCTTCAGTTCAGTTCTGTTCCAAAAGCGGTGTTTGTTGGCGTGGGCGTGGGCGTGGGCGTGAGCATGTGTACCACGGTACCTAGTACGCAAGGGCATAAACTGACCCTCAGGAGCCGTTCTGGCATTGAGTCGGCATCCCGCGAGCTAGAGTAGCATACGAATGGTAATCAGAAATTTGTCAGGTGAGACACGCCTGTGTACGTAGGTTGACGACAAACTGTCTCTACCAGTTTGTTATAAACATATTCTTGAGAAGCTACTATACAATCGCCCAGTGCTGAGGGATCCCCGGTATCAAGTGCGCTGTAAGAATGTTGGTATGTATACTTGCAAAGGCCTGCCCATCTCGGGAGCGATATCGTGTTTGAGGATACATCTTGATGTTCGTTACGACATAGAGACGCAAAGTTGCCGTCATTATCTCCATCGTCCTCCTGTAGGTGCCTCTTCCTGGTTGCACTATTTTCTACAAGGTTCCGAATGTCGATCCAAGCGGCGAATTCTTTCCGTCGTCAGTGTCAAGCTCAAGGGTTCTTCTCTGGCCATGAAACCTCGAGATTTCGACGTCATTTCATTCTCTGCATCGCCACCCTCTTCATCACACGGTTTCCCGGGCGGTGATCCCAGGGGCCGCAGATGAGTTGGCGCAGCTCGTTGAGTAACCCAAGCCTGTGCCGATGGGCCACGTAGATCTGTTGACTGAGCTTCTGTTGTTTTTATAGACTGACGCAGGTACCCAATGGCAGACTTTGATGATGCAGCTTGCATTTGTACTGGTACAGGCTTCAAAGGATGCGGCCGAAATGAGCTTCCATTGATAGGATCATTGGCGTTGATCCAGACAATCCCACCACCGCACTCGACCTCGTTGTTGCGAACTAGGCGTTCAGAGGATGGCAATTGGCCCTGTAATCGTCTTCTTTTAGCCGTCTTCCAAGTCTTCTGAGGGACGAATCTTACCCCCACGGCCCTTTCCACTCGAAAACTTTCCAACCTAGGACACGTCTTCTCTGCCCACCGTCGTCTCGTCACACCCCCGTCCACCAGGTCTATTCTCTTCAATCCCTTCTGAACAACGTCATCGCCATCGAGCCCATCAACCTCACACTTAGTGATACACAAAGCACAAAGGGGAGGCTCCATCATCTCTTGTTTTCGACCGTGTTCGAGGTCGTCGTCAGAATCGCTCGGAACGGCAAGCACGCCAGCACAAAGACTTCGATTCCCGTAAAGCAAGCATCCGTAGCAAGCTCGATGCCAAAAACACCAACCAAAGCTAACGCAGTCTGTTCCACGGAAGATCAGCTCGCCGCAGACCCAGCATATTGAAAGATTGATGATTGTGAGGTAGCAATCGGTGCAAGTTAGTCGGGCAGATCGGCCGAGTACATGAGGCTCGTCGGCCGAAACGGAGAAACAGAAGGTACACGTAAATATGTTGGGTCCATGCTGTCCTCCCATGCTGTATTTCAGGGGGGCGATGTTATTCTCGTAGCTCAAAGGCCCTATTCGCGTGACACAACCATCAGGTGATTTTGTAATGATATTGGTGACTTGTATGAAGGACGGCCGCTTAACAAAGAGACCTCCGCAGTTCGGTATTTGCTAGCTAGATGTATGTGAAAACGAGCGTGATGGCGGCAACTAAATGTAGTAGTGATATGTTGAAGACATCGTATACCTAGTATCCCGTCACATAGCCCACTCGAGCGGCCGTCGATGCAGAGTGTACTCGATGGTCGGATGGAAGGAGCTTCCCGTACCCGCTACGACATGACGTTACTAAACCAACCACGACACCATTATGATCAAAAGAATCAACAATCATCTTCACTACCTAGGTAGCTAGCGTTGAACAAGAATCCTGAGGTTCATACAATCCAATATCAACAATTTTCCCCAACGCCAATATCCCCCCTTGCGCCGCAAAATTACCCACTGCCAAGGTCGGCTGGGGTAAAAATCAATCCAGAACGAAACAAAGAGTTTAAACAAGAACTATGTGGAAAGCCTGAGCTGCTTTGTTTCCGTTTCCACTTATTAGCCGTACGTGTACAGGTCGTTCACCGAGTTCATATCCAGGGTTATAATCTGAAAAAGATCATTCCTCATCCCCGCAACCCCTCAGCAGGCCTTCACTAATATATACGCTTTCCATCCATTCACCAGAAACATCATCGATCCCAGACTCCTCGATAAAAATTCGCTAAGCACGATTCTTTGGCTGCGCTAGCATATTGAGGCGACTCATACTGAGACCAGTCACCTTTTTCTTTGGACTAGCCACCACAGAAGTGCGAACAGGAGTTTTTCCGGAAATACGACTGCTTCCGGCTTTGACAGGTGTTCGAGTGAATCGATTATTTTTGGTAGCACTTGCGGAGCCAACTTTAGCAAGTCTAGGTGCCAAGAGAGCTTGCCCTTCTGGCACGTTTTCATTCTTTCGCTTCTTGGCTGCTGGTTCAGTCTCGAAGTCATCTTCATCTGCTGTAGCTCGATGGCGTTTCTTATTCTGCATTCCATGCGCCGTTCCAGGTAGCAGTTTGGTGAGAGACGGTGCCTTATTTTCCTTATTAGGGTGAGAATTAGGAGAAGGCGGCGTAGGGAAGCTGCCGGGCATGTTGCTCGAAACTACTGGGCCGCTAACGTGCCGAACACTAGATTGGCCAGGAGAGGCACCGAAACCTGTCGATGGGGCATCACCAAACTTGATAGTGCGGTCACTTCGGAATGTAAAGGTGCCTGCCATTGAGGGAGATTCGGAAACGACTCGTTGCGACTGAGAGCCCATGAGATGCTTGAGAGGCGAGAGGTCGGGATACAGAGAGCTGCTAGGAGTTGACTCTGTCAAAACTGCGTCGAGAGCTGGATAGTGCGTTTCGATGCTTTTCAGGGCAGGCCGGGGTTTGAAGTTGCCACGTCTTTGTGGCGAGGGAGAGTTCTGTACATTCACAGCAGATACAACTTCAGGAGTAAAGGTAACCCTCTTCGTCAGTTTGCGACGGGGCGTAGTGAGCGGGACGGGGGGAAGCTCCTTGTTCACTCTTGGAGGAGCTGGGGTCCGCGAAATTTGAGGGTGAGGTATAGCACTCACACCCTCCTCCGAGTCATTCTTACTTCCTCGAAGAATGGATTTCACCTTGCTGAAGCTTCGTGGGCTAATAATGCGACGCTTCAGTTCCGAAGCCTTGGATACAGGAGGGTTCAAGTTGTCCCCTGAAACAGACATGGATACGCTGTGAAGACTTGACTTTAATGGTGACTGAACTGAAGAGGTTGCCGGCTTCGTCGCGATTTTTGCACTGATTGGCGATGGAGCCGCAGCGGCCTTCCTGGGAGTGGCAAGTCGAGAAAAGATGGAAGTGGGCTTTGCTGGCGAAAACTCGACATGCCCCGGCCGAGCAATAGCAGCGTCGTCCTCCCGGCGTTGCTTGACTCTCTTTGCAGTAGGCGTCCTATTCTCTGGAGCAGTAATAGAGCACTTTCCTGGATTTGCACTCTCATTGTGCCTCTTTGAAGCTGCATGGTTGTCGCTGTCCAGGTTGGCGGCAGACGACTTGCGCTTAAGGTTGGGCTTAGGTCGTGAATTCGATGTCTCATCAGTGACTGTCTTGGCAGGAGATCTCTGGATACAAACACTCTTCTGTGAGGTTGGCGTACCATCTAGGTTTGCCTTGGAAGGGGTCCGTTTCAATGCCTTGACAGGCGTAAAACGTCCTTCTTGAGCTCTCCATGCAGAGGCGTGGCCTTCAATTGAATCCATTTTCTTGAACTCGGCCATATGAGCAGCACTGTATCGCCCGACCTTGCCCTTTGGCTTGGCAAAGGGTCTATCACCGATATTCACACCGCCTTCTGCCTCCCTCTGCGCAACGAGTTCGGCTTTGATCTTGGCGGCCTGGTTACGTATCTCTTTCAGCATACGCTGAGCCTCACCGCTCAATTCAGTATCTGCAGGTTCGCGAGCAACTCTGAAAGTAAAACTCGAGGACGGGACGCGGTTGACTTTGCTTGGGGTTCTATCCTGGCAGCCGGGGGTAGGTGCTTCCTTAGGGATGTCCGAGAAGCCCAGCCTGAGAGCAGATGAGGGATCGCCAGTGCTGAAATGATATTTGCTGGGATGCATTTCGCTGCGGGGAGGCTTCAGTGCCGACGATGCTGGAGTGCTCGGTTCTGGAAAAGGGGACTCCATCGTCGTGTCGACATCAACGTTTCTCGTCCTACTTTTGCATGGCGTCTCTTCAGCCTCCGCGACAGATCCCAATTCGGGGGTGGCTTTGCTCTAAATTGGCCATCGTCGTTAGATACAACTGATCCAAGTATACTGGTTTGGCGAAAAATCATGGCATCGTACCTTGACAGAGCTGGCCAACCTGGCCGAACGGCGACGCGGTGGTGACATGATCAGGCTGCTATGGTCCAAATCGTGGCTGTATCAATGTAGTTGTTAGAGATAAGTCTGCTGAGCAAGCCGCGGAACGGACCAGGGTGCATAAGGAAGAGGAATGCCTTGGGGACCGTTGTAATATGATGTCAAGTGGAGAGAAATCGATGACCCGGGTTTGTTGATGTTCGTGGGGATGGTTTGTTTACTTCAGGTGGTCCGAGCTTCCATCCAAGCTCACGCGCCGCCATTGTGAGAACGGAGTTCCAATACAGTGCATAGTTTGCATATACTGTATAGCTACTGTACTCCGTACAGTATTTTCCGACATTGAATTTCTCCATCAGGGTAAAGCATCTTGTGTCAAGTCACAGCACTAACAAAACCGTTCGCTTAATGTCGCTGTTTCTGCAGTGGAATTTTCAAGTTCTTCAGGTCTGATATAGTGAGCAGTTTGTCAATGTTCTCTAATCTTTCCTTGGACAGGACTATCGAACCCGGCTTGGGGAATCGGTTGGACGAAGTGGGGTTTTTAATGCGTCTGGCAGTTGAAGACAAACATGGAGCCCTAGGACAAGAAGAGGTCGGTAAAACTTCTCAGTCATTCGAGTTCAAATAACAGCACAGAATCTAGGCCATGAATCTCTCCTCTTTTCTTCGCAATCTTCGTCACTCGACAACTACTCGTCAAGACCGCCTCTTTCGCGTTTGTTGCGGGGATGTCGCTAATTGCCGTCATCGGCTGTTACGGAGACGTCAAAACGCTCCACTCACACTGACCTCATAAAAACATCATGGCTCAGTGGCGTGTTTGAGGCCAACCAACAATCCATCCATCCTGGTACCACCGTGGCTGAAAAACCTAGAGCTTTGGTGCAGGGGAATGCCTGGAGATGTGGCCCTGACCACCAGCTTGTGCTGCCGCGTGAACTCCCACGACTTGGCTAGTGTTACGGAATAGTCTTTGGGGCACTTTCTGGAAACCATATTGCACAACCCGGCCAATGCGAACAGCTTGAAGCTGGTGTTTTGAACTGCAAAGCATCTCAGCTTCGACGTGGGGGACCGCGACGGTAAAGACGGCGAGCTGACAAGACTGTTACGGGGTACTATGTAGAATATGGAGGTTTCCTGGTCTTTTGGCGAGTCTGGTACACTTGCCAGACATGACCAATTCACCACTGGTCCCCCGGACTCTAATTACCGACACAAGGTCCCTTTCAAACATGTCAATATGATTACGGGCTACGATAAGACCAAGAAACAACGTCGGTCATACTTACTACGATATGACACGTCCCCCCATCCGGGCACAGCTGCCTTGCTAAAGGGTGCGTGTGAGTTGGCGAAAATTTATGTTACGCGAAGGGCCGCCATCTGTGAGGTTTGCCTCCTCCAAAGGCTTCTCGACTGCTTCGTCGCCTCGAAGATGCACTGTACACCTCAATCGCTCTACCAGCGGAGGAAGTCGGGCAGCATCAATGTCGTCCAGCCATGTTGTTGAAACAACTTGCTACTATGTACTGACAGCTCACCATACTGCATCAAGGCGTTCCAAAGAAGCACTGCTAACTCACTGGTGATCTTCAATTCTTGACCGACGTCCAAGGAATGGCCTGAGAACCTGGAGGGACACACACACGTCAATTAGCCCAACACAAATCATTTAATGATCCGAGCAGTCATTTCTCGGCGCTCAGTCACAGAGGCTAGCTTTGCGTTGTTTAAACATTTTATTCTGCATCTCAGTCAACTCCCGAGTGTGTCGGGGAGACAGCAATGCCAGTATCAGTGTAAGAATGCCAGAGGCAACAAAGGTCCGGCCGACAATCGGGTGATGAATGGACTACGCAAGTCATATAATGAGGTAGCGTGGAAGAATTTTTCGCAACATCTAGCCGTCGCTTGTCCCGTGTATACCAACAAGGTACTTGAAACAAAGTACCACTCAGGTCGTGGCTACCAAAGGTTTTCCCACATTGGCCGCATCCACGACTTCTGACAGCCATGCTTTCCTTGTTTATGAGACGGAATAGTAGACGTGAGACACGAATGCTCACGATTTGGGTGCAGCGAAAGGGGGAGGGCCAACTGGCCGTATGGCTGGCCGGTCTGTTCCAAGCTCGGGAACACGACATGAAGTTACTCTCAGCTCGAACATCACACGGCCTCGCCGGGTTTTCACGGGTTTTTGTCATCAACTGCGGGCGCCGTCACATCCTTGAAGCAGGCTCGCCTGGTTCGTCAACGCCCAGAGATGCCATTCAATATTCTGAAACTGAAAAACTATTTAGTACTAGTGGCTTCATTCTAACCAAGTAAGATGCAGCACATGGCCCAAGATGAATTTATACTTTCCCATTGACATCTTCGCTCCTACCTTGCCGGGTTGGTTGGTTGGTTGTTGGTTGGAGTATTGCGATTTCCTTGTTGGACGCGGGTGCAACTGCCTAAGGTACGTAGCAACTTGGAAGTCCCCTGACCCACGGGAGATGCTGTAGAATTCAGCCACGCCAACACCCAACCAGGTTTTTAGAGTCCAGACAGCGTGACAACGTCTGGAACCCTCAATGGTCGTGTCCGGACTTGATGGTGTCCAACGATTCACATACACACACCGAGTTGCCAATTGGCTCCCGGAGCTGGTTCCCATGCTTCCACTCTGCCAACCGCAGGATTCATTCTACTGCAAGTCCCTCTAATGTTTCCCGTCACAACATGACGCCCGCTTTCCTAGCGTCTCATCAGTTCAAGAAGGGTGCAAACCCTCGGCTGGATATGGTGCTGACGAGACACCATAGCTATGGGGGGCCGATGCAATTGTTGCTGAGTGCAGCGTGACGGGTTCCCTGAGTATCATCAAGTGCGCCATCAGGGCGAGTGAGTAGCTGTTGGCACACTTCCACTAATGGCGAAAGATGAGATAACAGTATCGTCATCTCTGTACGGAGTAATTGGTCAACCTATATTTTTGAGACACAACTGCCGCTCGTTTGGCAACATAACAACGAGGGCGTATCGTGTACTATTAGCTTTGGGAGCGCCGATTGGCAAGTAAGATCGCTTGTAAAACCGACTCATCCACCTGCATACCCTTGTGGATAGAGTGGAATTCACGATCGGTACAGAGTATTCGCTTGTCCATGTTTTGGGGAGGGGGTTGTTTTCACTCCAAAGAAAGACGGCCAAACTGCAGTCAGTGGGCAGTCCATCACGTTGTTGACGGCACACGACGAACAGAGGGCTTCAGAGGAACATTCGAGTTATCAAGATCGTCGCCATCACTGTCACCAATATGAGGGACAACTTGTGTTCCAATCATTAAAATACATAAGGTAAGGTCGCTCAAAAACGGGAAGTCGGCTTATTCTGGCCAGCGTCTGGCTGGGTAAAAAGTCTCAACACGCCAGGACAACGGCAGGACCATGGAGCTATCAGGTACAAAGGAGGTACGTCCGCGAAACCTGCTCATTTGGACTAGTAAATCATATGCTCATAAGCTCTGCAAGTCATTTGCATGTACTGCGCGGCGAGCTTGGAAACTGCCTTAGCGGGAATGCACTTGCGCAATCAGCCATGTTCTCCTCGCCGGTTGTCGGCGCTCGCCAACCTCCAACACACTTAACCTGGAGCCAAGCCCTACCCTGCCCAGACGCAAGTGGAATTTTAGAAGCCAATTCATCAAGTGCCGCTTTGAAAAGGGGCATCGAAGAAGATTTAGTGATTTATGCCGACGCATCAAAGCGATTGTTAACGCGCATTCGTGTAGATCACTAGTCTCTTGCTCGTCAAATCTGGCGATGCCGGTGCATAAGGCGGAGATGCTGAAGAGACAACGGGTCCACGACTCGACAGGGGTGACATGGAATAAAAAGCGGGGGTATTCGCCTGGAAGAAATACAAAATAACGTGCCCCAGTGGGCTCGTTTAGCCGACTATCCTCCGTACGGATTCTGGATACTACTCCGTACCTTCTTAAGAACGAGTCTAACGAGGAATACTATTGCAGTTCGACGTCTGGCCTTCCTGCACCCCGTACCCCATGCTGGAGACGACATCGCATCGACAATGACTTGTATTTCGTGATCGGTACTCCGTATAACCTGGCACGCACATACATACCTAGGTACCTACCTCCGCCGCCCAGCCGGGCTCGGGCTGCCCCAGCTGGCGTGCGAGCCGTCGCCATGCTTGCGCTTTACAGCCAAGTGTTCCCGCCGCCTCTGGTGCAATGGGAAAGGTGGACAGGATCCACGACGAGCGCTGCCAATGGATCAAGCGAGCAGGGGAGGCCAGGTGATGTGGTAGACCAAGGTAGGCATTGGACGGTTTTTGGCCCTTCTTTGTACGGAGTACATGTACATACGGCGACTGATGGTGAGGAACCCGTTCGCAGGTCGACTGCTGGTTTGGCACAGGGTCCTGCCCACAATTGGCTTTTCCCAGAGGGGTGGCCAGAGGCGACCGGGCATAATGCCGCGCAGCAAAAGTCAAAAGAGGCAGACTGGGAGGTCTCCGCGGGCATGGCGCCCGCGCCTGGTGAACTTCCACTGGACGTGGCCTGGGAGCCAAGACGTCTCCATAAGGCGCAGGCTTGGGAGTTGTGGTTCGATGTCGGCACCGCGAAGGCAGTACTATTAGTACATAGATCAAGACCGCCGAGTCCGCTCCACCGCCTGGGACCATTCCGACGCTTCAAGAGATGCTCGAGGGGCGGCGCATGGCGCTCAACACTGTGTGTACTATAATCGCCCGGGGGTGGAGAGGGGAGGAGGGGCTTGACGGCCTTGACGGCCTTGATCATGGATTATCACGGTGATGGGCTGGCTGGCTCTCCACCAGGCGAAGTTGAGAAACGAGCCGGGCCAGGCCAGACCACGCCTGGAGGAGCAGAGGAAATGGAGCACTTGGGGTCCCCGGGCCAGGTCCAGGCAACTAGTACGGAGTAGAGGGCATGTACTCCGTAGTAGTCGCAACGTCCGGAGAGCTGACGTGGGTACGTGGGCCAATGTCGAGAGTTTTGACCCAGGTTACTCCGTACTCGATGTGTAGACGAAGACGTCGCAGAGAGGTACTCCGTACACGGGCTTTGAAGGCAGGAAGTCGGCAGGGCAGGGCAGGACAGGACAGGACAGGGCAGGGCAGCACTCGACCAGACCAGACCGTCGACGGCTGTTGCGCTCCCGCCCAGCGCCGCCCAGCGCCGCCCAGCACCAAGACAGCGCCAGCACCGGATGGCACCCCTCTCCATGTCCGCTCTCACTTGAGCAATGCCATTCCATTACATAAAAGCGACGGGGACGCTTTCTGGTCTGCAAGTCCCCTTGAACATCCAAATCGTGGCCGTTATCATAGATCCGGATCCCGCATCCATCCAGACGGCGCAACAATTGCACCTCGTTTCGTGTCGGGGACAGCATTTCTGCGGCTGTCTGCGCCTCTCCTCCCCACGCTCCGGTCTGGTCGATTGACTTTGAAGCGCTCAAGTGCTGCCTGTCCGTGGTAGCAGCACTTGGGCAGTAGCCGCCACAGACGCGCCGTCAGCTTCCTCATCTGGGGCCAACATCCCGTCGGACTGGAGGTCAACTGTCATCAATCAACCGGCCTTGCTTTTAACTCCCCCCTCTTCGTCCTACTCGACCGAGTACGGAGTCTTGTAGGCTGCTGGCGCCATTTTGCCCTGTCTCAGTGCCCGCGCTACACCAACTCGCATCTACCAAGCAAAATCTTCCCCGTTATCACGGCGACGCACGACACACTGCCCACGACGTACAAAGCTTCCCGGCTTCCTCCTATCGCTCGCTGCATTATCACCCGGGCCCTGATTTCTTGCCCTTGGCCTGGCCAAATTTCGGTTTCTCCCGGCTTCGCCTTGACCCGTCTGTCGTCCCTCGTCACTGTTTTGTTCTCCTGAGACTGGGGCGCTTGCCGCACCGCGGCTGTCATCTTAGAGGCCCAGCGCCGTGACCCTGAGGAATGGCCGACGAGATGTCCATCGATAACAAGCCCAACCCCCCGCGCGACGAGTCCGACGACTCTGCTGATTCCACTCCCGAGAGAGAGCAGAACAACTCAGCAACTGTTTCTGGCAACAGCAACAATGCCGTCCAGGACGCCCAGCAACCCAAGCGGAAGGGTGGACGCAAACCGGTGAGTCCTTGTTCTGGAGAGACTTGCCCCTCACCTGAGCTTCGAGTCTCACGACGATGACACCAAACAACACCACAATGCCGGTGCACAACCTCATCCACCACCACGTACACTACCACTGCCACCTACATTTCCCGTGCTCCAGAGTTGATTATCCAATCTCACTGCTCCGTCGCAATACCTCTTCGAACCTGCGTTGCATTTCCAGAACCGCTCTCACCTCTGTCGCCCCGTGCTGTTCGCACTGTGGCTGGACTGGGTTGTTAAGTCATGTCCACTGTACTCACTTACATGCCACCACGCAACATCACTGCGTGTCACCATTTGCTGACATCCTGGCGTCAGATATACGCTACATCAGAGGAGCGTAAACAGCGAAATCGGCAGGCACAGGCCGCTTTCCGTGAGCGCCGGACCGAGTACATCAAACAACTCGAGGAAACCATCCGGATCCACGAATCCAACCTGCACAACCTCCAGTCCGCCCATCGCAATGCCGCCGACGAATGTTTGATGCTCCGCTACAAGAACTCGTTGCTTGAGCGAATTCTTCTCGAGAAAGGTCATTCCTTTCCAGCAATGACATTCCAGTTTGACGATTCGTAAGGTTAACGTAGCTTGTTTCAATAGGCATCGATGTCCAGGCCGAATTGCAAGCCAAGGCCGAGAGTCCTAACCTGGGGCCTGCGCATGTCCCTCAAAACATAGTGCAGCCGCCTCCAATTCAGAGACCCATCATGAATCGACAACACCACAACCGCAAGTCAAACTCCAGCATTGCCCCGAAGCTTGAGCCAGGGTCTGGAGCTGTTGGTTCTGCCATGCAGGCTCCCAAGTCTGCCACCTCCCCAAAGAACCGCCCTACGCCGTCATCTCACTCCAACTCTCCCAATAATGCTGCCTCGACCTTCTCTCCCGCTCCATCAGACAGCATTTCCATGCGAGGCTCTATCTCAGGGCTTACCCGCCAGCATCTCTCACTAGGAGGTACTACTCAGCCATCCAGAAGCACGGTGCTTCAGGTTGCCACGCCCCGAAGTGTCGCTGGCACGGGCGCCTCTTACTATCCTACGCCGGCATTCCAAAACCACGTTGAGCAAGCTGGTGAGTTTCCATCTTTGCGTCGACAGTACCGTCTATGTATTACTATTTTTTGTCTTTTGCTAATGTAAACAGACCACGATTATGACAGCCGAGCAGACATGGTGGACGACTCTGAAATAGAAACTCCCAGTGGACACGGCAGTTTTGGGGGCGCCTTCAACAGCGACACAACCCAGCCCATGCTCCTCTCTCCCACTTCTACTGGCCCTGCGCATCACGAGCAAGGGGGACACCAGGCGTCGCTGTCTAACCACCACTTCCCATCCATGACCCAGCTGCTCGACCACCAGAACCTGGACTGGGATCCGTTCGGTCTGAGCGCCAGCATGGCTTTCCCTAACCAGCAATTCCCCTTTGACCAATCCAGCTTGCGGTGAGGGGCGTGTGTCCCACGCAATGGACGACGAGTTGCAGTTTTATCCACGAAATTTCTCTCTGCGAATATGTCCTCTCCCAGCTAGCTGGGCAGGAAATTCCCATGCACTGCAACTCTTGTCATATAGTCAAATACTATAGTCACAGGGTACGCCTCGCTGTGGTCAACAATCCCTTACGAACCGCCACGCTCCTGGCAAACGATGTGTTTGGTCCATCATGGACACGACGCTTTGGCCAGTACACAATGCACAAAACCCCGGTTGGAACGCCGGGCATTCGAAATATGGTGTCAACCGCTACTCCGCTGCAAAGCAAGCAAGTATCATATGCGTGCTCCATGCGGAGTGCAAGGTTCTACCGTATAGGTATCAACAACGACCTGCGCGGAAACACGCAAGCCTTTGCTCTAGCTGAGATGCTGAAAGACATGAGCATTTTGCCTAAACCTTGGAACGAATGTTTTTTGTTACGACCATTTATTATTATTTTTTATATTTGGCTGCGCCGATGCTATTACAAGTACCCGTCTTTTTTTATAAAAAGTTATTTTTGCTTGGCCAAGTGTGTTGTTGTGTCCAACTTCGCCAACAATTTCTGATGGCGTGATGTCTGCGCTCCTTCCAGGCAACTTTCGGCAATGTGGTCTTTTTATCGCGATGGACGAGTTCTAACCAAAGATACCCAGCGGTTCGCTGCTCCTAACAAGACGGATTATTAAAAAAGCCTTTTTAATAAAACAAAACTCGGGGTCCAAGGCAACGGGATAATCAAAAGTGATGTGTGCTTTTACTTGTTTTCGTTATTTATTGGCGTTTGGGGGGCATGGGAGAAAGTGCTGTGGGAGTAACTTGGAACCAACGCGGACCCAAAAAAAAGTACGATTTGTCTACATTTTGATTATTGCGGCTACAGGTGCGGTCTAGTTCTCATTCACTTCGCAAAATAGCCCTTTTAGCGTGTTTGAATGAGTATCTGATGTTGTTGAGCGTACGTAGAGCGAGTGCGCTTGTCGGGTCATGGATATACTATTGGGTCAGGTTTATTATCATGTCATTGGAGGAGCGCTTTCACGCGGTCGGTCATTTCGCCGTCCATCCTTTGTACATTAATTGTTGTTTTTGCACAAGCGGTTATTTTTCCTCCCCCTCCTCCTCCTCCTCCCTCAGTTGCTGTCTTGTTTTGTTGTTTCCTATCTAGTCGATGTGCGGATGATGTGGAGAGCATAGGTGTGGCATGTCTCAGGTCCGTGTAGGCTAAGGGAAATTTCTCAGATCACGAGGACAACTGGGCTGACGGACGACGATTTGAAGGGGTGGGTTTCGGGGGGAACAAACGGCGACGGAGGAGCTGGGGAAAGCGGGTCTTTAGTTTCTGGCCGCGGTGTGGGCGCCACTCGTGACGGGACGGGCAAGGGTGTCGAGTGGGAGTTTGTGGGGAGAGTATAGGGTAGTGGGTGGATTCGGGGCGTTCGAGGCCCCGTCATCTCTGCTTCGCTCGGGCTTTGTTTGGGGACGGGCGAGGCGAAGGCGAGTTTGTTGGCAAAAATTGAAGCAGTTTGATGGGCCGTAGTCGGCGTTTACCAAAAAAGCAATTAAACGTGAGGCGTTGTCACACCCGGGGTAGCATTTTTTGTGCGTGGGGAGTCGCACAAACTCATTGGCCGTGCGTGTATGCTTAATTCTCCCGGTTTCACAGACGGCGGCCCATCCGACCTGTCGAGACACTCGGTGTTACCCTGCTGCAGGTGCGGTCGATCTTGGAGGCTGGCGGGCTGGAAAGGCGAGGCCGTGGGCTCGAATTGCCAAGCGACGGGGGTGCTCGATTGGAAACCGAGGACTTGAGAGCAGAGTTACACGGCGCAACCCCCTTGAGGCCCAGAGGGCCGGGAAAGGATGGTCATGTCGTGTTACCTTGTGCTTCTGGGCGCCGAGTCAGGGAAGCTATTCACACCTGCAGGAAGGGAGTCATTTGGCTTCTGTCCTTTGCTTCTTCTTTTTTTTCCCCGTCTGGTGCGCCTCTCCACTGGCCAATTCACCGGTACGTTGGAATAGGATGGGGGAGATACAAAGCGGTCTGCGATATACACATGTTGCCGAAACGGGTTGCAGCACAATTTATACATGGGACTTGATGGAGCTTTACAACGACAACACCGAGTGACTCTGTGAATGCGGTTTCACACCTGCGTGCCTACCATCTCGTTTTCAAATAGTACATGTCTCCTGCGGCATCATGCAAAAACACCCAACGCCAGGCAAAACCAAGCCACTGCCAGGAGAGAGCACGACGACGCCGCCGTCCTAGCAGATGAGCTCTTCACGCCCCAGAGCTTGGCGACGGCTCCGGCCTGGGAGCCCTCGTCGATGCTACACACCGCACCGCAGAGCGTGGCCTTGCCGCCTCTCGTCAGCAGCTGCGCCGCAGCCCCGCGGCGCTTCCGTCGTGAACGCTGACTGTCCTCGGTCGTGTTGTACACCATCTCAATCCACTGAAGCTGCAGGTTGGATTCCGCGCCAACACTCATATTCCCGCTCCAGCTGCCCCCGTCCCCCCACGCGTTGAGGTTGATGGCCGCCGGATCCCGGGGCACCTGGTACGCGATGTTGGCAACCTCCTCGCCGTCGACGTACCAGACGCTCCTCGTCGGCGTCCAGTCCAGTCGGTATACCGCCCAGTCCGACCACTGCAACCCACGGGGCAGCGTGGCATTCCTCGTCGCGTTGGCCTTGATGCCGTCGCCGTTGTCTGTGTACCCCGGCTGGTTGGTGTACTGCACTTTGTTCCCGGGCCCGCGCGTTACAATCTCCATGTCGGCCTCCTGGATATCCGCGAGCTTACTGGCATCGCGGTATGTGAAGACGGCGGACACTGCCCCCGGCGGGCCGACTGTTCTGGCGAGCATACGCAGCGAGAGGTAGTGGTAGTCGGAGTTCTGGGTCTGGAACTCGGCTGCAGTTTGGAAGTTGGACAGCCGCGCCGTCCGCATGGTTAGGTAGGTTGCCGACGAAGCTGACGCGTCTTTATTTGGCTCAATGAACACGTTATTGGGCGAGTTGACCATGAGGACCGTCGCGTCGCCCGAGAAGCCGTTGCCGTTGCGCTTGGAATTGGCCCATGTTTGCAGTGCCCACGTCTTTGTCCAGGCTTCCGATTTGAAGTAGTCGCTTGTGGGTGGCGCGTTGGGCGTATCTTCGGGGTCGCTGATGACGCTTGGGACGGATGCGTGGTCCTTGAGGCTGCGGAAGTCGAAGAAGAGGTGGTTTGTAAAGTAGGTTGCTTGAGTGCCGTTGGTGAGGAAGCAGTCGCACGAGGAGTCGGAGACCACTTCGACGGCGTGGATGAGGGTGAAGACAGAGAGGCATGTGCTGAGCAGGGCTGCAGGGCGGCGCATTGTGACTTGTAATCTTGATGCTCGCTCTCAGACCCCCGGAGCAGTTGACGTGGATGGCAGCGGGAGGTTTGCTTTTTGTTATTGTTACACAAGCACAGAGGACGCACGGGTCACACTCTCCTTCGCATTGAAAGCCACTGGGCTTCACGTCGTTGGCGGGCGCAGCTGATGGCCTGCTTGATGAATGGAGTCGCCGGGGCATTTCCCCCTCCAGTCAAGAACTCATCCCATTGATCTTGATGCCAGAAAAGCGCAACCGCGAATAGAGCTGAGAATCCGACGCGGCCTGCCCGCAGCGGCGCCTCCGTGTGCTTCATTGAGATCAACCATGCTTACACCACTAGATGCCGTGGTTTTCCATGAGATGGTGATTCCTGTACTTTGTACAGACTGAATTGACGCCATGTGTTATTTTGCCTTCAATTAATGAAATGACGCATCTCGTCTCGAATCCGTAGCACCAGGAGGGAATGACGTCTGACCGGACCCAAATTTTTCCGCAGCCGGCAAGGCCTGTTCAGCTAAGCTAGGCACCTCGTCTCCAATTTGCGACTCGTAACCTCACACCACCATTGACATTATACCCGCCTGATTTACAGATCGCAAATAAACTGCGCATCATTACCTGGGGAAGAACCCACCACTCACGGTCAATCCGCGACCCCAACATTTTGCTAGACATCCCGAAACCGATTTGCTAAGTCTCAGGTCCATAAACGTATCATGACAAACGCTCGCTCTCCGGGATGCTCACCATTGTAGAAGACAGATTCCCAGGCCGGATAGACTGTCCTTCCCTCGCCCCATAGCCATGAGTGCTCCGTCGTCGCCAGAGCGCGCAGCCGCGGAAGAGACTAGGTCCAAATCGCCAGCCCGCCCGGCCAGCGCGCAGGACGTCGTGGAACCCGTCTCCCAGGTCGCCGCGCCAGCCAATCCCGACCCAAACGTAGAGGACGCCAACTCCCCCGACGAAGAAGAAGAAGAAGAAGAAGAAGAAGAAGAAGAAGAAGGCGAAATAGACGAAAGCTCTACGAGCCACGCCACAGAAGAGCCAGGCCATGACGGTCCGCCACTCCCCCAGGAACCACCCCCTTCAGGCGACGACGACGGTTGGGACTGCCAATGGGACCCCAACACCCAGGCATGGTTCTTCCACAACCGCTTCACCGGCAAGACGCAGTGGGACAACCCGCGCATCGTCTCCTCCTCCTCCTCCGCGAATGACCGTGCGGCCACGTCTCAAGCCGCAGCTCCCCAACCGCCAGGGGAACTGCCCCCCGTGAGCGGCTACAACCCCGCCATCCACGGCGACTACGACCCCAACGCATGGTACGCCCAAAAGTACAACCAGGCAGACGAGCCCTCTCGCCCGCTTGAAGTCCCGAGCCTCGACGACGGATACACCTCCGCCGCAGCCTTCAACCGCTTCACAGGCCAATTCCAGCATGAAGACATGGGGCCGGGGCGCCACACGGACGAGGCCAAGTCTCGGCGGCAGATGAATGCCTTCTTCGACGTAGATGCGGCTGCGAATGCCGACGATGGGCGTAGCTTGAAGGCAGAGAGGGCCAATAAGCGTATCAGTAAGTCGGAGTTGAAGGCGTTCAAGGAGAAGAGGAGAGCAAGGAAAGAGGAGAAGAGGCGGGCCTGGTTACGAGATTGATTACCCGGTGCGTCCTGCTGTTGTAAAGGGTTCGAAGGCGTTTGGCGATCTCTTGGCGGGCGTTTTGGGTTATTTCTATGCCTTATCTAAGTACACGAGCGGACTGTCGGGCACATTTGACTTATTTTCAATTGGGGTATAGAGAATTGGATTTTAGTCCTGCTCGTCACTCGGGGACGATGAGCTTGGCCCTTTTCTATGAATACTTGACATAAACTTTTTTGATATCCTTGGGAATCCAAATCGTGGCCTGGCCACTTCTATATGCAAACATTTCACCCCCCTTCCCCGTACGCCAATGGTTGCTGTGTGAATTGTTTTTATTCATCTTCCTCCTCTTCATCGTCATCTAGTTCCATATTTAAGTGGACGCTTACATCACTGTCACTATCGTCGTCGTCTTCAGCAGCAGGAACTGGTTCTGACAAATTTGCAGGAGCAGACTTGTTTACTTCCTGCCGTTTCGACGGTGCGGTGTCTGCATCTTCGTGTTTGCGCTTGGTGACTGAATCATGTCTTGTAACTGTGGCTACATTGAATGCATTGGATGCTGTGGCCTTGACTTCAAATGGGTTGCTCTGGATGGGAAGATCGACCTTTGGTACCGCAGGCTTGACCATGTCCTGGAGAGACTCGGTCGCACGCGCCTCTTTGTCGATTGGCTCGTCGCCGCCGCCCATTTGTTCTTCTTCCTCGTCTTGCTGCTTCTCTTGCTCAACCTCGGTGACTGATGCTACAAGGTCGATGCTTCCTGGAACGCTTGATGTGCGAAGGTTGCTGCGCAGAATCTCGACGCCTTGATCTTGTGGGTACTGTTGTGATAAATGCGGCAAGATGCTGGGGTACATGCGGCCGCGCTGGTCCTTGTACGGGTTGAGAACACTCGATAGCATGGCATCGCGGTTTTGTGTGAGGATTGCTGTCTTGTCGAGGAGACCACGGAGCGTGGGTTTCAAGTGATGCTGGGGCAGGCTTGACAAGAAAGCGGCGAGCAAGTCATCAGCAGCACCCTTGTGGGCGGCGTCCAGGTGTACTGACGTCTCAACGGAAGAGGCTTGTGGCTGCAGAAACAGATCTGCATTGGCAAGACCGCTCTTTTTAGAGTCGTTTTTTGAAGCAGTGGCTGCTTTGGGGATGGCTTTGAGGAATCCAGCATCTTCCTGCAAATCGCGACAGCAAGCAGCGATAAGAGGCTCCAGAACACTCACCGTTGCTCTCGACATTGTCGGTCCCGCAAGAGGTAGGACGTTATTCAAGAGCCTGTAGCCCGTCATTCGTACTGCTGGGTTGGATATTCCAGACTTGAAGACCCGGACCAGATGGTCCAGCACTTCGGGAATAAGAGGAATCATCCCTTGACGGAACCTTTGCAACATGACGGAAATCAATGCTAGGGCCGACATGTGAATGTCTGGAATGGCGGCCCAAAGTTCTGCCTTCTCCTCTCGGCCGATGGCTGCATTTGTCTCCACGGCCTGGTCCCAAGTTTGACATTTGGGTGACTGTCTTGCGATAAGACAGACTCTTGAAATTGCATCTAGGAGAGCACCGACGGGTATAACAACGGGGGCCTTGGTAGGATAGCGTAGACAATCAGAGAGATACGCAAAAATGCCTACTAGACGCTCCGCTCCTGAGCTCAACCCAGACCAAGGCGGCAATTGATCTCCTGAATTGCTGCCTCCGCTTGATTCGCCCTCGGGGTTAACACGTTTTCGGTTGTATCCTGAGGTGCCCTCCCAGGATTCATCAACAGCCCGGAGAACTTGATCTGCGGTAGCATGTAACTCTCGAAGCAGGCTATCAACGATCTTAGCCCATTCTTCACTCCCACCTGATTTGGCTGCCACACAGTGAAGTGAGATGACGACTTTTCGGGCTGCTCGCTGCAAGGACAGGGGGATAAGCAAGTCATCCGAAAGCGTTGGCGCCAAGTAACCTCTGACGGCTGAGCGTATTTGGGAGCTGAATGGCCGGAAAGTGGTAGCGTATATAGGAATGAGGGTTGAGAAAGCATCGCAAATTGTCTCAACAACGCTGAGAGGAGCAGATGGGTCTTGACCCGTACTTCGGGGCTTGATGAGTTGCAGACATGCCGTAATGAAGGTCGGAATTGTGCGGGTTGCAATTTCCCGAACTAGAGTTTGATATGGCTGAACTAGTATATAGATGCGTGCTAATGTTGCAACAGCCAAGTCCTTTGCTGGGAACGAGTCACCTTTCTGTAAATAAAGTTAGTCGCCAGGCATAATAAACAGGTGGTGTTTCCGATGGGATGAGTTACCTGAACAATAGACAACAACCCGGCAACCCAGGGTTCAGAAACTCGGAGCATTTCCCATCCTCCTACATCAATAATGGCCTTGACGAGGCCAATGGCAGCAAATCGAGCCTCGCGATCCCGTCCTTTCAACAGGGTCGTGATGCTGGTTCTCAACTTGTGAACAAGCTGCGCGCTTTGAGAGCCGTCGTCTTTAAATTTCTGCTCCTGTGGAGCAGCCAGCGTGTCTTTGCAGCGAACGATGTGTCTTGTGAGCAGAGGGAGGGCATGTGGGAGTTGGGCTTGTGGTATGGATGTAAGTTTTCTGCAGAGCACCTGGAGATCCGCGGGAGGTGACGGAGCCATGGCTGAGAGTCGACGATGCTGATGGCTAATCGCCAGGTGGCGGCTTTCACGTGTTGAAATATGGGCGGCAGTACGGTCTGTTGGCATAAAACGAGATGAGATGACATGAGTGGTGTTCTTGATCTGCAAGTAACGAGCCGCAGAGTCAGGAGGGTCCAACGCTCCAGGCCTGGGGACAAGGGTGAGATCGCAAACCAAACCTATTGAAGTATGGCAAGCTAGGGATTCTCACTATGGCGAAGAATAGGTAAGTCGGTCAATTGGCGTTGTGAACGGCGACTGTCAGCTTGTCAATCGCCAGCCTCTCGTTGGGACGGCTGCTCGAACTTTTTTTCGCCGGGCCCCGTTCCCTGGCGTTGTTGAGTTGGCCATGCCACCAGCTCCGGTGGGAAGGAGCCTTGTTCGTGGGGATCCACATGGCGTTCTGATTGGCCTGGAACTTCCCAGCCAGACGCACGCGCAGCTTCCACGAGCAAGTCCGAGGCAACCAAAGAAGTTGCCATGTTCAGGGTCGACGGGTACCGGGTCGGCTGCTGGTCCCCGGCATACAGCACCTAAAGACGCTGTCTTTACCTTGTCCGGGCTCCTGCGCTGAGGCAAGAGCGGGATCATGCCGCAGGGTCGTCCCTGCCTACGGCCTTTCCTACCGGATGCGCCAGGTCGCGCCAGGCGTCTTTGCTTGTGACGCCGCCTCCACACTTTGCCATCCCGCCTTTACGCTGTCCACTTCCCATCGCGCATATCCATCCTCCCCTGCGACGGGCCTCTTTGTCTTTGTTCCTGCTCTGTCGTAGGCCGTTCGTTTCCTGCACGCCTCAAGCGAACGCGGTCCCTCGCCCTGTTCCTCGACGGCCCCTTTCCCCGAATTCCTCTACCCTTTGCGATGCCTTTTGGGGTTGTCCCTTTGATAGTCACCGAGCCCCTGACCGCATCGCAATATGAATGTGAGCATTTCGACACACTGGGCCGCCCTGACGATGAAACACGGCTAACGTCAATTGATGCTTCCATCTAGCCCAAGGCAGCAAACTACATTGAGCAGCTCAACAGCGCTCGGTGCGAGGGAAATTGGGATGCCGTGCCGGAGCTGGTACGCAAGGTTCGCAAGCACGCTCCCGAGAGGCAATGTACGTCATAATCACCATCAATGTCAATGTCTTGAACACCACGTTCCACCCTTCCAACCTCTCCCAGCCCACCTGGCCTTCGATTGGAAATCTTGCAGTGCAGCAGCTGACCTGCCACCTTGGCCCTACTTTTTAGGCCTCACATTGGCGGCCGAGACCGAATGCGCCATCTCTCAAGTAACAGCAGCCGGCGCTCGACCCTCTGCCGCCCAAACTGCCCAAGACCTCGACGTTTCAAGCCGGTTTCCCAAACTAGCTGCCGCCGTTAACGAGGAACATCATCATCATGAAGATCGATTTCAGGCCAAAGTCTGCATGGGCTGGCTGCACTGGGTGGTTGGAGAATACAACGACACCATGGCAAACCTCCCTGGTAGCCTTGAAGCGGAAGGCATCTCGCAGGAACGAATGGATACGGTTTCTGAATGGACCAACCTGTGTGCCCTCAAGTCATCCTATCTGAAAGCTAATTGCTTGATGCGGAACGACCAGAGGCAAGAAGCTCTCTCAGCCCTAAGGGCCGGGACGCCATCTTTGAACGGAGTTTGGTGTGGCCATGGCGTGAGGAAGCAGTTGCGGTACTGGTCAGAATTGTTCTTGACAGAATATTGCATGCTTTCTAGCCAGGCCGTAGAGAACGAAGAGCTGAATCTAGACGACCCAAACTCCCTCGCAAGCTTCCGAGCCTGGGCGAGGTACTGGGATGTTATGGGAGCTCCAATCACTGGCGGGTTTGGTTTCAAAGGCTCTGTTCCCCGGCGAAGGATATGGGCCGAATATTATGAAGCACTGTCTCGCATTTTAGAAACCGACCTGCCATACACAGGAGGTCATGTTGACACCATCTCAGCTGATCTACCTGCCCGAGCCCAACTTCGACTGGAGATCAAGCAGACAGAAGCTGCCTATCGAGCGCTTATCCTGACAGAGACGACATTTCCAAGAGCCGACGAGGACCGGGAAGAAGTTGAAGACTTTGTGAAGCGAGTGATGATGAATTGGGCCATTCTTTGCGGCCGGGGTTGGCGAGAACAAGACCTAGGTGCAGGTGGCCGAGCCGCATTGAGTCGTAATGTTCTCGAGACGTTATACAGTGCCGCAACCCGAACGTACCATTCGACCTCAATCTTGCGATCTTTGTTTAGTGTCCATCTGGCCTTGGCGGAATTCGACCTGGCCTTCAAAGCGTTTGACTCATATCTGGAGATTGTGAAGAAGGGCAAGGCCCGAGTGGAAAAGACAGGACATGAAGAAGTGAGCTTGGATGATGATGGCATCGTGCTAGAAACTATGGCGCAGGCTGTCATGGCTCTGTGTCGTTACGGCCACCGAAGAGCAGGAGAGAAGGCCCGCCAGCTTGGGGCCGAACTTGAAGACCAGTTGTCCAAGCTGTCACACACAAAATCTGCCGAAAATGGTGTCCCGCCTACTGATGACAATGAACCAAGAAACGAGTGGAGGGCACATGTTTCGCCAAGTATTATTGCCTTGGCTTGGCAGGCGATTGGGTTGTCTCACGCTCACTGGTCCAGAATTACCCATGAAGCAGCCTCGATAACAGAGATCCAGTCCAAAGCTATACGCTGTCTTCGTAAGTCCTTGGCCGCAGAGTTTGGTCGTTCCAAAGACATTAGGAGCTTCTTCAGTCTTGCTCTTCTGCTCGCTGAGAGACGCGAGCTTACGGCTGCCATTGAACTCGTGCGCTCCGCTCTGCTCTGCAACAAGGGCCATGAGGAAAGCTATAGTCTTTACCATGGGCCATACTGGCAGGAGAGAACTCTCATTCCTGTGTGGCATTTGTTGGCTCTGTTGTTGAGTGCCAGACAGGACTACGCCATGGCTGCCAGAGCTTGTGAAGGCGCATTGGACCAATTCAAAGACTCTACTATCCTCTTTGGAAAGCCTGATGCAAATTGCCGCAGCGACCATCTCAAAGACCTCGATGCTCACAGAACTTTGGAAGGTCCTGTTCGGGGTCTGGTTGACGACATGGACGATTCGGAGAAGGAGAGCATTTTGGAGGTGAAGATGACACAACTGGCTCTTGTTGAAGTAGTTGAGGGACCGGACGCGGCTGTCAACGCCAGCTACGAACTTCTCTCACTCTTTTCTCGCCTGTTTGGTACGCTCTCGGCCGCACCAACTGCTGCCTTGCCTGCCCCTTCATTACCGCCAAAAACGTCGGGCACCATTCGAAGCATTCGCGGGAGCATTTTTGGAACAAAGGTGGACAGACCGAGATCGCCAGCAAGGCAGCAGAGCATCAGTACCGTGAGCGAGAAGTCAGAGGTGGCTACCTCACGACCTGCAACATCCCACAGCTCTCAAATAGCAGCGCCGGCAATCCAGATAACTGACGAGAAGGACACAGTCAATGGCTCACGACGTGGCAGCACCGGCCCTGGACGTCGAAGCGACTCGCGGCAAAGGAATAGTCTGAAGAAGAGAGACAGAAGTGGCAGTCGGACTAGACCTGTGACGGCCATTGCAGTCACACACCAGCCCACCGTGGTTGATGGGGAGACTTTCTTTACTCCAACTGCAGAGGGTGACTCGCCCGACTTTTTCAATTTGAATAAGATGTCCGCTGCTCGGCCAACGTCCTCCAGCCGAGTCAAGCCTATCTCATCTATGCACTCCATCATGACAGCTACATCTAAGTCATCCGACGTTACGGAACTGACAATCGACGTTACTCATGCCTCACCTAATGTACTACCGCTTGTGCAGTTTCCAAAGGAGAAGGAAAAGGCTCAAAAGATTTCTCTCCTGATCAAGATCTGGCTCACAATCGCTGGCTTCTACCGTCGTGCTGGTATGCTGGACGATGGCAAGGCTGCAGTTCTGGAGGCTCAGAAGCTACTGACCGGCATTGAGTCTGAGGCTGCAAGAGACCCCTCCAGCACAGGTGCAACAATAGGCGCTTCTGGCTGGGCTGAGAGGAGGAGCATTGATGACCTTTGGGGTGACATTTGGTCCGAGGTACGTATTTTTGCTAACTACTCTCGCGTCTCATGTACAGCAAGCATACTAACAAAGGGTCCAGCTCGGCCTCTTGGGCGTCGCAAGGGGTCTTCCATACGAAGCCAAATCGGATTTCGAAGTAGCCCTCACGCACTCACCTGACCACCCTACGGCTACTGTTGGGTTATGTAACATTCTCTTGGACACTTTCAGCGAAAAGGTGCTTCCTCCTTCGACTATGCCATCCCTAGACGGGTTGTATCAGAATGAGAGGGGATCATTGCAGTCACCCAGTCAAGGGTATCATGAGAGATTTGCGGATACTCTACCTTCATCGCCTCTTGGACTGGGGCCTCCCATCACCGACCGTGTCCCACCCTTGAAGATGGATGACACTGCTGCTAGGAACGAGCCGGACCAGCTGCCCGCACCGTACAAAGCCACGCATCTACCACTATCAGATCGACTTGCTGCCAGAGAGCGTGCGTTTACTCTTCTCTCCGGGCTGACCCGCCTGGGCACTGGGTGGGACAATTCTGATGCGTGGTTTGCCCTAGCGCGGGCACACGAGGAGAGTGGACAGCCAGAGAAAGCTAAAGAAGTTCTATGGTGGTGCGTGGAGCTGGAAGAGGCCATGGGTGTGCGAGAATGGCGCTGTCTGGGTAATGGTGGCTACATACTTTAAGGACGAGCCCGACAAGTTTGGGTGCTGCGTCTGAGAGCCATGGCCATGTATAAGCAGTAAAATCATGCATCAAGAGGGCGAAGCATATGGCGGGAGGCTGGGACGTAGCAGCGATACAACTAATGCATGACAAAAGCTGAATCAAGGTTGGTCGGCATAGCATGACGTACTGTAAAGGATGAGTGGCACTGGTAGTTACTTTTAACGTGTGGATACTGCACGTGTGGTGCCTTGCAAAACGCATTTTACCCAAAACAGCGATGACGCGTAACATGATTCGCTGAAGCTGGGCTTGAAGTTTACAGGGGACCTGGCTAGTAGGTAGTGCTCCTCCGTACATACTTATGTACCTACTTCAGGACAATGGGACGCAAAGAGTCGGTATCTAGCCAGATCAGGTACCTGGTTATCGCGCCTGGCTTTACATTCTAATACTAGATCATAGTATATTCGTTCATGCAGACTTGACTTCTTGGTGGGCAAACATGGTCTACCACAGGCTGTACACGAGTGCAGTACAATAACGACAACGAAAAACAATTTACCCGGCCACGTGTTTTGACCACTACGGTCTCGATGGGACACCAGCACTTGCATTGTACACCAATACAATGCAGTGCTTCTTACAGAAGATTACAGTACACTACGATACATCAAGATGTATAGTTCAATGAAGCATTCTTTGTCTGCCACCATGTTAGCTTTCATAGTCGAAAAAAAGACTTTCTCCTAAGCTGTAGACTGCAGAGTAGTCAATTGCTCGTAGAATCATTCCATGCGTTTCTCTGCCTTGGCCCTCTTCACACACTGTTTTTTTGGCACTGTGTTCCATGTACAGTACGTGTCTACTCCGTACTCGACCAAACCATACACTTGCCCCCATGGTTTTGCAAGTCGTGGAAGATGTACCTTTTGAGAATTGACAAGGCATGGCTCGAGCCCATTGTCCCACTGGTCTGAGCCAACTGCAAGCCTTGGTACATTGGCAACTCCTGGAACTGTGGTTGTTAACATTCCCCGGGAAGGGGGAGTGGTTTTGCTCGAGACTGCTGCTCAGAGACACTTGATTTTCACAGGTAGAAGCAGTGTGTCTGGGACAAGATCGGCCGTACGGGTGGCATTCGTACATGGCCTTTTGCTCTCCAGGTATAAACCACCTAGGTATCTTTCTGTGTCATTCCAGGCCACTGGGACTTGGGTCGGTTCGATTTAGCGTTTGCGCACTGTACATAAACACAGAAGCGAGGCCATTCACGGGCCAGTAGTCTCCATGTCAGGTACAATGTTAACCTTATTGCAGTGGTCACGCAAGCCTGTATTCATTACTACTGAGTACCTCAGTCGATCCAGAGTCGTCGTCATCTTTCTAATAAGTGTACTTTCCCTTGACGATAGTTTTATTCGGCAAACTCTCTCGAATTCAGGACGAGAAGATTCCATTTCGTCCAGCCTCTTGAATTGTTGTACAAAATAGAGAGGAATTCCCCCCCAGGTGTCGAATCGTCCCATCCGAACTGTCCACTTTGTGCACACTTCTTACTGCTGGCTGCTACGTGATCAAGCTACCTTTGATCCATCTCGAGATATCTCTTGTACACAGCAAGCATTTCTGCAAAGCTCTTTTTACACACGATACCCTCTTCTATAACCCTCTTTTACACGCAAGCCCCCCTTCTACAAATCTCTTTTTCACACAAGACCCTCTTCTAAAAACCTCTTTTACACACAAAGCCCTCCTTATAAACCTCTTTTTTTTCTTTTTTTTATTACATACAAGGCCTTCAAACAAGCAACATGAGCAACAACGTTGACATGAGCTTTGTGGCCTTGCAGCCCGCCCAGGACCAGCAAGTTCAGGGGAACAACGGCCTCGTCGAAGGCCAGAACCTGTACAGTGATAGGGGGCAAGTGCAGCCGTTGCCGGATGACGACGTCATCTTTGTCGAGCAACAACAGCTGCAACAACAACAACAACGACGACAACAGCAGCAGCATCTGCAACAACTGCAACAACAACAGATGCAGCAGATGCATCTGCAACAACAACAACAACAGTTGCAGCGGATGTGCGAGCAGGAGCAGCAGCGACAACAGGCCTGGCTACACGGCAGCCCGAACTCCCAGGCGTTTTGGCAGCCGCGGCAGCCACCTGCACTGCCGGCATTCCTGCCACAGCAGCAGCAGCAGCAGCAGCAGCCGCAGCACCAGGGGTGGACGAACTACCACTACCAGGCGCCGCAGCCATCATGCCCGGCACCATACCCGGCACCGCACCCGGCACCGCTCCCGGCAATGCAGCATCCACGGTACCCGGTGCAGCCACAATATCCCGGGCTGCCACAATTCCCGATGCAGCCACAGCAGCCAATGCAGCCAATGCAGGCTTATCAGGGGTACTCGCAGCCCCCACAGTGGCCACAACAACCACTACAGGGGCTGCAGGCACCACCACCACCACCACCACCACCACAACCACCACAACCACAGCTGCAGCCGCAACCGCAACCGCAACAGCAACCACGACCACAACCACGACCACGACCACGAAGGGCTCGGCAGCCAAGGCAGCCAAGGAAGCCACGGCAGTCACGGCGAGCGACTTCACAGTCGCGGACTCCAGCGCCACAGCAGCCAGAGCAGCCTCAGCAGCCTCAGCCTCAGCCTCAGCAGCCTCTACCTCAGCCTCTACCTCAGCCTCAGCAGCAGCAGCAGCCACAACAACAACAACAACAACAACAGCAACTGACTCCTCCTATAGGAGACGTTGAAGCGGCCATGCTCCAAGCCTTCCGCCAGATAGACGCCTTGGAGGAGGAGGAAGCCCAAGGAGACGACGAAGTAGTCGTCGTCGACCCGTTCGACGAACTACGAGCTGCTCGTCCGGGTCTCAGGACCCCAGTCAACTTCCCGCTCCTCCTTCCTCCAATGGCTATCTGGCATGAGGGAGTTGCTCGAGACAAAGAGGACAAGGACAAGGACGACAACGACAACGACAACGACGCACCGTCGGCGAAATGAGCTTTTGGTGGTTCCTTTGTGCGGGGGCTTCTTCCTCCCGCACCCTCTCTCAAGCCCAGTGCAACAAGTACACTGGCAATCTTTATTTGGTATTCGAGTGGAGGATTTTTGTTTTGGACAAGGGACGTTTGGCGGAGGACGTGTTTGGGAATGGGAACTTGGGGCGGTTTTTTTTCAGCATTTTGCTTCCGTCATTGGCACTTTGCTTTTTTTCCCCGCATTCTTCAGTCCAGTACAAAAAGTACATGGCATTCTGGGTTGGTCTTTGGGCGGAGGAAATGTTTGGGAATGGGAAGTTGGCTTGGATACCCCTTTTGTTTGGGCGTTTTGGATTTTGGATTCACACTTTTGCTTGGAAGTTTCAGCACTCGACAATAAAAATTGGGTTCAACACATGCTCTTGTGTCTCTGTAGATTCTTGCTGTGACTGGCAATGTGGCCTGCTTCCATCGTTTTGTGCAAGGCTGGTCAGGCTGCCTCGCTACTATGAATACAGGTCATGGATGTTGCGAAAGCTATCCGGCCATTGGTTTGTTTAAGAGGCCTTGAAGTAATATCAAGACTAGATAGTTAAAAAAAATCGAGGTCGGTGCGTATTTTTGTGAATCATCACGACGCTGCCTTTTTGGTGTTGAGGGTCGGAGGCACCAGACCTTCCTCGCAGCTCAACATTCTAAAGTAGCTAACCTCACAGACTCCATCTCACCAGATCACAATACATCATGGTAGATTAGTTTTCACTTGCCAATCAGCAAATATATCCTGCGACAGACTGTAGCTTGGCATTTGCCCATCAGCATGCACATGCGCATGAAACACGCGACGTCAGACTCCCCGCCCGCCCCCAGCATCAGCCGGGAGATGACGACGTCCACAGATTAGAACCCATGCAATGCAAAAATGATAAATTCCCCAGCGGGCCGAAACAAAATAAACACACAATAAAACGGCATGAACACACCATCTCCGTGCTGCAGCCGGGGATCCCCTCGCACCGCGCCGCGGCCACCACCACCTCCCACGCGCTACAACAAATCAGGCATGACATCAGAACAAGGGTCCAACCGTTCCCATCCCAACTCCCTTTGCTTGCAATGCAACCTACTATTAAACTACCTGGGTAGGTGAAATGAAGAGAGAAAAAAGGGTAACAGTCGTAGCATGGTAATGAGCCGCGCGCCACGCTGCCTGCAAAACACAACAAGAAGGGTCTTTCTTGTAAAGTGACACTCGCCTTTTGTTTTATTCTCGGTTCCATGTCGTCTACGGAGTACAAGACATTGACAAGACGCTGGCTCGCGTGTGGGGGGCCCGACGAGAGAGAACCGCGTCAAGTTCCTCCCTCGAGCAATAGACACGTCAAACTGAAGAAATAACAAAATCAACCATGTGAGGCTGCTGTGTCAAAATGGCCAATTGAGATATCTCCCCCTGCTTTTCTTGAAAAAATAAAAATAAAAATAAAATATACAAGTCCCAATCAATTCCCAAGGACCCCGGGTCCTGGTCGTGGTTCGCGCGACTCGACGTGACTGATGTGACCGGGGCCAGCGGCGGCGGCCGCGAGTTGACGGCATGTGGGCTCCAGTGCTCCCTGTTGGGCGCCTTTGCTCCAGAGTCCAGAGTCCACAGGGCGGTACCTCCAGCCCGGTCGACGCATACAACACCACGCCGTCTCGAGCTGCCTTTGCCTTTCCTACACGACCCGTCTTCCTCACGCCCTCACCTGCTCCTACCTCTTTTCCCTCGACAGACCAAGCCTGAACTCTTCCTCTCCCCCAACGGCCCGTCCCTCCCAACTCCAATTGGCTTTGTTTGCCTCTCCCGGAGCGCGGCTCTCACTCCCCCACCCTCGAACACGCCGTGCTCGTCTTCCTACGCCTCGTGTACACCAGCCATCAACACGACCACCATGCACGGCTCTCCCGCAAAGCAACGCGCCGCCCTGGCACCGCTCGACGCGAACGCAAGGCCGTCCCTGCCGTCTCCCAAAATGCCCAAAGACGGCAGCGTCTCCATCATCCCCCTCACCGGCGGCTCGTCCCCTCTGAAGAAGAGCCTCTCCTCCTCCCTCACCACCACCAGCGGCACCAAGCGGCCCGCCGAGGAACTGACGCCGCCCGGCCGCAAGAAGACGTGCGTAGAAGAGGTACGTGTCCCCCTTCCCCTCTCCTTTCCTCCCAAGCCAAGCCAGAATGCTAAACAAACGGGCCCAGGACGCGCGCCGCTCGAGAACAAGCTCCCCCGACTCGCCCTCCCTCTTCGACACCTCCGCCGCAGAAGGCGACTCCTCGTGGGCCACGGCCGCCACCGAGCCCGACGTAGGCATCGTCGCCGACGCGCCGGCCCTCCTCGCGCCCCGGCAGAGGGGCACCATGACGCGCGAGCAAGCAAGAGAGGTGAGAGAGCGCGCCCTGGCCTTGCCGACACGGCACAAGTCACAACCCAGCCAAAGATGGAGAACTAACCAGGGACCCTTTCTTCCTATCTTGTTAGAAAGCAGCGATTCTGCGCCTGCGCCTCGGCCTCGCGAGCTACAAGGTCCGCACGGGGCAGACCACCGTGCCCTTGGCCGACCTCGAGCGGAAGCCGCTGCCCCGGAAGACGGTCCGCGTGCAGTCACCGCCGCCGCAGCCGTCTCGGAAACACGCCCACGCCTCGGCCTCCGCCACTGCTGGCGAACCGGGCACCGCGTCGCCTGGTCCGAGTAGTACCCTGTCAAAAGGCGCTGCGAGCGGCCTCCTCAGCCTGGCGAGGGGCCAGTCATGACGCGTCGACGTTTGTTCTTTTCAGGGCTTTTGCTTGGCATGGGAGGAGGGGGAGAGCAGGCGAGTATAGACCCTTTGCTGCGCGTTTGGTTTCTTTCTTTTTTTTTTTTTTGGGCAGGGCAGGGCAGGGCAGGGCACGTGTTATGGGGGGAAAATTGCATTGGACTAGCTGGTCCAGACACTGGGTTGGTGTACGGCGCATAGGGACGGCAAGGGATACGACTTGATGGCATTTACAGAATCTACTGGTGTAGTAGTACCAGACATCTCAATACATGTGGAGCATGGACAGACCACAGAAAACAAAAAAAAAAAACATTTCGTCAAGCGCAGGGCGTGAGGAGACAGAATCGTCTTATTCATGTGGGGTCATTTGGAAAATCGTCATGTCCTACTATCCCATTACAAGATGTGCGCGTAAAACGGCTTCCTCACCTTCTTTCACCACCTTGACTCCACTCACCCGCTGGCTCATGCTATCTATATATCCTCGACACAAATCTAGTCCACCAGAATCCTGGGCTCCAGACGCCCGTAGCTCTTGAAGAAGGCTTCAAACAACTTTACAGCAAACTCGACATCGGCAGCACCACCCGTCTCGCGGATACTGTGCATGCTCAGCTGCGGGTTACCCAGGTCGAGGGTCCGCATACCCATCCTGGCCGCCAGGCCGGGTCCAATAGTGCTGCCGCATGGAGAGTCGTTTCGCACAACAAAAAGCTGGAGAGGCACGCCGGCCAGCCGAGCACACTCCTGGACCAGGACGATGCCAGGCGAGTTGGTGGCATACCGTTGGTTTGCGTTGATTTTAATCACAGTGCCCTTGTTCATGGCGGGCTGGTGCGAGGACTCGTACTTGCCAGCATAGTTGGGGTGAACGGCGTGGGCCATGTCGGCAGAAACGAGGAATGATCGGGACAGAGCCTGCTCATAGGCGGTGGTATCCTCTCCCTCGTGGTGCACAGCCTCGTAGCTGCCGTCGCTGGAGCTATCTCGGCCGCTGGGTAGCAAGGAAAGACGCCGGATGACGGCCGGCAGCAAGTTGGAATGGGCACCCTGCGCGGACTGGGAGCCGATTTCTTCGTGATCGAAGCAGGCCGTCATGCGGATAGTCGAGTCATCGTCCAGAGATTTGTCGTTACTAACAGAGGAGATGAGACCCATGACAGAGCAGTAAGTCATGCCTAGGTTGTCCAGGCGGGGGGAGAAAATGAGCTCGTCTTTCAGACCTCCAATGCAAGATTTCTGGGTATCATAGAGAACCAACTCAAAGTCGATAATGTCACTGACATTGGCGTTGAGCTCGCTGGCAATAACATCGAGGACAGCGGGGTGGTGGCGCTCGGCCATGTTCTTGAGGGGCCTGAAGTTCTCGTCCTTGTCGGTTTCCGCGGGTGCACCGTCATCGGAGCTCTTGTTTAGCTCGGCCTCAGCCAGGCCGGCAATTGGGAACAGCTCAGTCTCCTTGTTAGGGTCAAACTTGGGTTCTCGATCGAGGTGAATGGCCAGAGTGGGAATGCGCAGCAAGGGCTTGTCAATCTTGATGAGCTTCTGTACGAAATTGTCTCCCTCCTGGACCAGGACTCGGCCAGCGATACTCAAATCACGGTCGAACCACGAGTGCCAGATGCCGCCACCATATGCCTCGACACCGATCTGGAGATAACCGACGTTGCTCTTCTTGGAGACGGGCTTGAGGCGCAGGCAGCAAGAATCGGTATGCGCACCGATAATGCCTACTGGGTTTCCTGGGCGCCACTTGCGACCGACGGCAAAGGCCACGATGGACGAGCCATTGCGGGTCAGGTAGTACTTGCCACCGGGTTGGACGATCGTGCTCCATGAATCGCGCTCACGGATCAGTTTGAAGCCCGCTTCTTCGAATCGTTCGGCGGCGCACTGGGTAGCATGGTAGGCTGGGAGCAAAAGTTAGCAACCGATTTGCCCTCCAGCAACCCCCCAAACCTCCAATTCACTGTGCAGCAGAATGAACCTACGAGTAGGAGAATCATTGACAAAATCAACAAAGTCAAGCGCAGCCTTGGGCGGGGCCATGTTGGGCGAGGTCGTCGAGAAGCTATGCAATGAAGGGATTCGAGATTTGGTAACGAGCTCGCGTGATTGGTAAGGAGTAACCGAACGACGAAGCAAAGCCGTGGGCACGACAGAAACTCGCAGAGGCATGGACGGGAGAGGGGGAAAGGACGAAAAGGACGGGAAGAGGATGTCGCCAAAAGCTGAACGAAGTCTCTCCCCCCCCCTCGACTTGGGAACTAGCGGGTGGACGTTGCCGGGTGGGGCGAGATGGCCTCTTGATGATTGGTGGCTGTCGAAAGATCCAGGGCTGGGGGAGACTCCATCATGTGGAGTTCTTACAATACTGGCAGGTGCTTGCTTGTGTTTGCTCCGTCCCCCGCATTAAGCCGTGCGAGTCAACGATGGAGAGACATCCAATAAATGGTGCCAGTCAGCATATACGAAGATTGGATGCAAGGATATAAGCCCTCCAGTAGAATTTCATCCAGATCAAGTCCTGATGCCGAAGAACCAACATGCCAAAGAACAGTCTCGTTCCTTGCCGGCCTGTTTGATATAACTAGGCCGGCCAGCGTCGGCAGTGGGCCCCGAGCATGCATTACTCCGGGTGGCGCCGCCGCGGCCGGAGGGACGGTACAGATCTATGCATGTACGCACGGTTTCCACTTTAAGGGCCTTGAAGAAAGAGCAGACCACTTGAAGCACCGTCTGAGGTGTAAGCATAATTGAATCATTTTTTTGCGATTCCCGTTCCATCCCACCGGTATCTAGCTGCCCAAACCCCCGTCCATAGCCAAAAGCATAGCCGCCATGTAAATGTACACGATTGCATGATGCTCATTATGCAAAGGGAAAACAAGAAAACACGTGCTCCTGAGCAGCTATGGGGACCTTTATAAAAAGCAAAAAGGAAAGGAAAAGAAAACCCGCACCCGTTTAAACCACTGCATCTTCTCGTGATTGACATGGATAATCCGCCCTTTTAAACCACTCCAGACGGTATTTGAGCCCAAACTTCCCACGCTGATAAAGGTAGACCAAAGGAAGGCAAGCCAAGGAAATTATGTTGCTTTTTCACACCAAAACAGCTCCTTACTTTCGCTCAGGAGTGCTGGTACCGCTCTCCTCAAAGTCATGCGAGTTCTTCCTGGCTTCATCCCGACCAAAAACGAGACCAGGGTGACCGAAGCACAACGCAACGGCAGCAATCACAATCACCACACCCTCGAGGATGATGAAAGGAATTTCCTCGCGGATTAAGCTGCCATTGTACCCATCCTTCAACTCGGCGACACGGTATGCGCATCGGGCAAGTATGAGAAGGACAGACGAGGCCAGGCCGAGGAAAAAGGTGTTGAGGCGCCAACCAAAGCTTCTAGTGCGGCCAGACCGCACATATCGAACCATGTAGTCGGCAAAGCAGACGACAAAGGCGGTCAGGACAACGACCTGCAGAGCCAGACCGGCCATGGAGATATTGACGCCGAGCCGATCGTCGCCGTTAGAGTTGCTCGACATGGCGCCGCCAGCGGCCTGAAGAATAAGACAGATGACATCAAAGGGAATGAAGATCCAGTAGAACAGCTGCGGATTGAAGCGGGATAGGTCCGGAGCGAAATACATGATTGTCTTGGAGAGGGTGACGTAGATGGAGGCGGTGTAGAAGACGGGTGCGATGGTGAGGCAGACTACTCCCGGCCGTTAGTTGGTTTGCGAAACAAGCGCCGCCGGCTTGTGCAGGACTTACCGATTTGAACCATGAAGCCGACGAAGGAGAAGGGGTTGTTGTAGAGCATGATGCGGCCGGCGTAGCCAATGGCTTCACTCAGGCATCCGAGAATCATTCCGCCCATGAAGCCCCAGCTTCTCCATCTGAAACCGAGATACCCATGGGCAAGGCCGACCAGGATAAACAGACCGAGAAAGGTGGCATTAGCAGCCAGCGACGGTCGGAAGCCGTAGATGCTCCATTCGGCGGGACAGTTATCCAGCGTACAGTTTGTGTCGGGACCAACGGTCTTGACGCCAGGAGGATGAAGTTTCGACATTGTTGGGCTATACTAGTGACAAGTCTTTGCTTCGGTGCTGGTAGTGAGAAGCTGTACCCTCTGTGGTCGAAAGAGTTGACCTTGTAGTTATAGAATGCCTTGTCCTGTGAAGCAAAGGGGGTCAAGCCGACAGAGGAGATCGTATGTATATATTTATATATTTATCACAAATGTTCAATTGTGCGAAATGCAAAAGAGCAGCTGGGGCCAGCAAGGGGGCCAAAATAAGATGTGGCCAGCGGATAGTGAATTAAGCTTGTTTCACTTGGACGTGGGCAGGTCCGTTGATGGACGGAGATGCTTTTGCTTCTCGTCTTGGGCCACGATAAGGCTGCTTCATGGTGGTGGCGGAATCCTCCCGAGTTCAAATACACGAAGCCCCACGTATCTCAAATGCCCATCAATAGTTAACGACGAACTATCTGGTCTTGGCTCCCTGATGCTTCGGAGTGTAGCCGCTCCGTGCCCGGGAGAGCAGCTCGCCGTCATCCACGGCTCGGCCTCACTGCTCCTGTGCCGCATGGTCGCGGAGAATGGCGTCTTGGCTGTGTCATGAATGGGGACTTGTCAGCAAACAGCCAGCCCCAGCTCATGCGGGCTCTCCCAGCTCTACGGCTTGGACTCACTCAGCGAGGACGGGGAGGCCATAGACGGCCACGAATCTGGCTAGAAGAGACGCATGGTGATGAGTATACGAGTTTGCGAGGCGAGTCGGAGCGAGGCGGCTGCAGAAAATGCCGAGCACTCTGCCCGTGTAAATGAGTGGTGTCAATGTGTTTGGTGTTTTCTGCCACCCGCCTGGCTGCGAGTCCGAAGGCGCGAGACGGCGAGACTGCACCCGCTGTTGGATGTGGACCAATCAAATGCGACAGGTCTGGCTGGAGCTGTTATAGCAGTTATTACCCAGCACCTGCCGCGGCGCCTTTCACACGTTACCATGGTCTTGTCCTAAACTCGACCAGTATTCGTTTTCTCCCAATTGCATCATCATTGTAGGACTTCGGGTTCTATGCCCTGGGGTTTTGTTGTACATTTTCCGTGCGCCTCGAAATCATCTGTATCCAAAACAATATGCGAATTCTTTGCCGCATTATCTCGGCATGGGTTGTGAGGTAATATACACCTCTTTGGAGTCAAATCAACGCCGCCGGTGGTCAAATGCTTCTCTCATCTCACTAGACTCTCAGTCTTGGGCGAGTCATGTCACGCGACCAAGTTGCATATCATGGGGTATTTCTGCAGCTACGTCATTATGCGATAGCGAGATCAAATTCAATCTGGTCCCCCATTGGAGGCGGAAGAAAAGGTCTCCTCCAGTAGGCCAATCACCGCCACGGACCGTTTTTTTGTTCTTCGGCAGCGTTGACTCGATGAGATGGAGTAATACTTTTCTCCGTAGCCATGTGCTAGCGTCCACGCCCAGCAGAATCCAGAGCCCCAAAACATGGGGGCTGTTAGCCAAGGGACCAAGACGCAAGATAATCGAGATAGGGGTGGGTGGGATGCCAAGCAGGGCTGGAGGCGCAAATTGGCGTCGCCTTGGAGATATCCATCACGAGCAGGGCAGCGCCATGATAAGCTCAGTTCGTCCAATCCCTACTCCTTACCTGCTAGCAGGCGGCTATCTCCCATGCAGTTGCGACTTCGGGAGCCATTCAACCCACTACCGGGCACCGAAACTGGAACTTGACAAGTGTCCCACGCAAATGATGACAAGACACAGGGTGTCGCGCTGCAACTCGGGTCCGGTCTACGGAGTACGGAGCAGACAAGGCCAGGATCGATGTATCTGGTGGTCAAGGGATAACTACCTCATTCTGGCCGTGTGCCGACGCGGATACCGGTCCGAAAAGCAGAGATAGGGTAAACGCCACTAGTCTGGCTGATAAGACATGCCGACGTACATGCATACATACATGCAGCACGCCAGTGCTTGTCCATCCAGCCGCTCTGAAATACTGCCGACGTCTCGTCTTGTCAGTTTGCCGACGTACCGATTTCGACGGCACCTACAATCGACATCTCTTTTGACTTTTCACGGCCTGGGCCGCCTAGTTCAGTGCAGAGTTGCATTCCGTCGACTAGTCCTCGCCTCTTTGCATATCGCGAGACCCCAGTAGTAACCAGGCCTCCCCTTCTCCATTTGCTCTTGGTTACATCTTTCAAGCCACCTATCAGAAGGAGGAAAGCTGCAAATAATTCTTCTCTTCTGGATTTCGACCCCCAGGCAACATGCCGCTGTCTCACCGCCTAAAGAGCATGGCGGATAGACTCGCAGTGGAGTCTGAGGATGGGCTGACGTCGTCCCAACGTATGGTATGCAGCAGAATGCTTCCTCTCTCGGTAGTTGAATCTAACCTTGTTTGCCCCCTAATTCGCACAGCTTATCAACCATGACTTAAAACCCGTCGAGAAGGCTCGTCGCCAGTGGGGTCCCTGGAATTACGTGGGATTCTGGATCGCTGATTCGTACAACATCAACACCTGGATGATTTCGTCGTCAATGGTTGTCGGAGGGCTATCTTGGTGGCAGGCCTGGATTTGCGTTTGGGTTGGCTATTCGATTTCAGCCTGCTTCATAGTGATGAATGGTCGTGTTGGAGCCATGTATCACATTGGCTTTCCTGTTGCGAATCGAGCATCCTTTGGCATATGGGGTAGTTTGTGGCCAGTCTTTAACCGTGCCGCCATGGGTAAGTGCCGTGTGACTTGACAGTTTCGTCTGACCCAATATATGCTGCCTGCCTCGTACTGACCGGAAAATATTATGCAGCATGCATCTGGTATGGAGTCCAAGCCTACATCGGAGGCAACTGTGTGTATCTTATGATTCGTTCAATCTGGAAGTCATGGGATCGCACCACGATGCCTGGTCCTTTTGAACCGGGCGTGTCGAGCACGCCAGACTTTGTGTCGTTCTTTATTTTCTGGCTTTGCTCCCTCCCTGCCATCTGGTTCCCCGTCCACAAGATTCGACATTTGTTTACCGCCAAGGCATGTTTCGTCCCACCAGCGGGCATTGCCTTTTTGATCTGGGCTCTTGTGCGCGCTGGAGGGGTTGGTCCTATTGTTAAAAAGTCAAACACGATACACGGCGGTGACCTGGCTTGGGAAATAGTCAAAGGCATCATGTCGTCAATTGCTAATTTTGCCACTCTTATCGTCAATGACTGCGACTTTACGAGATTTGCTCGCAAGCCAAATGATGCTGTCTGGTCCCAGTTATTTGCAATCCCACTCGGATTTGCCTTTACGTCCTTGATCGGCATCTTCGTGTCGTCATCGTCTAGTGTCATCTATAATGAGCCTATCTGGAACCCTTTAAGCCTGCTGGGTAACTTTATAGATGATGGCGGCGCAGCGCAGCGATTCGGTGTTTTTGTCATCTCCTTGGCATTCGCTGTTGCGCAACTTGGTACCAACATCTCCGCCAACTCAATCTCTGCGGGTTCTGATATGACAGCTCTGCTTCCTCGATATATTAACATTCGGCGTGGTGGATATATCTGTGCTGCTATTGGCTTAGCCATGTGTCCGTATAACTTACTCACCAGTGCCAACAACTTCACCACCTATCTTTCAGCATATAGCGTTTTCCTTAGCTCTATTGCCGGCGTCATGTCCACTGACTACTATGTTGTCAGGAAGGGCTATTTGAGCGTCAAGGAACTCTATGATGCACGCAAGACCGGCCCGTATTTTTACACATTCGGTGTAAATTGGCGGGGTTACACGGCATATATTGCCGGAATTCTCATTAACGTTGTTGGATTCGCTGGCGCCGTAGGTCAACAGGTGCCAAAAGGGGCGACATACATATACAACCTCAACTTCTTCTGTGGTTTCATTGTTTCATCCTTGACGTACTGGGGTCTCTGTAAAATCTCCCCGGTACCAGAAACAAGTGACCAGTGGTTGGAGGTTGGGGGTGCGATTGATGATTTGCAAGTTGCATATGATGCTACGAATGATGAATATGACGTGGAGAAGGTGACTGCTATGCCGGGAAAAGATGGGAATCGAGCGACGGGATTCTAGAATGAAATCGCGAGCGAGCGAGTGGTTGGTTACTCACCAAAAGGATTTTGAATAGACCATCCAAACAAGTAAAAGAATTATGAGACGGTGATGATGGATTCGTTGGTATGACGGGGATAACTAACGCCTTTGCCCATTGATGCGATGTGTTCGCTAGCATTTTTGGACAGCACCCTCTTGACATTGAAACCATAAAAAAAGAACAGAACCAACCAAAACCAGTCTGAGAATCAAAAGAGGAAAAAAGACAACGAACGGACCCCAAAAAGAGAAGGTTCAACTTGCCCCGTACTGGAATCGAACCAGTGATCTTGTCATTACTAGTGACACGCTTTACCACTGAGCCAACGGGGCTTTTGTTGATAACAGTTTATTCCCTATTTAAGAATATGAAGGTTAGAGCTCCACAAGCTCACTCCGAGGGATGCTTCACACCGAACACCACTTACTACTTACTAATGATCACACCGGGAGCGGCCGCTTTCACCCACTCCCAACATTTCCCCTTCCATACCCTCCAATTCACTTTCATGTTTTTTTCTATCCCCGTCGTTACTTGTGAAACCCCTTATGTGGTGCGACCACTTGGACAATTTCGGCTCATGTGCTCCGTAGCCTTCAAATCGCGGACTTGCTGATTCCATCCGATGACAGGGGCGCGTGTCCTGAGAAATCTCTAGAAGGGAGACGCCGATGCGCTAATAGGTCCATCTAGTAATACGGCATATTGATGTATCGCCAAGCGTGTGCTAATTCATTACTACAGCATCCACCCAATGTTGTCCGTCATGTACGGGTACCGCATCATGATCAGAGACACCTCTGCCTTACGGTACGGAGTATAATCGTCCGTTCTTAGCGTGTCATACCCACAAGCCATGATGAGTCTGAATACAGAGGACTCGTGCACGAAGATTCCTGTGCCGAGGCCCATTCGTCGGCGGTCATTGTCTTTTCACAAAAGACCAACTATCAGTGGGAGAGAGGAGCCAGCTATCATGGATAGCGGCAATACCACCAGAGTGCTTGTTGGATGTAGTCACTGGGTACAGTATCGGCGGTGTGAGCCTGGCAAATATCGCGAGCAGCTTTCCGTTGTATGTAAGTGCTCATCCCATGGTCCCATGGCAACATCCCCAGCTTTGATCCGAGCCCGCTGGTCGAGCCCCACCGTATGGGAGGTCACGGAGCAGAAAGAAGCAAATACTCAATGCCAACTCGAGAATGAACAAACTGTTTTACAAAGATGTGGCGATGGTCGTTGTGTAGTAGGGGCGTACGTAGCGCTGAGCTGGGCACGGGGAACCGGGGGCCTCGCGATGCAGACGAGCGAAGCCGCAGAGGAACACTTGACCGGCTTCTGACTACATACTCCGTACTTGCTCACCATCTCGAATCATGCATCGAGGCCCCCGTTTACATTTTTTTGTTTGTTGGCCCAACGCCTCCACCCCCTTGTTGTTACCGAAAAGAGGCCCCATCTGTCGCTGTACGAGCGCCTCGATGGGCCCGTTGGATAGAACAGTTGAGGATCTCACACTTGCCCGAGGGTACGGGGTACTGGGTTCTCATGTTCCCCAGGCGGCGCTCGAGCATATACTTTGCCTTTTCCATTTTTGGCCTTGATCCAGATGTAGACCACGGGTGCAGGTCTCGCCAGACACTGGGATACTCTACGGACACCTGAGGCGGTTGGATGAATTGGACTTTCCGGTGGGCCAAACCGATGGCTAGAATGGCGGCCTCGCCCTAGCCGTTCTGGTGCTCGTGGTCGTGGTCGTTCCTGCCTGCTCACATGGTTGAAGCCACTCATTTGCTCCCCCACCGCCGCCACGACATTAACACCTCGTCAGTTAATAAGCAGAGAGTGGCAACACAAATCCTTTGTTGATTCCCAACCCGTTGACTCTAGACGGACATTACCATCGCCATGACCTGCGAGACCAAATGAACTGCAGCCCTGCTGCCTGAACCTGCCCTTCCAATCCTTCCCCCGCCACGGTTTCGGCATCATCCTGGCTAAGCCAAACACCAATATCAAGGCCCTGGTTGAAGCAGTCAGCTTGGAGGAATACACAGGCCACTCGCTCGCTCGCCTCGCCAGAGTTGTGATTTCTGCCTTCACCTTATAGCAACCAGACCCGGCCGAGAGTCCGGAGGTAGCAGTACACCCAGCAGCAGCGGATGCCCAACATCAGAATCACCAAGCCGTGTCACAACTGTCGCCGCCGACGCCTGCGCTGTGATCGCTCGTGGCCAACATGCAACAAATGCACGTTGTCGGGTCAGGAGTGTCTTGGTTATGGAAAGGTATTCGTCTGGACGCAGGCGATTGATTCTCAAGGAAACCCACGGCCCTCGCCGGCCTCTGGACGTCGGCCAGGCGAGACTGGGGCATTTCAACCTCAAGCTCCTCCCGACTCTGGGGGAACGCGGGGAGATGTCGCCGTCGGTTGGGCCCTTGCGGGAACTGGAGGCCTGGACCCTGACCAGATTCACGATGTACGAGTCATCTACGCCGAACATGCTCACGATGAACGGGTATTCCGCGGACACCACCAGCAACAGCCATTGGCCCTGCGTGGTGCCATGTCGGGGAAAGATATAGTCAGCCCAGGCGAAATGGCTGTCACAGACAAGGACGTGTGCATTGCCAACACACCGAATCCAGACCATCAGGTCGATATGCCTATCAGGGCCGGCCTTTTGGGTGGTCGAAGCCTGACGGATCCCCTCTTTCAAGACCTTGATCGTACTTCAAGAGCCTATATTACACATTGTGAGTAACAACGAGTATAGTATTGTCTTATCAGTCTGCCCCATTGCCATTACAATATCCTTCAACTATCATTTCGGTGACCTCTCATCGCCGTTTTTCGTCTACGATGCCCTCGTGTATCATGCGACACTCTCCTACTTGTCACATCCCCTCATCTCTCATGGCACACAAGCCTTTGTTCTGATCCGCCTGACTCCTCGGGGACCTGGTTCGAGGCGACGCTAATGCAAACAAACCGCCAGTCAACGATCGTGTCTGTCGAGACTTGGTCGCAAGAGACTCAGACAGCAATCCATTCCGAGAACTTATCCCTCTGACCAATAGACATCCGCTGCTGCTTCAAGTACTCATCGCAACGTCCGCTATCCACTGCTGTAATTTGTTTCGGCCCACCAATTCCATTCCAACGAGTTTGACTAATCCAGGCGACTATCTTGCCCAGTTACGGTTGCGAGATGATTCATCTAGGCAAATACTCATACATGCTTTGACGGCCAAGGAGAAAGCCATAGCCTACCTTCGCCAAGTCATGGGTTCATTGAATCTTGCTCGCAGCGAGGTGGGAAGCGTGGTGGCTCTAGCCGCTATGCATTTCTTTGTCAAGTTTGACCTGATTGACTTTGAACCGAGAGTTGTGGTTGAAAAGGAAGGAGAAGAAGTTAAAAAAATTCAAGGTTGGCGGTCCCATCTTGAAGCAGCAAGCATCGTCTTGGAATTGTTGGCCTTGGATCCCACGAGACATGCTTCAACCCGAATATTGCGTGATTGTGTCATTGCCGATTGCTTCATGTGAGTATTCAACACTGCGCGTCCAAAGACATTACGGACACCCTCCAATCCTTTACAAGGAAAAAAGAAATGCTAAGACGACCCGTACTTGTCATAGATATCACATTCTTGGCTCGACTCTGGCAGAGACAGCAATGGCCTCACGCATAGCACGATGTGGTAGCGAGTTATTGGAAGTAATGAAACGAGTAGAGGTGAACAGTTATCTCTCGTGTCCGCCAGAGATTCTCAAAATCATCCTCTCCGCGTCCCAACTTTCATGCCAGGGCCCTTACACTGACTTTGACCTGGCGGCCGCAGACCAAGCACGCGCACTCATTGTTGAGGCGCATGCATTTGACATTGATGGATGGGTGGACCAGCTTCGACAGCTGCCAGACGTGACTGATATCAAAAGTCGATTCCATGTCGCCTCGGCGCACCGTTCGGCAGTATGTCTGTATATCATCCGGGCATTGCCGGTAGTGCGCGTCGTTTACCCCGTCGACGCCAACATTTTCGTGAACGACATACTCGACCACCTCGGCCAGATCCATGATGAAGACCCGTACTTCAAGGCCACGTCATGGCCCACGTTCATCGCAGGTGCGGAGACCCGAGATCTTGGACACAGAAAATCGACCTTGAATCGCATGTTTGCCATTTGGCAGATTTGCCCATGGGGCTACATCTTTGCAGCCATCAGGATGTTGAAGCACGCTTGGCAAATACAGGATACGAACCCTGAATCCAACGTAAATTGGCTCCAAGAGCTCAAAAAAGACGGTTATTTAATTGTGTAGAAACAGAGCTGCCACCAAGCCAAGAGCGACGGCTATCTTCTGGGTAGTAGCATGATAACGGCCACAGCTCCATTGCCATGGCCCGATGGCCCATTTCCTGTTTTGTTTTCTTTGTTTTCTTGTCGTTTATGGTTTCCCAATCTTCTCCATGACCATTGAGGCATGTCCATCTCACAAGCTTCCTGTTACAATTCTCTTCCCAGTCCATGGTGGGTGGTCCCATTTTACGAATATTGACGAGGACAAGAGTGTGCTAGCAAACAAGAGGGGGGGGGTTGCAATTTAGCAGCATGTACAGCGGTTCACTGAGCATAGTAATTAATTCAATCACATTCTAATGCGTACCTCTAATGGGCCGTAGGTGGTGTGGTGTCGTGAGGAGTATCGTGCCGTGTTTCAAGTACTTGTTCATGGACGAATCTCCCTCTCTCCGTGTCCACGCCAGCCCGATATGACGACGGCGCCAAGGTTCTTCCTACAGAGGCGCGTCGAGCCATCAATCTCCTGCGTCTCCTACTGCACAGCCATCCCGAGAGACTCCGTTCCGGGCGCTGTTCTTGGAATTCATTTCGCACCCGAACTCTGCCTACTTCTGTGGCGGTGTTTGTCGCACGTTTTTGCAAACCATGGGGAGCAAGCTGTTTCAGCGGGAGATGTTCAGAGCAGCGTGGATCCCTCCTGAGAAATAGTTTTGCCCCCAAGTAAATCGTGATGCGCGGCTATGGTTTGATGCGACCCCCGAGCCCCGAGGGAGGGGAACGAACCGTGGCGTTTGTTCCTTTGTGTCAGACCAGCGGCCCCAGAGGTAGGCGGAGACTAGTGTATTTCTTGGTCTGGAGTTTCATGGATATTGCCGAGCGTTTTGTTTTTTTTTTGCCTCTTTTTTTCTTCTCTCTTTTGAGGCAGTGGTTGCTAAATGGTTTGGGTTTGGGGAATTTTACGCCATGACTTGCAGATCAATTTGGAAAAAAGGTGGTACAGTGAAGGAACAACTTGCACTTTACCAGAGGTTCCTTCCGTTTTGGTAATGCAACTTGTCGGGTGGCAATTGCACCTCAAACCCTCCAAAAGGATGCTGCGGCCTCGATATTCTGCACCTGGTTTGGGTGTGCATTGCAGAGATTCCCCTCAATTCGAGATGAGACTGCACCATTTGCCTTGTTTTCTGTAAACTTTATCTCTTGTTGGCATGGTGCAGCCCCCCCTTCACATGCGTGCGCGACTGCCTGCGTTGCACGGAGTGCTCGAGACGTATGTATTCTCGTACTTTGGAGGCGAATGGCTTTGAGATAGCTGCAGTACTACCAACCTGGGACGATGCAGCGTAAACTTCCCGCTGTCAAAGCGTGTAGGGCTGGTAAGGAAGACCAACGCACGTCGACTGTCAGATAGTGCGACATGAGAATAAGAATATCAGTAGCAAGGCTCGCAGGGGAAGATTGCAATGGTCGGAGCGACGCCCCAGCTCGGTGTCATAGCATCGTGGGGTTCGACCGTTCGAGTGTGTGAGGAAGGGCACGACAAGCTCCCACGAACTCAACTCCATCAAAAATGCAATCGAGAGGCAGCCACTCGCAACACCTCCCAAGCCTGGAAGATTCCATTCGGAGTCTGCGGCGGCCGAAACAGCCTGGGAGAAGGACCTCTCCATACGGAGGTCGACAGCCGGGCCTCATAAGGCAATCCCCATCGAATGGCAACCATTTCGTCAACGGTGCCTGAGGGCACGTTTTGGATCTGCTTCAAGAAACCAGTTCTCAGCCCTGGGGATTCTCGCCGATCATCTGCAGTCGAGATCCGGGGGGGGGGGCTGATTCCTTGCGCACAGTCATTTTCTCACGCAGACCCTTGACACAAGCTTGCGGCTCAACGGAAATAATGGAGGGTTGCCTTCACCTGCCAGACACTAGTTTATAAGAGAAACTTGTAAGGCTTAGCCTAAAGTAATATCAACGGGAGCAGTCACGAGAAGATCCCCGGCTGGCAAGCTCCCAAACCTCCAGCCCAGATATCTCCAAGACGCACCATGTCTGCGTTTCAGACTACCATTTCAAAACTCTGCCCTACCTGTATCGAAACAGCGGCTCAAGCGCAGAAGGGAAGCAATGGAAACCTAACCTTATCCTGCCATACAGGACTGAAGCCTTCAAGCCTGATGTCATTCGATGTCTTGTGAGAATGAGGTTCCGAATATCTCACCACGTTCAAGTATATAGCACACCGCTCCGCCACCCATCTGGATATATCGTTCCTCATCTGGAAATCACAAACTCGCAAACATCTTTCACTTCTTCACATTTCAAACCCTCTCTTTTGGTTTGTGCTTTTGCCCTGGTGGCTCTTTTTCTTGTAAACCTAGCCTTCGCTGTCTAATACCGGTCCGAGACCAACTTACAAAGCTCCCTACCTTATCCATCAATATGCGTTACGCTCTTGTTTCCGCGGCTCTTGCAGCTACTGCTTCTGCCCATGGACTGGTTACCAGGATCCAGGGCGCTAATGGTGTCATGATGCCCGGTCTATCTGGTACGTCTGCAGTCCACTTACACACGCTGTATATCCATGGCAAAATGACCAACACAGAAATATAGTTGCCGATGGCACTCCCCGTGACTGCTCCAGCAATGGCTGTGGCTCACAAGCCGATACGGCCATCATCAGACAGCGTGATATCCGAAGCGGTCGTGCCAGTCCCCTCGGACGAACACAAGGCAATGGCCCTATTGATGCCAGCGTCATGGTCAGCAGCTTCATGGGCGGTGCCAACACCGCCAAGGCCCCTACGAACAATGGAGCATCCGGTGCTGCCGGCCAGGAAGATGACCTGTCTGCACTCCAGCAGCAGCGTCAGCAGCGCCGGGAGGAAGAAAAGCGACAGCTCGGTCAGCTCTTGGGCGGCGGCAAGGCCAACGGCGGAGGTGGCCTCCTCGGTGGTTTGCTCGGTGGTGGTGCCGGCGCCGGCAAGCAGACCAACGCTGCTCCCGAGAGCATGGTTGCTGATACCGCTGGCCAGGGATCTTCCCAGGGTCTCCCTACTGCTGATGAGAACGGCGAAGTGACCATGGTATTCCGACAGGTACGCATACTCACTCCGAATCCTTCCCAAGCCCGCTTCTGCTCAACCACAACACAACCCAACTCAACTCAACTCAAACCACGTTACTGACACAAATATAGATCAACCAAGACGGTGCCGGTCCCCTCAGCGCCTCCATAGACGCCACGTCTGGCGGCACAAAAGCCGAGTCCTTCCAAAACGCCGAGGTCACCCAGGACGTCCCCGGCCTTGGATTCGGCGGCCTCTCAACCGCCACGAAAACCGATTTCCCTCTCAAGGTCAAGATGCCCGCGGGCATGACCTGCGAAGCCAAAGTCGGCGGTGCTGAAAACGTCTGTATCGTTCGTGTTCAGAACACCGCTGCTGCCGGCCCCTTTGGTGGCTCTGCCGCCTTCACCCAGACCAAGACTGCTCGTGCGCGAGCCATTGCTTACCGCCTCAAGAAGCGCATGGAAATCAACCGCGATTAAATGTGCTTTCTTGGCCTTGGGTCGAACCGTACAAAGCCGTTTCGTACATTAGCCACTCCGTCTCAACACATATACGGGGTCATGTGCTCAGAAAATATCATATCTTTTCTCTTGTTAATTAGTCGTCGATGAAGTTGTTTTCTGCAATTGCTGAAACACGAATGCTCTTAATATAAAACACGTGATTTTTCCCCCTTAGCTCCGAGTTCCTAGCCTATTTATTCAAAACTGTGAAGCCATGTTGCACATTTGGTCCAGCGAGATGCAACATCACCCTCCGCTTGAGGCACATATTCCGCAGATTGGTTGGTCACGGCGCATCAGGGTTGCGCATGGAATAGACTCCATCGAGGCTGCAACGCAGAAATTACGCATATCAAATAGCGTATATATAATCAAAGGCTCCAAGTACCCATCGTGCCCGGCAAGGTCACAACTTCCTTTTTGAAACACACATCCCATGGCCCCCACCTGTTACTTGTAAGTGTCAAGGGGTCGAAATTCACCACCACGCAACTGAGAAACTCAGGATTACGGATAAGATTACACAAATGAGAAAGAAGAGCGAACACGTGCGACAAAAGATGAAAACTCCACATTATGCACAGTTAGTCGTCGTCGTCGTCATTAAAACAAAGGCATTGAGTTGAGGTGCCAATGTTGCTAATAGGCTAGTCAGAATCCAGGAAGAAAAGATACGTGTAGAGTGAGTGAATCAATAAGGTCACCACCGACGGCTAGAAATGTCAGTAAACTGGCTGCCATGAATAATTAGGCCTTCACCAGTTACGTACCTGTAAGCAGAGTTCGTGGTTACCGGCCGACGCTTTGGTTTGAATCTGTCTTGATGTTCCGGGCGCTGACGTGTGCTTGGTTTCTCTGGAGACCTTTGTTTAAAAGGTCTTCCTAAAAGCTCCGCCTCCAAGGAATTCAAGTCTGAGGACTGACTAGACTGTGAGGAGGCACGTGAAGCAGTAGATCCACGTCTCTTGACCTCAGCGCGGTCCCTCTCGGCTTGCTGTCTTCGGTCAACCTCTCTCGGGACGTCAATAGCGTCCCAAATACATTCTTCATCTTCATCGGATTTAGACGTCTTGGCTTCATTTCTAGGAGAAGCGTCCGTCTTTAGCCGCTTAGGTTGTCGTTCATGAATGTTAGAGTCATCGTCGTGAGAGTGCTTGATGCTGTCTCCACGGTTTTCTGACAAGGACCGCCTTTCTGAGCCATCTGACATGTCACTTCGGGCCTGAGAATTATTCAACTTAGGACTGCTACTCCCGTCGACTTTTTCAACTCCAATGCTCGAACCTAGGTCATTGGCAGCAACAGGCGCATTGGCTTTCTTTGCCACAGATCCGTTGTCATCACGGTTGCGAGGGACGTTTTCGGAAGAAGGTTTTCGATGTGTTTGATCCTTCGAGGCTCGTCTTCCGTTATTTGTACCCTTGGGACCTGCAACCTGTTGATCCGGAGATCCCGCGTGAGAGTTATGACTCTTTGAGCCGGCATTGCCATGATGCCGTTGGCCTTTCCGAGAGCCACTCAATCGTCGATTCTCTGGGGAGTGGTTGGGATGGCCATGCTGATGGGAGCCAGTGTTCTGGTAACGCTGATTATGATGATCGTTGGATTGTCGCCTGTCTCTGCCCTTGTGGCGGTCATTTTTGCGCTTGTTCCTGTGCTCATGTTGCTGATTGGATTGATCATGACTCTTGGGTGGTTTAGCTGGGAGCGGATGAGATGTCACTCCTGCAGGTGGCTTTGGAGGTAGGCTAGGTGGTTTGGCAAGTCCAGAGGTTTGCCTAGATCCTGATCGGTTCTGAGGCGCAGTTGTATTCACAGGCGGCGACGATTTCAGCGGAGGGGGTGATCGTGAAAAAATCTGGTTGTGGGGAGATGGCCTACTTTCATGTCCATCTCCTCTGCTGACAGGAAAATGACCGCCAGGAGGAGGTCCTAGAGCAGGTGGAGGACCCATGTAGCCGGGAGGGCCAAAATGAGGTGCGCCATGAGGAGGTGGAGGCTGATACGGAGGATGAGGATGATGGTGAGGCGGAGGAGGGTGTGAGTATCCATAAGCAGCAGGTGGAAAACTACCAGTATATGCAGGCGGCGGCGGCGGAGGAGGAGGAGCAGGAGGAGCATACGCTTGGTACGGCGGCGCTTGGCCCGGATACGATACTGGAGGGTGAGGATGGTGATGATGTCCTGGCGGCGGCGGCGGCATGTGGTTCATGCCTTGACCAAAGGACGGTGGAGGAGGAGGCGGCGGCGGAGGACCATATTTGGTGATGATAGGTCCTTTTGATCGTTTGTTAGAACCAGGGCCTTGTCCTTTGGGGTGGGTTTGATTCGGGGTGGATGAGCTTCTCCATGCCGCAAGGCCTCTGTAATTGTGGTTAGACTGTTGTCATATATAGACAGTATTACTAGTAGCTAGGTTCAGATGCCTTCAGTGATACTTACGCTGGCGTTTCTCTGGTAGGTTCGGGGCAAGCAACAGCCCAGTGGCCTACAGTCCCGCAGTTGTAGCATTGGGGCTCATCGGGCTGGCCATGTTGGCCAGGACCTGAAGTTGGCATTGCAGATCATCCACAGCGAAACGCGGGAGCTGTCGACCAAGAGGTCTGGGATTGATTGAGGCGCAAGTGCTCTGCGCGGAGCACAGGCAAGACTGAAACAAGAGGGATCTACCCAGCTGTCGAATGGTCGGGATAAGACGAAGCAGTGAGTTTCAGCTGGAGAAGTATCGCGGCAGAGGTGTGGTTGGTTAAGAAGCAAGCGTTGGCAGACTCTCAATGAGTAGCAGGCGGGCTATTGTCGTCGCGACGGATGAGATCAATGTTGACAGGCTGGCTGAATTAGCGACGACAGCGTCAAGGTTTCACAAATCCCCTCCCCCAGGCCTCATGGGACTCCGTGAGAGGGGCCACATGAAACCGAATAAACAAGTGGTGATGGGATTGTGGTGATTTGGCAATGAGATGCGCAACTTCGGTAGCTAAGAGACGGCTTGAAGCTGAAGGTGCTAGAACATGAGTACCACGTGAGACAGCGCACGGGCCAAGGAGGTTACTCGCCGTGTCGCCCAAAAACCCAGGCCTGGGACCAGGACTAGGGCTGTTTGGCGCTGCCGATTCGGAGCATAGTGGTCGGCCAGCCCGCCTGGCTCTAATAGCTCCAGGTCACTGAGTAAAAGTACGTAAGTACCTAACGAAGGTATGTTTTCAAGAGCTGCAATACTGGTCTACTGGCTTCCGACGCACAAAGTACTTGCGTAATACTCTCTCCCAAGTTTGGCTTCACCAGCCCTAGAAGCACTTGAGCCGGACCTTACCCGGTGCCCGGTACAGAGCCACTGCAACTGCATTCCACGCACTTCCCTCCATATGACGGAGTACTTGCACAAAATTATACACAACTACTAACAAGTTGTGCATTGAACTACGCACAAAATCGGCCACACTTAACACGTTCCTACCAGAGACCAACTACTTAAGTACCTACTAGGAAGAAATGCCAATGTATGTCTATACATTAGGTAAAGTATGTTCGAACGCTAAATGCTTAATGTGCCCTACAGTACTCCGTACTCAAGTGCCTAGGTATGTATGTGTATGTCCCTCATCTCCGCCGCCATTAACCACTAACCAGCGGCCACTACAGACCATCTCCACGCACACGCCAGTCTCAATTCCAAAGTGGGTCCATCAGCTTTAGTCCTAGAGGTTTCTTGTCCACCTTGCCAAATTCTCAGGCGCCAGGCCAAAGCATTCTGGCACTGGCGCTCGCAACTACTTATCTGCTCGATTTCAAATCCATCCAACGCTCCAGGTCCGCCTCCCCGCGCTCAAGTGAAGGCAACATACGAACCTATAGAGAGCGCCTTTTAGTTCCGATGACTGTATAGGGCCTGTCTGCGTTCGCCTGCCAAAGGAGGCTCCTCTGCCGGCGTTGAGCTCCTAGGCAATCCCGATCATGTTGGGTCATACAGCCAGTACACCTCTAGATATTTCCTCTGCCCAGAGCAGATATCGACACGACCACACCTGATGCAGCCCCGTGTATGCGATACTCGGCCACCAACATATATACTCGCCAAGCCCCTGACCGGGTGCATCGCATCGGATATCAAACATGCCGAGCTTACCAGGTTCGCAGAAATCACCGCTTGCTTGCTCACGCCTCGGATTCCATGCCCCGGGTCTAACCATCAATAGCGTCCGTCGACTTGGACGAGTGCATCTCGCGCCTCTACAAAAAGGAACTTCTGGCAGAGTCGGTCATCGAAGCAATATGCGCCAAGACGAAAGAACTACTTATGCGCGAGAGCAATGTGGTCCACGTGCGGGCTCCTGTCACCGTAGTAGGCGACATCCACGGCCAGTTCTTCGACCTGATCGAGATATTCAAAATAGGGGGCTTCTGCCCTGATACGAATTATCTCTTTCTAGGTATTTACCCACGCCCCTGCGCGCTCGCGCCATTGCCAACGCACAAACACGGATTCGGTGGCATGCCTTGCTGACTTACTCCGGGGCAGGCGACTATGTCGACCGCGGCATGTTCAGCGTAGAGACGATTTCGCTCCTTGTTTGCTTAAAATTACGATACCCCAACCGTGTGCATTTGATACGCGGCAACCACGAATCGCGAGGCGTCACCCAGTCATACGGGTTTTATACTGAGTGTTCTAGGAAATACGGAAATGCCAATGTGTGGCATTATTTCACAGACATGTTTGATTTCTTGACTCTGAGTGTTGTCATTGACAATCAGATATTCTGCGTACACGGTGGTATGCTTCAAAATTCAGCTATCCTTGCTTCATGTCCGCCCTTTCCCCCGGCACTTTCGCGCTGACAAATGGCAGGCCTGTCGCCATCAATCCATTCCATTGATCAAATCAAAATCATAGATCGTTTCCGCGAGATCCCCCACGAAGGGCCGATGGCGGATCTAGTATGGTCGGACCCGGACCCCGAACGAGACGAATTCTCCCTCTCACCCCGCGGGGCAGGCTATACCTTCGGAGCCCAGGTAGTCAAGAAGTTCCTGGCCGTGAACAACATGTCTCATATTCTGCGGGCACATCAACTCTGCCAGGAAGGTTTCCAAGTGTTATACGACGACAGGCTTAGCACTGTGTGGAGTGCCCCGAACTACTGCTATAGATGTGGTAATATGGCTAGTGTGCTGGAGGTGAGCGACAACGGAGAGAGGTTCTTCAACGTCTTTGCGGCAGCACCTGAGAACGACCAGCACAAAGACATACAGCCGGGAAATGAAAAGGTCGCCGATGGCAATGCTCTGCCGGATTATTTTTTGTAGTGTGGGTGCATCATGTGCGAGCTAGCGCTGTCTTGGCATTCTTGGTGTTACATATTTCGGCAAATAGATAGAATTGCATAACCACCTGCAATGGTTTGAAAGCGATCGGTTTGAAACTCTTGCCAAAGTCTTGTGCGGGATATTAAAAACAAGAAATTCCAGTCTTGATATTTTGTTCTGGTAATATACGAATATGAAAGCAATAGGCTTTCTACTCACTAGACAAATAAATGTAGCCTTGCAGGTATTTTCGTTGCCTCGTTACGCTTAACAAACATGTGATGCCAAATCCGCCCCCAAATCACAGGCCGTGACATTACCAGTCCTTGGCAATGTCAAAGCTCCACTCGAACTCGAGATGCTTCTTCTTGTCGTCGTCAACGAAGCTAGAAAAAGTGTTGTAGTGGCCACGGGCGAGCATTCCAGAGGGGGCCTCCTCCTCCTGGACTACAAGCGTGCAAGGTCAGCATCGACGTCGCCAGGAGTTGGGTGGACTGGCGGTTGGCCACATGACTTACACTTCTTGGTGTACGCGGGCTGGTTTTCCGTATTGGGGGCATAACTCCCCTGTTCAAACAGTCAGCAGCGGCGCTGTACAGACACCGAAACATGCATTTCCTTACAATCATCTCCGAGTCCTTGGAGACCTTGATACCCTTGCGCTTGACGACCTGGACGTAGTGCAGACCACTCAATATCTCATGTTGGACCTTGAACTCGGCGCTCATGGTGAACTTGGAGCCTTCCTTGATTTTAAAGGGCTTGTCCTTGAGGCTCTTCTCGCTCCCCGGCGTGGACAGGTCAATCGTGACGGGGTCGCGGCCGGGAGAGTCGAGGGTCAGAGCACGGATGATGCAGACTCGGGGATCGTTGGGGTCGGAAACATCTTTGCCGCCGCCCAGGCCGAGGGACTTCTTGTACCTCTGGAGAGATTCATCGCCGGCATCTACCAAGAAGAGTGCGTTAGCCCTGTGGGTTTGCTGCAACGTGAGTCGAATACGGTCATTCTCGACGCGGGGTCCAGTGTTGATTGCCCGACAAAGGTAGATGAACCGCCCAACGAATTCGTTGAAGGAACAGGAAGACGGGCAAAAAAAAAAAAAAAGAAAAAAAAATAACTCCAAAAAAAAAAAACTCCGAGTTAACATACCCATCTGCTCGTACTGAGCTAAGCTCTGCTTGGGCTGGGAGAGCTTGTAGCCTTGAGTCTCCTCGGGCATGGAATCTTCTTCGTGGGACGCCATCTTGTCTAGAGGTGGGGGGTTTTCGCTCCAAAGTACCAACGGTGGGTGAGATGGTTAAAAGGCGAGATTTCTATCCCAATTATGATATGTATGCTAAAATACCGGTTGCTGAGAATAAAACAAGAGAAACGCGCGCCTGTTCTAATGGCAATAGAAACATAAAAGAGTTGAAGGGGAAAGGGAACGGACAAGAAGACCAGGGCCGGTCAGGGAGTTCGTCGAGGCGATTGCGGCGACGGTGGAGGGGCAGCCTACGCCTCGATGGTGGGGTTCAGGTTGGGGGCACGGGCTTGATTGGACCACGGGCTTGGCGGGGGGATTTCGGACGGAGTACAGGGCTGTCAAACAGTTCGGATAAGGGGGAGCAGTTTTCGCCAGGGGTAATTGTGCATTGTACATTGTATGTATGTTTGCTCATTCGTCGTATTCTTGTTGCCGTGGCGGTTTCTAGTCGCTTTTTGATGACGTCCAAGTGTGGTCAAGGTGGTTGATGTGTGCCAAGTACCTGGTGCCTAAGTAGGTATGCTTGTCTGCATTGCATCATCGCATGTTTCCTCGAATAATGTGGGCTTGGGTTTCTGGTCAGAAGCGAGTCGTTACTACTGAGGCACTGGCGGGTAATCCCGAACGTAAAAAATACCAGTCGTAATATCCGGGACCTACGTAAATATGCAATTGCATACGGCCTGGCGGTGTGAGACTCGGCCCAAGCAAGCATTCAATTTCTCTTTGAGTGAACTAGCGTGGTCCTCATTCCGAGCGAAACTTGAGCCAAACCACCGAGTACAATGCAATGGTCAATGGCCTGAAATCAGTATCAATAGTCCCTCCTGGTTCTTGGCCCCCCGGCGCATCGAGATTGGCATTATCCCGGAGGATAAATACAGCAGCAGGCGTTTATAATTAGCAATGCAATGGAAGCCAGCCTATACTCGTCTCGGCCATCGAGCCTCAGCCGCACCAGCTCATCAACCATCTATGCAACAGGGCATTTTGGCCTTGCGGCATGATCTTTCAGTTCTGGCTCACAGCCTCAAACCTGGACCAAGCAGATCATCATGGATCATGGCCGACGTTCCCAGGCCCGGGCGCAGCCTGTTGACGATGTAGACGGGCTCGGCGCGCAACTCGCCCAGATGATCGTCCCGATCCTCACTGCCCAAAACTCATGTCAAGTCCACGAGCAGTGCGACAGCAGCTGCCCTAATCGCATTGGCGTCCGGCGCTACCTCCTAATGCCCAACGGTGAGCGGCGCCATGAAACAGACGAAAGAGCCAGCTTGGGCGAACAACTCGGCGCCGCGAGAGTCAACAACGATGGACAGCCGCCCAGACAGCAGCCCTTCACGATTCATCCCGACACGCCGAGATTCGTATACGAGAGACTCCCATCGCCACATGGCATGATTCGGCTGGTAAAGTTGAAGAGCGCCTATTTCAGAGAAGACCCCGTCGACTGCGAATTGCTCACTTTTGACATGGATGACTTGCCGCCGTACGGGGCCCTTTCGTACTGTTGGGGTGAGGCAGCAGATGCGTGCAAAATGATATGCAATGGGCACTTATTCTATGCGCGCCCCAGTTTAGAACGCGCCTTCAAGAGGCTGCGAGCTGGATTCAGTTCCGGCCAAACAGAAGGGTACATCTGGGCAGACGCCTTGTGCATTAACCAGGGGGATCTGGAAGAGAAGGGTGCTCAGATCCAGCTCATGGAGCGGATTTATTCATACGCCTCTACGGTATACATTGATCTCGGAGACACAGATGGCCGTGTCGTTTCGGGTACTTCTAATCTGTCGGCAACCATCCAGGGAGCCTCGGGAATGGGCAGTCCCGATGCCTTGATCCCGGTCGGCCGTGATACACCACATCCACTATTATACAAGACTGTGTTTCTGGCTCTGCAACAACCTTGGTTTACAAGAACGTGGGTCATTCAAGAGGCTGCGTTGGCGAGAAGAGCAGTGTACATGTTCTGCGGCAATGTGCTTTCGCAGCAGCAGTTGGATGATATTTTGAGCCGACAGGCCATGCGTGCGAATCCAAGCCGTATGCAGGAACTGATGCAACTTGGGGGCAATGATGCGCTCCGCAACTATCTCAACTATGCGAAGCTGCAGCAAATAAAGGATGCTCGAGGGAGAATGACATCACTGGAGCTTATGGAACTGACGAGGGACTTTGCTGCTACTGATCCGGCGGATAAGGTGTTTGGGTTGTTGGCGCTCATGAGTGACGATGATCGGCAAGCCATTGGACCCTATCCCCAAACCGTTGAAGAGGTGTTTCGACGTTTCGCAGCACTTCAAGTCCGACGGGGATTCGCCATCAAGATGCTCGACAGTGCAGGTCTCCAACGGAGAAACAACTCTGAACGAAGGCTTCCATCCTGGGTACCCGACTGGATGGGACAGACGAAGTCGCCGAAGCAAATTGCTGGCCTGCGTCCTGTTCCGTACGCAGCTTCTGGATTTACAGAACCCCAAGTCCGCATGGTTGGAGATGAGTCGGGATCCGGCGGCCTCAGTCTTCGTGGCATGATAGTCGACACAATCGATAGTGTTGTCTATGTCCACAGCGCACCGGTAACAGCCGAAGGCGAACCATCATTTCTGGCGTTCCATGAAAAGTTCCGCCCGGCGTTTGACAGCTACGTGAACGGGATCAAGGGGAAACCCAGGTACATGGACAATGAAGAGGTGTTTGCGCGCTTGTTACTAATGGACGATACATATACGGGCCGCAATGCCATCCTGTATAGCAGCCCTATAGAAAACCCGGCCTTGACGTATCGTTCCGCACTGGCCGCCTGGCGCGAAGGGCGTAATTATCGTAATGACATGGGCGCCGGGAAAATGGACGCCGTGCAGACCTTTCAGATGCAGGCGATTGCAGTGTGTCCTGGCCGTGGGTTTGCGACAACTCGAGGGGAGTATATCGGGTTGGTGCCACTAGCCGCGCAAGAGGGTGATCTGGTAGTAGTGTTTTACGGTGCTACTGTCCCGTATGTTGTGCGGCGAGTAGAGAACGGTTATATATTGGTAGGAGACGCATTCGTACACGGGTTCATGTGTGGTGAGGCGTTGGAGAGGCGGGACTTGGAGTCGGTTGATATTGTCCTTGTTTGAGGTATCTACTATGCAGCGGTGACTGCTGTATGTAGTCCATTCGCCGAGAAGGGCTGTCTGTAGGGCCAATCCATGCCTAGCTGGGTACTTAAGTAGGTAGGCGTTTGAGTGTTTACGAAACAACGCTGCTGCGTTGATTTGATTTGAGTTGTATGGTAAGCTCAGTCCCGGTCGTGGGTTGCGTAAGAAGGACTCCCAAGAATGAATGCGTGCAGGGACCACAAACAAAGTATTGGTACCAAGGAGCCCAGAAAAAGGCTGCGCTTGCCTTCTCTTCTCAGGAAGCCAGCCTGTCGACTGTTTGCCTGGGGCCAGCACCATAAATTGATACCACGATGTACGGAGTACCCGCCTTGCCTCCCCGACGCGCAGTGGCCCCCCCGTGGCCCCCTCCGTTATTTTTAATCAGCCAGCTCATTGGAAGTGGCCGCGGCTACTACACCTCTCAGGTCTGTTTCGTTTCCTGGTGCAAAGGCGCCGCGGGAAACGCGCTGCCATTTGATTCAATGGTAAGAGCCTCAGTGGCTTTGCCGGTTTTCTGTTACTGGCCCGCTTGCCTGCCTGTGCAGCACGAGGGTCTCATCCTATACGCCCCACTTGTTCTCCTTTGGAGCTCTGCTCTCATTTTCTGCTACGCGCAGCCAATAGGCATGGCCCGCGCTAGTGCCCGGCCACTCCAGTCTGGATGGCCTGTCCATTAACGTACCCTGGTATCCAACTACTTGAGCCATCACATGTGTGTCAAGGTGTCGGAAGTATTCACCAAGGTACCTAAGTACCTCGTCCTCCACTCTTGTCACTTGCAGCACTTGCACAGCTGTGACTTTTATCCCCCGTCACTCCCCCCCAGCGTTTCCTCCCGCCCCGACTGCCCTTTCGCAATCCACTTCCACTTCATAAGTTACGTACCAACTGACCACTTAAGCATTTACCTGCTGGTCGACCACCCTGCCGCTAAGGCTGCGCTGGAGCTCTGGAGCCTCTTCACCTCCCGCTTCTCGTGCCCGGACGTATTTTGCGCGACTCGTCTCGCTCTGTCTCTCCCACCCCCCGTCCACGAGTTGTCTGCTCTCTCTGCATCTGGTCCGCAGGGTGACTATTCCATCAGGATTTTCCTGCTCCAACTTCTCCTTTCGGAACATTGCCTTTTTTTGCATCTCTTTTGTAGGATTGGCTGTTTGTTTATGCTTCAACCTCACGCGCTTTCGCTTCTCCGGCACTTGGTATGTACCATCACGTATCTGGCTTTGAGACTTGCACGCGCAAAATCCCTGCCTCTACCCACTGTGTCGGCGCTGACGCGATTTTTTGACGAATTGCAGATTATCACCAAGGGCCGTCGCGCATAAGCACTGCTCTTTTGGACCTCAGCACGTCGTTAGCAGAGTAGCAGTTGTTGATGCTCTTGGTTGGCGTCGCGGACGTGACTTCTAGCGCCCACCAACGTCTAGCTGTTGAACAAAATGGCTACTCCGAGCCAGCGAAGCCTTCCCACGCGGCACAACCCGTTCCTTCTCGAGAACGTTCCTGAATGTATGTTGACCCCCGCCACTGTCTTCGTAGCGCGCTCTTCAAGACTTATCAATCTACCGTCACCAGACCTCGAGCTTGTTCAGCGCCGTCGGCTTGGTCAGACCAAACTTACCCCTAAGATGGTCGGTGGTGACGACGCCGAATCTACCGCTCTAGGCGTGTTCGATTACGCGCACCTGCGGGCACCTCTGCCCAAGGGTATCGTTTCCGGAATCTTCAAGTCGAGCCCGACGAGTTACTTCCTCATGCGCCGAAGCTTCGACGGCTACGTTTCCGCCACGGGCATGTTCAAGGCCACGTTTCCCTACGCCGAGGCTTCGGATGAGGAAGCCGAGCGCAGGTACATCAAGTCACTTCCGACTACAAGTCCAGAGGAGACTGCTGGCAACATCTGGATTCCTCCGGAGCAGGCTCTGGCTCTGGCCGAGGAATACTCTATTGGTATTTGGATTCGCGCTTTGCTGGACCCTGCAAAGATTCCGGTTTCCTCATACTCAAACCCCGATTCCCCCCCAAAGAACATTTCTGCGCCACCTAAATTCGACTTCGTAAAGGCCTCGGCAAAGCTTGCACCCCCATCAACGTCTACACTGGCCAAGAGCTCTCGCAGTCGTCGATCTGTCAGCCCTACCAAGGGGTCGAGACGTGGTCCTGCCTCGCCGCGAAAGCGTAAAATTCAATCCAAAGCCAGCTCGACAGAGCCAACGGCTGACAAGGCAGAAGTCAATGGCGATTCCAAGAATGGCAAACAGGAGGACATTGTCCTGAAAACTAGCGAGTTCGAGCCTGCCGTGGTTTTGGAACCCAGGACTGAGGATGCAACCATGAAGATCCGCGTCGATGAGGTTTCAAAGGATGCTGCTGGCCATGAGACCAAGCACACTGTTACAGAGGTTGACGTTCCTCTGCCCGTGGCAGGGGAGCCACCTAGTGCTGAAGAAGTCGCCAGAATGATGGAGGCAGCCAAGGAGATGGTACAGAAGGACAGGGAAGCGGATGAAAAGCATGCAGAACAACAAAAGAAATATGATGACGACAAGGGCACGGATACAACAACAACCACAGTCAAGAAGGGCAAGCGTAAAGCTGGGGACATCTCCATGTCTGAAAAGGACGACGAAAAGGCGCACAGTATGGCTGAAGAAGCTAAGGAAGAGCAACCACGGGCAAAGAAAGTCAAGACTGAGGCAGAATTACGGAAAGACAGAGTCAAGAACCGAGCTCTGTTTGGTATTGGCGCTACAGTCGCAGTTGGGTAAGTTGCGCTAGGAGGCGTCGTGTTTGATAGATGTTACTCTCATGAATTTGGTGGTGGCTAACGGCGAACAACAGTGCTCTTGTTCCATGGCTGGTCAACTTCTTGTAATGGATGCTGTATGGCTTAAGTGTTCAAACTAGCCACGACGCCGCCTTGGGCAAATCTCGACACCGGGGGCCTACAGAGACTGGCGTAAAATGGGTTCTGCTTTTTTTGTGTTTTGCTAATTTTTGCCTTTTTTCTTTGCTCGGAGGGGACGAGAGAAGAGCCATTTCACGTTTGACTGAGACGAGGATACCCGCGGCACATCTCGAGCTTCTGCCCAGTTTTTTGGCCTTTGGACATAGGGATTTGCCAAGTCCCAGATTTCGCCATTCTTTTTGTTAGATGCTGGTTCTAGATGAGCTCGGGATTTTCAGGTTGATGGACTTCGTTTTTATAATCCCTTGCGCCTTTATTTATTTTTAGGATTTATCTTACCCCCCTTCGTTCATTTGGTTGCATTTGGTCGTGTCAAGAGATTGGTATTCCCCTTGGACACCACGCCACCTTCGCAACCGCGGTATTCTGGTTGGAGGGTGTTGGGTGACAGGTGTCCGGTGATCAAGCGATAGAAAAGGAGCGAGGCATGAGATGAGATGCGGATGGTGGTAAGCTCATGTGTGCGCTCATTGGAGGATTGCGCAGGGCTCAAGGCCACTATTGATGAGGTGCCAGGTCGAGCTTCGCGGGATTTGGTGAGAGGTATGAAAGCAAGATGGGCCATGGGAAGAGTAGTATTGATTGTAATGATTATAAGGCATTTCAGACGTCTACATAGTCTACCAATGGATTGGCGGTGATGTGATTAACTCTGCTGCCCGGCGCGGGGCGTATGGAGTCGGACATGTTGAATGTATTCCGGCTCAGGAGTGTTAGAGTCTAGTGTGAAGAGATCAAATGCCGACATATAGCAATGTTGGCAACTGGCAAGTTATAAAGTAAAGCCGTAACCGTCTGTCTTGGGCCGAAGTGGACAGTAGACGAGGTACTTTGTCCTCATAGGACGCCTAGCAGGTATTGCATGTACTCCGTACGCTAGAGGCCATATTTCTTCCCTCCCCCTCTGCGGCCCCTCCTCCGGTTTTCCCCACACGCATCGACTGGTTGAGGACGAATCGACGAACAAAGTCTCACTCACCCGCAAAACGCCCCCAAACATGTCCATTCAGCCATTGATGCGGCCATGCTTGATCCTTGCGCCCCATCCTCCCAAAAATGGCTGGCAGCGGCAATGGACGGCTTTCTCGGTAAAGGCATACGCAGCCCGAGAACCACGGTTTCGGTTTGACGCAACCCGTTTGGCCGTGCCACCGCGTGCCACATTCGTCTACCTCACTGGTCTTTTTCCTCCTTCCCTTTCTCTCTCCGATGTTTGGCCATGGAGTTGCGACTGAAGAGCAAGTTTCTAAGCATTGTCTCTTTATAACCTCCCAGAATGCGACTTGTTGGTGCCCGCCTAGGCGGTCTCGTGCAAAGGAGGGGGTTCGCGTCGACTGCCGGGCGGCTGGATCATTATGCCTTTGTTGGTCTCGGCCAAATGGTAAGTCTTGATGCCGTGACCCTCGAACTGCCCTGGCCCAGAGACCGAATTGGCGTGTGAGAGTTGTTGATGGACAAGTTGCTGACATGGTTCGCTTTTGCAGGGCTACCAAATGGCCAAGAATCTCCAGTCGAAGCTCAAGTCCACGGATAAGGTGTCCGTCTTCGACATCAACCCGCAAGCCATGAAGAGCCTGGAAAGTGATGTGAAAGCTGTTTCTGGCGGCGCAAAGGTTGAGCTTGCCCCCAGCGCGTGGGCAGCGTCAAAGGAGGCTGTAAGTTTTTGATCTTGGGTGAATTGCATCGAATTCATGCGCAATGCCGATTCTTCCACACGTCTCGTTGCACACGGTGAGATAAAGTGTTTGTACAACTTTCTTCTATTTCGATCGAGGGTGAGATGTAGACGGGCTGAACAGTGCTCTGTTCGTCAAAACTGTGACAACAGAGCCCCTGCAAAGCAAGAGTCGGACCAAGGCGGTGGTTAGGCGAGGGTGTTATGATGCAGTGGCCAGCCATCACGGAAAAACATAGACGTGAACATGGCTAATAGAACTCATTGCTATAGGACACAGTCATTACTGTTCTCCCCGAGCCCCAACACGTCCAAGGCGTCTACAAATCCATTTTGACAGGTACACTGCCGCAGAAGGACCGCGTCTTCATCGACTGCTCGACAATTGACCCCTCGACGTCCCGCGAGGTGGCCAGGTCGGTTTCTGATGCCGGCCAGGGCACGTTTGTCGACGCTCCCATGTCGGGAGGAGTGGTGGGCGCCACGGCCGGCACGCTGACCTTCATGCTCGGAGCCAAGGCCGATATGGTCCCCCGTGTCGAGCCCACGCTGCTGCAGATGGGCAAGAAGGTGCTTCACTGCGGCGAACAAGGCGCGGGCCTATCCGCCAAGCTCGCCAACAACTACCTGCTCGCTCTCAACAACATTGCCACGGCAGAAGCCATGAACCTGGGGATGAAGTGGGGTCTGGATCCCAAGAAGCTTGCGGGCGTCATCAATGTCAGCACTGGCCGCTGCTGGCCAAGTGAGGTCAACAATCCCGTAAAGGGCGTGGTCGAGACGGCGCCGGCGGGACGCGATTATGGCGGTGGATTCGGCATCTCCCTGATGAAGAAGGATCTGCGACTGGCGATGGTGGCTGCCAAGGAGGCTGGGGCCAAGATGGCTCTCGCCGACACTGCGTTTGGCGTGTACGAGGACGCGGAGAAGCGGGAAGAGTGCAAGGGACGCGACTTTTCGGTGGTGTATAGATATCTCGGGGGCAAAGAGTAGACTTGTCGGCGTCGTTGTGAATGATGATGGACACTTTTGAGCCTCCCGCGCCATGCCAAGCCCGATTGCCAGAACAGGACATGCCGTGTCCCATGTTGAATTTAAACTGCATCTAATATCTCCACATGTAAACTACCTCTACCCATCGTCCACATGGAGGAAAACCCTCGGCCGAGACTCGACATCTCTGCCCGGTGAAGTCGGCCTGGATGAATCAATTCGTCCGCACGGCACAGCTCCTGACTCGGACCAACCCGAGCGCGCCCGGAGGGATCACGACAGTCTGCTGCTGTGTGCACGGTCACGGTCAGCCTTTGTCCATTCAATGTTGGGCACAACTCCACTTTCATAACTGATGGTGTTCGGGTCGGCGGCGTCCCGGGAAGCCATCCCACATTTTTTGCGCGATGGCCTTTATTTTTTTTTCATGTTGTCGATCGATCAGAGAGATTCCATCTTGGAAGAGTGATGGAGGCTGGGCGGAGAGTCTACCTAGGAGGTGAAGCATGCTCGACACGGGGCGGCAGAAGACTCAACCAAGTTGAGTTTCTAGCCAGAAAAACTTCCATCACATTATGGCACAACCAACATCAGCAGTCATCAGCCGCACTGCGGACGTAACACGGAATCAAAACCAGACGCCCAATCAATGCCAAGTACTACTACACTCCGCACTGACAGCGGAGTTTTCGCGCCCGAAGGAGAACATCCCATCCGGCTGGCATGCTGCGGTCAGCACGCCCACCCATCCGTCTACGGAGTACTACTTTGGTCAGTTCTCGTAGCCAACTGGACGCACGAGCTGGGAGAGATATTTCAGATCAGGGCGCTAAATCCGTGATACGCGTATTTCCTTGTGCCTCATGGGGCTGCGCTTATATATGTGTGTACTATATCCCAGAGTTTGCTCTCGGGGACTAGCTTCTAAGTTCTCCCCATGAACCGCTGTCCAGACTCCAGGCTCGATGACCCGGGCCATGCCTTTTCTATTCTCTCCGTGACTTCATTCACCCTCGTTCGAAATCAAGTAGTTGCCGGCTGATCCAAGTTTCTCACCCCCTGGGGGATCTGTAACAGATCTGCTGCCACCCTCTGCTGCCACCCGAAACACCACACCTACGACCCGAAACGAGCAAGCTCAACTATATACAGGACCACACGATCAAAACCTTGTGAAGCAACGACGAGCACCTTTATACAGCCGCAAGCCATGTCCGACTCTACCGGGCCTCGCGTCAGCGTCACCCGGTGCACCGAGGTCTCTGACCTGTGTCCCGTCGACGAAACCGTCCTGGGATACTACCCGAACCTGGGATCGGGCATCTTCTTCACCATCGCCTTTGGGACATGTCTGATTGCCGCCTTCTCGCTCGGCATGTGGAAGAAGACGTGGACGTACACGGCAGCCATAACGATAGGGCTGATACTAGAAACCGCAGGTATGTATTCGTATTGCTCCCCCGAAGAGATGTCGAGTGCTCCTCGTCCACCACCATCATCACCACCTCAGTAACCTCACCACCCATCGTCGAGACAGGCTACGTCGGGCGCATCCTCCTCCACTACAACCCGTGGAACCAGTCCGCCTTTGAGCTGCAGATCTGCGCCATCATCCTCGCGCCCACCTTCATCTGCGTGTCCATCTACCTGACGCTCAAGCACGCCGCGCTGCACCTCAACCCGCGGCTCTCGCGCATCCCGCCGCGCTGGTACCCGCGCCTCTTCCTGCCCGCCGACCTCTCGTGCCTCATCGTCCAGGCCATCGGGGGCGGCATCGCCGCCGCCGCCGGCCACTCCAACCCCAAGCTGCTCGAGGACGGCAACCGCGCCATCATCGCCGGCGTCGTCCTGCAGGTCCTCGTGCTCGCCGTCTTTGGCGCCCTGGCCACCGACTACTTCGCCCGCGCGGCGAGGCACATGCGCAGCTGCGACGCCACGGCCCCCGAGCTCGCCCTGTGGCACGACGCCAAGTTTCGCGCCTTTGTGCTCGGCGTCACGGGCGCCTATGTGGCGGTCCTGATCCGCTGTATATACCGGTACGTTGTTGTTCGCACCCCCGAGCTTGTCTGTCGTTCAGGGGCGCATCATCGTGAACTAACTGATGACCCGGTGGTTGGTTCAGTATTGCCGAAATGGCCGGTGGTTGGGGCAACAGGATCATGCAGGACGAGCCGAGTTTCCTCGTGCTCGACAGCTCGCTCATCCTCGTTGCCGTGTACCTGCTCACCATTTTCCACCCGGGCATCTTCTTTCCTCGGATGGCCAACGGGCACCGCGAGAAGAAGGGCGCTGCTGCTGCTGCTGCTTCCGACGCCGAGAGGGAGAGCCCCGAGCCCAAGGCGACTGACTGTCCGGATTCCTCCAACGAGGGACAGAAGACTGAATCGAGCCGTTGAAGCTGTCGACTGTGGAAAAACGAATGTCATTGAAGACGAGCAGGCGTCTGGCAGGAGTCTAGGGAATAATCAGCATACCCCCAGCATACGTTCCTTTCATCTTGTTAATTGCTCTGGCGTGAATTAGACTTGACTGGCGATTTTGTCTTGGTACATGCATGCAGCATATAGAGCTTTCAAAATTAATACTTCATCACTCTAATCTTTCATGTATTGGTACTCTCTTTCCTCGGCATCTCTATTAAGGCTAATAACAGTTCCTGAACTATTATATGTGAATGCCACTGAGAATGCTTACGTGATGAGTTGCCCCCATTGATGGCATGGTTATCCCTTGACAAGGCGATCACCCTCGCCGTCTTCATCACTCTGCTCGTCGTCGTCGTCTTCCTCCTCATCCTCCTCCTCTTCTTCAGTCTCTTCTTCCTCGGTTTCCTCTTCCGTTTCCTCCTCTGTTTCTTCACTCTCCTCCTCTGCAAGCCAATCATCCAAAGTCTTGGTGCCCACACCCTCTCCCAAGCCATTCAGCTTATTAGGTGGCGGCCTCGAGGTCACGGCTTGGTCCAACATATGACCTGCCGGCACAGCGCTCTGTTCACCATGTCGAGGAGACGTGCCGCCATCGGCATGGTCTCTGAGGCGAGGATCAGGTTCTCTGCCCGGCTCGACCCAGTCGGGAAGTGCTTCATACCCCCTCAGACCATGAATGCCGCCGCCGCCAGCCAGAGCTAGCGTCGAGGAGCCCAACAAAAACCCCTTTCTCGACTCCGATGGACTGGGAGCTTGCGGCGCCGGTTTGGGTGCTAAAAGTATCAATGTAGCCAGTTGAGGGACCTCAAGCAGCGCTTTATACATTCTAGCCCGATCTCGCAATTCGTAAGAGGTGTCATATCTTACAAGTAGGAGTAAGTAGTCCCACAGACGGGTGATAGGGTGGGCGTCCGGCTCTTGTTGGGAATTCTCTTCTGTTTCCTCGGTCTTCTCAGTGTCAGACTTTCTATTCAGAAAATGAAGGTAAACTTTGGCTCCGAGAAGTAAAATCTGTCGCTTGGCAGCCTCAGGCTCATTGACAAAGTCTTTCAACAGAATACGGAGAACATCTGGGGCAATATTGTCTTCGCCGTTCAGACCAGAGAACTCGCCCACCAGCCAAATAATGGAGGCTCTGGCCTGCGGGTCAGACGCTGAATCAAGATTCTTGGCCAGCCGAACGACAGTTCCGACATGGCCTTCAGGATCCTGCTGTATCAAGTGACGAATGACTGTCAAAGACTCTGCTGTTGAAGTCCCGTCTAAACTAGTGGTTTGGCTAAGAAGAAGTTTGAGACATCTGGGGGCCGTCTTGGCGTCGGATTGGGCACATCTTCCAATTGCCCTTACCGCTTCCAGTACCAGAGCCTTGTTTGAGCTCTGAGAAAAGTGTTCCAGCTCTTTCAAGATAAGACTCTTGATGTGGAGCGGACTGTGCGGGAAAATGAGTGTCAACACTTCCAGCTTGAGTTCTCTTACCGGCGCAGGATCAGTAGCCCTAACAAGAAAGTGAGTGGCATATTTGACAAAGTCCTTTGGCCTCTTGAGACAAACTGAAACAATGTTGTATAATGCAAGCTGTTGAATATCCTGTGCCCCCCGCAAAAGTGCAATCAATGGCCCAATAGCGAGCTTGACGTATTCTAGAGTGCCAATTTCAAGGTAGCACCTCGTTACTGAAACAACAACGCCTGAATTTCGGCTTTGAAGCAGTGGCTTGATGCTGTTGAGTAACAATAGCAGGTCACTGTTGAGGGGAACCTGCTGCGTCTTCTTGGCATGTGGCGAGTCGGCATAAAAGTCATCCGCATTCGTATCCCGATGTGGTGAAGTTGCGGCGGGCTCCTTAACCCTAGGGAAACATTTCCTAGCGTAATATACCATGAGCCTAAGCATGGCCAGCTGGCTCCATTCGTCCATGTCCACAATCTTCCGCACCAGGCTTCTGTAGTGTGGATGGATCAGGTCGATTCTGTCCGGGCAGACCTCCAGGAAAGCAGATACGGCTGCACCAGCTACGAAGTATTGCTTGTCGCCGATGAGAGTCGTGAGATAGCCAATCAGTTCTGGCGACTGGCTAGGATCTAAGCGATAGCGTTTTGGGATAGAGAGCGCTGCAGCTTTCCGCACATGAGGACTCATGTCGGCGACTCCATGCTTGACAGCAACCAGCACATATGGGTTGATTGATTCCGCACCGATTCCAGACACCGTCTTGAGCGCCAAGGCTCGCATCTGTGGGTTTGGGTCGGATTGTGACGACTTAAGCATGATATTGACCGATATGAGAGCCTGGTCGGATTCCTCCTCGGCATGATGGGTGAGGTATATATAGGCCAGCTTCTTGATCTCGGTATTCGTCGCTGCAACCTGTTTGGCGACAGACTTGAAGAAACCCAGCGTCTCTTGGCCTCGATACATCATCTGGACATTTGTGAGTATACAGTCAGAGATGGGTCGCGGGACCTGCCCTACGCACCGATATAACCAGCCGCAAGGCGCCCAACACATCTTTATCACTCCCGCTCTCAAGATTCCTCTCAATGTCTCTTGGGCTGAGGGACGGAGAGCTCGAGCCGACATTGCGCGTAGCTTGTGCCACGTCGAGGGTAAGGGCCCTTGCTGAGGTGGACTCGGTCAGTTGTGCAAGAGAACGGAGGGCAGGCGTGAGGAATGCTTACCTGACCCTAGGAAACTAGACATCCTCGATATGGACTCCATATCGAAGATGTGGGCCAAGCCTCCGCTGCTGACGCTGCCTGCGGGTTTGTGTTGCGACAGCTGGGGAGGCGTGAAGTTGATGATGGACGAAGTCTACCTGGGCTGCCGACACTGGCGCTGAGTACTCCGTACTAGTAGCAGCTCCCTTGGTACGTATGCCCGCCATTGACCCCACACTGTCTGCCCCTCCACTAGCTTATTTGACTCGACTCAACCACTTTCTTCCTTAGATGAGGCTCGAGTCGTGACTTCACCCCATTTCAAATTCCCTTGATGTTTGAACTCTGACAAGAAAAAACCATGACGCTACATCGAAAATCTCCAACAGACTACTCCAGTTTTGCCGAATCTCTTCGTGCCCTAGCCTCCGCTAGAAAATGAGGCATGCGCAGTCTGGGTTACTCGCAAGGCAAAAGGCAAAAGACCACGGCCAATCAGTCACTTCACGACTTCCCAAGACCATGACAAGCGCATACGGATTACCGCCTCCGCCGCTGCTCAATACAAGTCCAGATCCAGCTCACCTCTGATTTGTCCATAAAAACACCCCTGGTCAGCATTGCACCATGGCCGGATTGCAGCCTACCATCCTCCGACCCGTCACACCATCCGAGCTCTTGCAGTATCTCATCGCCAACACCACATACCCGACGACAGTGGTCGTAGCATGGCCCCGAGACCAGTTCACAAGCGCCCTCGTGCAAGACATTCAGCAGCAAGAGTCCCACCGAGCTGAAGGGGGCAAAGACGAGCACAGCCACCCACTTCTTCGCGCAACGCTCCTCCAAACAGCCACCGCGCGACACATCAACATCGTCTTCGCACCAACAGTGACGCATCTGCGCGCCCATCTGTCCACATTCTCGGCTTCTAAATCTAGAATACCCGCGCCGCCGAGGCTGGACTCCCTGCGAGAGCCGCCAGCACTCATTGTATATGGTCTGTTGGACATACACCGCGATGGAATGGAGTGGTCGGCCCAGGGAATAAGTTTATCAGCAGCGGCATTCGTCGAGAGCGCACTCAGGAACAAATTCCGCGCAGTGGCGGTTGAAGCGAGACGAACGAGTGATGAAGAAGAGCTGGAGCAATCTCTGAAAGAAAACGTGCCCGTTCTAACAGGAACGCCGTTGAAGGAGGATGGTTCATGGAGTGGGCCGATTGTCCCAGTGGGTAGAGTACTGGGCAGTTGGTTCAAGATAGATGCCAAAACAGATGAATAACGTCAATCTGATTCCATCATTTCGTTTTGCTAACTGACACTGGCCTAGTGATGTAATAACTTGTAAATGCCTCCAACGCCAAGCCGTGGTATCTCATCATATCCATTCATATTAGACATGTTAAAATGAAAAAAAAAAAAAGAAGCAAAGAAATTAGCCCTCAAAAACACTGCTCAACTGATAGACTGCTCCATTTCCGTAATGTATAGCTTGATGTGTGCCTCCATCTTGAGATACTCGTCGTACGCGGCGTGCACCTCATTTTCAATGTTCTCTTTGAGGTCAAGCATCTGTCTCTCATTAGTTCTCTGAAATGGCGTCAAGACATGACGGCACAGCTCACCTTCTTCTCCTTCTGCTCAATCCTGACCCTCCGAATCTCCATCTCTTTGCCTTTGTCTGTGTGTTCTTCCGTCAACTTTCGGTGAATGGCGCTTAGCTCATGCATTTTCTCCTTGGCTTCCTGAGCCTTTTGGTGACTCTGCTCGCGCAACTTCTCAGTTCGATCAGCCCACTTGCTCAACTGCCGTCGCAGCAACACTTCGGAGCGTTCCACCTCTCTGGCGTTATTTCCCCTTTCAGATAAGGCGTCGCGTTGCTTGGAATTTCTGACCATTTCTTCCTCTTCCTTTGCAAGTTCGGTAGCGATTTCGTCGAGAATCTTGATACATGACGCAACGTCCGTTGATACCACGGTGAATGAGTCCGTCGATGTCTGGAGTGCACGCGCTCTGCGGTCGAGCGCATCAATGTGCGCCTTGTCGTTGTTGAGAATCTCGCGTAGCTCTGTCAGATTATCGTGCAATGCCGACGGGCTTTGCAGCATGTACGGCCGCAGCTTATTGCTTTCTTGCTTTAATGTTAATTTATCTTGTGTTTTCTGCTCCAAACGACTCGTGAGCTCGCCCTTCTTCGCCTTGGCCTCGTCTAATCTTGCCGCGACTGTCTTTTGATGTCGTTGCAGCTCGAGCAGCTGCTTCTTGAGCTCCTCGTTTCTCATTGTCTTTTCACGGACCTGGGCCTCCATGGCCTTGCGATTATGTCTCATGTCTTCAAGTCGCGCCTCGTTTTCCTGGTTTTCCGCATGCAGCGTCTCAATTCTACTCTTTGTTGACTCGGATTTGTTGTAATATTCGTCGATGAGTGTGGTCTGCGACTCGCGGAATCGGACAAAGTTGATGAGGTAGCTGAATATTTTGACCAGGCGTTCATACGTAGGCTTGTACAAGTCGTTGAATGTAAAGTCGGTGATTCCACACTCGTATAGCAGCCGGCGCAGCGATACATAGAATCCCATCAAGTTACGCGTGTCGGTGGGCACCACGTCAGAGAATTCGCCGCAAACGTCTTCCGCGGCAGCGCGCATTGCCGGCTCGACCGTTTCTCTCGTGGAATTGAGCAGCAACTCTGCGAACCACTCGAAGATTTGTTGTACATGCGCAGGGTTCGGTTTCTGAAGGTCCGCGACCGTGAAGTGAATGCCAATGTCGGTGATGCAGCCCACGATTTCGCGGTCTGGGAGACGCATGAAGGCATCGGCTTCATCCTCCTTTTTCCGGGACCGGCCCTGCTGTTGATTCGTGGGTATGATGCTCATTCTCGGGTTGTACGCCATGTTGTCGTTTTATTTTCTGCTTGTGCCGAATGTTGAAAGCGACAAACTCGGCGGGATTGGGATGCCGCGTTGCTGGTCGCGTTGCGTTGCCATGGGAAACCAAAACATCGACGCGTGGGGCAAAGTCAACCTTGAACCCAACCAATCCTGCCTGCCTCTCCTTCCTTGAACTATCAGGGCGGGTGGGCAATTAACCTTTGCAACTGTGCAATAGTTAGCTGGTATTCCTTGTGTTATACATGTACAGGAAAGGATAAAAATAATATGTACTATTTTTTATCTTCTTTTTTTTCTGGCACGATACTCATGACATTTGTGGTAGCCGACAGGTTCAGCTCAAACTACATACAAACGTACATACATATGTAGCTACTGATTCTTAGAAACCGATTCACACGCAACCATAAGCCAGTCTTGACAAGTCACGAGACGTATCGCGCAGTTTTTGTGCTATCAAATACAACAGTGTCTTCGTTTACTTGGTCATACACCACATGTCTTCTGACAGAGACATAGCGTCTACGTCTAATATCAATTATTATACATTGTATGGCATGCTGCAGAGGAATTCCTGGCCCCTGATTGCGCCCTTTATACACTTCACATTCTAACCCAGCTCTTCCTGGCCCGTTCATGCGGCAATCTTCTTCAAGGCCTCTAGCAGGGCAGGAGGATTGGCTCCAACCATCTCGTCAACCTTCTTCCCATCTTTGAAGAAGAAAAACGTAGGCATGGCGCGAACGCCCAGAGCTTGTGTCACAGCCGGCAATTCGTCGACATCAAATTTGACAAAGTGGACTCTGTCCTTGAAGACGGCGTCCTCGGAGTGTCTGTAATTGGGATATGAATTAGCAAAGTAGTTTTTTTTTTTTTTAAGTTTGAATACGTAAATGACTAAGCGTGACCGGGGCATCTTCAAGATTCTTTATATAACTCGAGAGCAAATACGGCATACTTTTCAAGGATGGGAGCAATTGCCTTGCAAGGGCCGCACCACGTAGCGAAGCAGTCAACAATGACTCGGTCGTTTTCAGTTACAGCTTTCTGGAATTCCTCGGCACTAGCGTAATGCGATAAATCGTTAGCTCTGATGCTTGAGTCAAGGCTGCTGAGGTGCAATACGTTTTGACGTTGTGAACGATTCTCCTGGCCGCTGACAGGTGAAACGCCCTGGAAGCGACTGGCGGTCGCACCGACGTGACTATGTTAGCCCGCGCCGTCGAGGCCAACTGCCCAATAAAACGGGAGGATAGCATCTGGAGAGATGAGATGAGATGAGATGAAATGAATTGCGTCGAGTCAAATGTTGTGAACAACTGAGGGATGAAGTGGTGTTGAAATTTCGGATGGTCCGCTCCTCGGGATGCCACCTCATTGGTGTGTGGTGACGACGGGCGGAGTTCGTTGCTTTCGAGCGAGCATCTACGCATCTACCACGGAGTTACTATGTGCGAAGCTGTCGAGTAGTGGGAGAATAACCAGGCTAAATTAGACGTCTGTCCTGGCTTAACACAACGTTTCTCTTGGCACAGGAGAAAACTCATTCAGCAAATAATAAGCCTTTCTTCCTCGAAAGTTCTCCCGCAACGTCAACTATACTCCCATCTCAGAGCCTAGTACCTACAACATTGATACATTCATAATCGTCAGGCAACACTAAAGTCGTAGCCAACTATTCCAATTGACCTATCAAACTCGACCCTATCCGTGACTAAATTCTACATCCAAGTACGCAAATTCGCCACTGTCCTCTATGTAGCAGCTACAGAAGCGCAACAGAGGCAAAAAGCTCAAAACACCATTTGAAAAAGCACCATTGGCTCGCCAATATGCAAACGCCCCCCTTAAAAAAAACATAAAGCCACACCAAGACCAGTCTTTCCTCTTTTTGTGCCCCACTGTTCTGGCAATGAATTACAACAAAAGTACAAAGCACAAGGATCAAGTTTCTCCCGATCAATGAGGTAACCTAAGCTCTGCTGTGAGGTGGAGCTCATGAGACCGTGATGGCGAGTAATTGATAAATGCCTCGGGTAGTTCAGAGGTATAATAGCAAACAGAAAAATCCAAGACAAAAGTACGGGGGCTATCCATGGGTATCTTATGCAGTATGTGTGCTCGAAATGACAAGAGACAAGCGCTGTATAGCTAAGGGTCGATATAAACAGGACCTGTGATTCGATCCAAGAGGTCTGAGGGGGTGGGACAGCGTGCGAATATGCACCCGCTGAGCTTCCTAGCTTTCGGCATCGCAGTAATTCGAATTACCCGTATCGAAGAGTTTTCTAATCCCGTTCATTTTCGTAATTTTTCGCGTTTTTTTTTTCGTAATGATATTTAGTTGGTCTTTTCGAGTTTTTATAGGTGCTTTGTCGGTATGTAGTGTTTTGTTGGGTTTTATTGATTTTCAAGTTTTTAGATTTTTGGTGGTTGTGTCACCAATGGTGTTACCAAACACCGGCGGTAAGGCATCTGTACCAATGTGTTGACATGTAGATAGTAAAAGAATGTCAAGGGTGGTTCCTCCCGAGGAGTACTACACAAAAAGTGATTAGACAAAGGAAATACTCATATATCCAACGGGTATTAGAAAACTCTTCTTTCGGTGTAATTGGAATGCTAGTGCTTTATTGGGGAGTAGCAGTGTGCTTGATCGCAGTCTCGCGTCACCCTCCCTTATTGCTTATGCCCGACTTCTCGGTATATAAGGATGGCGTTATCTTCCTCGTCCCCTGAATCAATGTTTAACAACCCATGTTGGCTGCGGATGGTGTCTCTGTTATGGTTATGAAACTGCACGACCTCGGGTTTGGCGCCAACGCGTCCCCACTTCACATCATCGGTGATCGTAATCGATTCTCCCGCATCACTACTGGGGCGTCCTTCACCTGAGCGACGTCCACTAGCCACTGTGCCTGGACTTCTGTCTGGTGCCAGCCGGGAAAGGTATTCGTCATCGGCGATAGCCAAGTCTTCTCGGGTCGAATTCGTAGGAGACTCTGATGGTGCATTCTCACGACGATGCGCTCTCAACAAGCTATCTCGCTTCACCGACATCCTCATGCTACCTACACGCCCACTGAGCCACGACCCTTCAGAGTCTATCGAAGCCAGCGATATGGACACGTGGGGCTCGGCTGATTGCGCGCCTTGAGGTCGTTCTATTGAAGGCGGGGTACCGTGTCGTGAGGGAGGTGTTGGTCTTGAATCTATTTCGGACGACTTCTCCGCAAGCACAGGGAGCGGTGGATCAGCTTCGGGGGACTGTACTCTGGAGTCTGGTGGTGATAGAGGAAATTCGGGTAAATCTTCCCGGAACCTCGACTTGGTTCGTTTAGGTATGCCGGCGCCCGCCTTGGCGGCCAAATAATTGGCTGGGTTGGACATATCTTCGCCCTGCAGCCTGGCCAACGCTTCAGCCTGTGCTTGGTTTTGCGTAGCTGCACCGGCAGCCTGCATCTCCTCGCGTGAGGTATTGGAGAAAGACGACGGGCCGGAATACCTCTGATTCCTGCTTCCCCATTTCAGCAGGGAAGAGAAAGAGAGTCGGCTACCGGCTTTGGTGCTGCATTCGGAATTCTTGCGACCGGATGCTCCGTCGGCGGGTTGGTCTTTATCAGAGCCAAGCGTTGACTTAGACCTTGACTTCTTGGACCGCAGCATGCCCGCCAGCTTCGATCCCTGGGGGGAGGCAGAAACCGGCTGCTGGGGTTCCTCAATCCTTGGAGGTGTTAACAGTGTTTGCTCCTGAGAAGGCGCAGGCTCATCATCTCGAGAAGATGTTTCCGGACGGTGGAACGATTCTAACGGCTTTGGGGGCTCTGCGTCATCCTCCATATCAGCCGGAGCATCAGGCAATGTGTCTGAATCCCGTCTCTTAGAGGATGTGACCACGGCTGATGCAGGCTCAATACCCAAGCCAACCAATTCGCGACCCATAACGCCTCGTTCCAAGTTCTCGGGTGGCGGTGTGCCTGCTTTCTGCGCCTCCGCCTTCTCTCTGCGATGTCGTTCCGCTCTGCGTGCTAACCGCCGGTCCATTCGCTCCTGATCCTGTTGTCGTCGTCTTTCCCTCCGGCGGTTGTCCCTCTCCATCAGTTCCCTCAGGTCCTTTGCATCGAGTTCGTTGGCAAGATCATCCATGCGCTTCCGCGAATCAAACTGATTTTCTTGTATAGGCTGTCGCTCTCCAAGTGGTTTCTTCAGTGACTCTGCTGCCCCTGAAGTAGTTCCCCTCGAGGTTGTATATCTCATGCTTGGGGTATATTTTAGTGTAGGCCGCGGAGCAAGCGAGTCCAGAGCCGATATCTTGTACGAGATGAAATCCGAATCTACTGACATGGCTGATGGTACAGAGTCAGGGTACGGCAAGGAAACCTGTGACGCCGGCACTTGCTGATGGCTCAGACCACCAGTTTTTGCCCTTTTTGTAGCTTGCTTGGAGTTGGAGCGAGCATGACCGTCCGCAGCCACCCGCGCCGGCATATAGGCGCTCATGGCCTTGATTTCAGCCTCTCTGTCATGGTCATCTCGTCTTCGCTTGCTGCTTTTTCGCCTCGTTGGATGCAAAGTTGGTGTACGTTCCCAAGCTACTCCAGATGCCTGTTCATTGTCTGGATTTGGTCTTGGCTGGTTTGCCGCTTCGGCATTGCGCCGTGCCCGGTCGATACGGATAGAGTCATGGCGACCGGGCGAAAAACTATAGGTTCGTGGTCGTCGCTGGAGCTTTGCCGGTTCTGTCCGTGCCTTCTTGGATGCGGTCTTTGCAGGGACAGCATCGGCCTGATTGCGAACCGGCGCGGCTTCGTTGTCGGAGAGGGCAGCGCCACTCCGAGAGCGTTTGCGAGTGCTCTTGCGTCGAAATGGCCAAAGGGCCATGGTGCCTTGGCTGCCCAAAACGACGTGATCTAGGTACGTGTGTGATGCTCGCTAGTTGAGGGTCACAAGTGTTGACGTGGTAATACTTCTAAACGGGTCTGGTATATCGACGTAGGGCATCGTGGTTGTATCGAAGCAGTCAACAGTCACAACTCATCAAGTGCCTGTAAAAACGCGCGGGGGTCCAGTGCGCAGCAGAGTGCAAATGCGCGGTCGGTGTGAAGGTGGTCAATGCTGAGACGCGCAGGATTTTGATCCGTCGAGGAAGAGGCGAAGAAATTCCGAGTTCCGTTTAAATATTTGGCTGAACGTGGGCACAGGCGCGTTGTATCCTCGACGTAACGCGTTCGGGTCCTGCATGGAAGAGCGTGCCTGGAAGATGTGCCGTCTGGTATGCAATGACGGGACTGATGGTATGGCGTTCCTGGCCTGCTCAAATGGTCCCTGCTGTGCAGTGCTGCGTGCTGCAACTGACGTGGTGGTGCCGTCGATGTCAGCTCAACTTGGAAGTATGGGGCTTCGGGTGGAATGTGTCGCCAGAATGAGTTTCTCAAAGACGAAGGGCTTGGGTAGCGGCTGAGAAGTGGCCTGCTTCTTCTTCGGGAAGGGGAGCCTAGAAGAAGAAGAAAGGCGCAAGCAAGTGTCGTCGGTAGCACGAGAGCAAATGAACAGGCTCTGCAGACCGGAAGATTTGTGAATACGAGGAGTCGTAAAATGCCCAGGTGGTCGAAGTAGACTGGTCTGTATTCTTGGGGCCCGACTGGATGGATGTATGGGGAACCGGGGCAAAAGTTGCAAGTGGTGGAGGAGACGAAAAATGGAAAAGAACGAAGACCACTCGAACGCCAAAGGGTGATGCGGGAGCGGGAAGGCTACATAAAGTATGACGGAGTAAGCTGCCTGGGCACTCAACACTCTATTATAAACTGCTCCGTACCCAGTAGTGGTAAATTGTCAGACTACGTACTTCTTTGGAACGAAATGGCGGCGATTCCCCCAGCCAGCATAATAAGAGTCAACCAGAGGTCCAACTGGCCGGCTGGGCCACATGGAATCCACAGCGAAGGGGTGCTCCGTATCGAAGTACTTCAGGAGTTGTCGATAGCATTCTACCAGACTGGACCGAAGTACCACGGATGCCTAGCACATGTCCCCAGTACTCCGTGCTCCGTTCCTCGTGCCGATTATCACTGTACAGGATACCAGCCAGTCGACATGAGTACACGCGCGATGCCACTGCCGGTCTGGTCGGTGGGCTGCTGGGCAGGGCTGCTGGGCCCGAGCCATAGTTCAAACCCTGCGCGCAAGAGCGGTGGGTGCCAGGCCGTCAGCTACTGTAAGTACATGGAGGCGACGGGCAGCAGGGCCAGAGGACAAGTGGTCGACATGATGCATAATGTACTTAAGTATGTACCGGGTACGGAGTACTCCAAGTGCCGCTCTGCGCTCCGATACCAGGCAATGTCGAGGGGTACATCCAAGACTTCTAAGGGAGGCAAACGAGGTCACCAGCCACCCGGTGGGTGGGCACTCGATGAAGTGGGCATCACCACAGCTTTTTGGCGGAACATGGGAACCTTAGATGTCAAGCCGTCCTTGGCGCCGTGGGTGCCCTTGTGGCTTCAGCCGAACATGACCTCGCACATCCCCGGTCCGCACTACCAACGACTCTCCCTGTGTGCGTGTACCAGACTCTACAATATTAATACGGAGCACCGCTGAAATTGTACCGAGTAAGTTCCCAAGAGACTACTAGGAAGATGGATGTTGAAACACCTGGAGACTGACCACGGCACTCCCTTCACCACCTTCGACCAAGTTTGTGTTCACAACCCGAAGTACGGAGTGGAAGAAGACATGAGGGGCAACGTCACCAGCTCCCTCATTATCAGCACACCGAACTGACCGCTGCGCGAAGCCACGATGCGATATAGCTCAAATGTATGTACAGCACCATCCCACATGCGGCAAAGGTGCTTTTCTGTCCTACGAGCACGGTCAACAACTCTAACCAGTGAGTTGGGCGGTGCGGGAAAAAGAAGCTTTTCGCCGGCGAATTGGCGCCTCCCAGATGGGTTCAACAGTGCTGAAGTGTCATGGCTTGGGCCAACATGGAGATGCCAAAAAAAAAGTATGCAGGACCAATGGCAGTCTGTCAGACTTGTGTGTCAATGGCTGCTCTCCGTCTGAAGCCCGCCAACGTGGACGGTGCTCAAGTGACGGAGGAACAGGGTACCAACCCTTGGGGATCCCCAGCTGCAAATCTTGAAGGTGAAGTACTCCGTACTTGCCCATCTTGTAGTGCACCCTTTAGCTCTTCAACCCAACGCAGCGCCTCCGCTCCGTCAAATCTTGAGAAGTTGTCTGCTTGTTGCGGGAGCATGGGTCCATCGTGTCCAACAACATTGAAGCCGTCGGCGTGCCAGGCGACATGGGATCGGCTGGCTGGTGGGCGGATAATGGCACGGTGCAGGCCTGGACCAGGGTATGACGGCCTAGCCGTCGGCACCCAGACAGCTACCCACTTGCCACTCAAGCTAGTCTGGTGCTAGTTGACCTCTTGGCAGAGACACCTCATCACCAAACCACCACCAAGATCGCTCGCTTGTTCTGGGGCAGTCGCTCCGAGGAGGGGAACAAGACGGCGACTCCAATGTCGCATGTCCGCCATTCTGCACAGGGATTTCTCTGCCCAACAGGCATCTCGGCGATGGGAAGACGATGTAGGGGGGGCGAGAACAGGGCGGGGAAAATCACAAGGGCAACAAGGCACTCAATTTAACGTGGGCAATGCATACGACCACACACAGACCAACACAGCTGCGAAAGGGAGACTGCAATATTAGCACCTGCTCAAAAAGTCTCAACACTATCGTATGCGCCCCCCAAGCGGACGTGTAGCAATCAAGTTCTTCCGATTCTGTTACTACCTACGGGGGACCATGGATTGATTGATTGGCTCAGCGGCTGCCAAATGACGGAAACGACGATGCTTCGTTGCGTCTGGATCCTCGATCCTGGCCCTTGGCCTCTGGCGAAGCTGGTTTGCAACCTTGTCACTGTCCCTCTCTCACGAGTATGCTGTCCTGGTCGCCCTCGATTGTGCTGCAGGCACTTTGCTGACAGCCACCGTGAGCGTCTTCAACTTGCTGTCTCCTGCAGGTGCAGCTGCATCCAACCCGGGCGCGCCAAGGGCTTCGCCGTCCCTGTCACGCATTGTACGGAGTAGATGAATGGCATCGTCGGCGTAAACTGTCGCACAATGCTCCGCCTCTACTCGGCCACCTCCAAGTCCTGGCCGATGAAGCTTGGAGCTCCTGGCTGTCTATTCTGGGAAGTCTATATCGGTACCGTCTTACCGCCGTGGCCTCTTTTGGAGCAGTGGGTGTTTCCCGGGACAGCATAATTAAAACAGCCGGCCCCAAAAGCGATTTTCCTTGCATGGTCTGCCAGGCTGTCGAGTATGTATGTACGCAGGTAGTGTGCTGTCAGCGTTGTATTTATTGTACCTGCAGACAGATGGTGCAACCCAGAGCTTTCACTTCTACAGCCTGACCGTCATCCACCGTCCACAACTGAAGATACAGGGTACGCCGGAAGACGGGCCAGGGCTTCGGTTCTTCGATTGCTTCCCAAAGTAGATTGACGGCTTGCATCATAATCTGGCGCGCCTCGAAGTAGCTCGTTTACGGTCCAAGAATCTGTGACTGGATATTTGCTTGGCGAACGCTGCTCAGATGGGAGCATTTGGGAAGCCGTCCAATAAGGTATGTAGAATGCCGCCTTCCGCCACAGTTCCTCGGCGTGATATCGTGCTCGACTGAATTAATGAATTTGAAGCTTTCCTGAGCAACAGCGAAGCACAGCACAGTCCAAAGTCTGCGCCAAGCGACGTACATAATTAAACCACAAGGCCAGAAGGAGCCACGGTTTGACGGTTCCGGCGCCTCCAAAGTTGTTTTCTCTGCTTGGTATTTCCCTTGATACGCAAGCCTAAGGTGTTCCACTAGCTGTGACACCCGCAGGGCACAAGCAATTGCCTTTTGTTGCAGAATCGCCATAAAAGGAAAACCAACAGAGGTAACCCCCTTTTATTGTTATTTTTTTTTCTTTTTTCCGTCTGGTGTTTTTGCTGGCTGTAATGCAGGGAAACCCTATTGAAAAATCTGTCCTGCCGAGGACTCTACGGAGTACATATGCAACCACGATTGCTTTTTGCTGTGGGAGCTTCCGTCTTGAAACAGGGTCGATGAATCGACGAACTCTGTGTCGCCTGGCTGTGATTCAGGTGGTGTCTCGACCACGAATACGGGGATTCTGGCACTCCTGTGTCCCCAGCAGTCCAGTCTGGTATTAGACTTGAAGGGTTGATTGCTTTCCCCTTTGTCCGAATTTCAAGGGCAGTCACGGCTCCTCGCATTGATTCCCTTGATTCCTGAGCACTCTGTATCTCCAGATGTCGCCTCCGAGACTGACACCACTCCTGTATTCGCTCTATGCATGCGCGCCGAGGCTTTACACTTGTGACATTGTTGCCGTTAGGACGAAGTATCAGTACAAGTCCTTATGCGCGCTGCTTCGTATCGTCGTAGCTACCTTTTCGAAGTGCCCCGCAGTGGTTCCTTCCCTGTTCGTATTGACAATGGTGCTTGGGCACAGAAGTAGAAACTGCAGGGCAAAGCCGTTCAGAGGAGGGAGCGAAAGCCTAATATTGCAGCAATCCGCCCTTCTTTCTTATTAATTTGCCAAAATCTGCATGGATGAAGGAGCTGGGCCCATCTCCAAGCAACCCAAATCGGTCCCGGCGATGTTTTCGAGAGACTGTCCATTGGACACTTGGGGCCAGCCCAGAGTCGTATTGGCAATCCCGCAGCTAATGGGTCTCTCATTTTTTGTCCTTTCTATTTCTTCCTTGCACATTCTATGCACAGTCGAATACAAAACAAAATGCAACGGCCAGTGGGAAGGGGAGGAGTTGACCGTCCCGAACATGGAAGATCCTGGCTGCCATCAGGTGTCGTCATTGTCGTCGCCGTGAGTGGCTGCCTCTTCGACACTTTTTGCGGCTTTGCCAAATCTGGTGGCTGGCCAAGCTGGTCACCAGTGGTGTTGGCGTGGTGGCCAGGACGTCATGGCGGGGATGTTGCATAACCTTGAGTCAAAACCTGTTCCCCCCCAGCACGCTGTGTGTCGTTTGCCGTTTCTAATTCTGTGTGCACATCTGCTTTGCGGCGAGGAAATCGAAGGCGAACGCGGACGGCTTCCTCCAGCAAAGAGGTGGTTGGGGGTGCCAGCTTCTGCCCATTGATCGAGACGGGCTTTGCTCTACAACACCAGGCTGGTAGAACCATAACCAGGTATAATTTCCTGTATTCTCGGAGCATATTCTTTCGAGACCCCTGTCGACATAACAGAGCTTTTCTTTTCTAGAGATGCAAACAGGATTGGCGTTTGCTCAGCCGCAGTAAGTTGTGCACTCACACAGGCGGTTTATCGAAGCGCAAACGTCGTTACCTGAACTCAAGGTCAAGCTCGGCGCGTGACTGGTGCACGGGCAGAGTGGTCATTACGGAGTACTGAGATTGCGAAAAACCATCAACTGATTGATGGTGGCTTGGAGGCCTTCCAAGGGTGGCTGGAACCTCTTTTCTGTCTTTTGAGTTGTCATGGCCCGATATTTGACCAGCCTCCCGTATGTAACCCGGACTCTTCAAAGGAGTGCGCAAGAGCAGTGGATACTTTTGTATTGATGTCTATGGAGTGCACAATCACACCGGAGCATTCTCACCAGCATTACCAAATCTCCCAGAGCTGCAAGCGGTTCCGACAGTCCTTGGACGCACAGACGCTACACGACGTGCGGCTTCAATGCGGTCACTTTCTAAAATAAGATGAAATAAAATAAAAGCACGCCTTTGTGTGAGGACTGAGCCGTGAACGCAAATGTGAGTCTTATGCACAAGTTTGCCTGGTACTCTATGTCGTCACTCAATCACGTCCCACTCCACAAGAGTGAGGACTTGGACCAACCCGAATACACCATATGACAACCTACCTAGTACTAGTTGTAAGAGACAATCAAGGGGTTTATGCGCCCAACGGAATGTGCCTGAATACAGCATTCTGCCAACGATTATTTGTATCCCTCTTCTCCTTGAGAACAACACCAATCACTCTAGTCGGGATCGAAACGGGAAATGTCCAGGCGTCATGCCTCAGCCGAAATGCGGACATCAACCGTTTTTGACCCACCAGACCGTCCGTCAATGCGGGGGATGATGCCCGCGGCGACCCGATTCAATGTTCCCCAGTCATCCAGACGTCGTGTCAATGACTTGGACAATCTTGTTACATCGTCTTCATGCCAGGACTAGCTCCTTCATCGACTAGGTCAGAAATCTTCGCAACCTACTGGAAAAGACGTCGCCTGTGTCTCCATCGGGATACTTTTTGAGCACATCGAACTTTACAGAGTGCAGACATGACAAATGCCATTGTGGTCGTTGGGTAAGCCGGAGTTCCTAACCCCGAGTGATCATATCAACGAGCAATACATGTTGAATCAAGAAAAAAAGCGCCGGTGTGAGTGGTCTCACCACGGCGCTCTTGTTGTCCAAGAGCAACGCCAACGTGGTGACGATTATTGCGAAGCATATGCCTGGAGACTATGATATTGAGTACGCGTCTCCGTGGGCGGGAGCAAACTTTTTGCCGTGAGTAGCAAGTTATCCCATCGCAAGCCATCGTCACGCGCCGAAACGGTATAATGGTATCGTTTGTGTACTGATACTGCTACAGTATGTCAACTAGAGAGAACAGCCGGTGGGAGAGACGAACCTGGCCCGAAATAAAACGGATCACGGAAGAGGTCCCTGAAGCCGGCATCCATTTCCAAAGTAAGCCACATGCGTCAGACAAAGACATGATGCTACAAGAGGAAGTCATTCCTAATTTGCTAAACTCTTTTTACTACTAGCGTCACGCATTTTCAGACGAGACAAAGACATGGAAGGCCCATCGTGCCCGTCGGACCCCATGTTTGACCATGACCCGTGGTTTCAGTCCGTCCTTCCGGATTATAAGGAACTAGACGCCGCAAGCCTCCCGGCCGGGCACGACAGCGGCTGCGAATTCACCAGCGTGTGTATCAACACGGCCATGTACCTCCAATGGCTAGTAGGACAGTGCATCAAAAATGGCGTCGTGTTGAAACGCGCCGTCATATCACACATCCGCGAGGCCAAGAACTACAGCCATACCGGCAAACCCGCAGACATCATCGTGAACGCGACCGGCCTGGGCTCCCTCAAGCTCGGCGGCGTCGAGGACCAGGCCATGGCTCCATCGCGGGGCCAGATCATCCTCGTCCGCAACGAACTGCACCCCATGATCACCACGTCCGGCACAGAAGAAGGTCTCCCCGAGATCCTGTACACGATGCAGCGCCCCGCGGGTGGTGGCACCATTCTAGGGGGAACCTATGACATTGGCAACTGGGAGTCTGTGCCGGACCCCAACATCGCGCTGCGCATAATGCGTCGCGTGGTGGAAGTGTGTCCCGAAATTGCGGGCGGCAAGGGCATCGACGGCCTGAGTGTCATCAGGCACGGTGCCGGTTTGAGGCCGTATAGGAAGACGGGCGTCCGGGTAGAAAGAGGGAAACTGGACGATGGGACTCACATTGTTCACAACTACGGACACGCGGGTTGGGGTTATCAGGGTTCGTATGGATGTGCCGAGGGCGTGGTCGAGTTGGTGAACGCAATCAGAGAGGAGAACGGGGAGAGTCTAGTGACGGAGCCCAAGCTCTTTTCGTGGGATAATTGAGCTCGTCACGAACAAGTATATGTTCTTCAATGATCTATTACTGTGCACGATATTATTCTCCCCCATTGATTTTTTTTACAGAGCATCATGTTGGATAGCATGTACTAGTTGTATGTACACCCACTGTAGCTTGTAGTCCGTAATGGTGCAACTCATCCCACCAGACCCAATTCGATCCTTAGCCCGCCAATCAGCGGCCCGCGTTCCCGAAGCTCCAAAAACCGCCCAAATTATGTAAATGCCACGCGATCCTGAGCAGCTGCACGACAATAAATTGCCGTGCATCCTCCAACCTCACCCAGGAACCGCCTTCCGCCAGCGGCACAATGGCGCCTCACGAGCCTCCGCACAAGCAAGCCCTCCGCTTCGCGCTCGACGTCGCCAACGGCCGCCATGCATTGTCCAAGCTCGTCCCCCTCGTGCTGTGGCTCGCAGACGCCGTGCTCTGTGGCCTGGTCATCTGGAAAGTACCATGTACGTTGTGAAAGCGCATAGACGAAACCCCTCCCGTTCCTTCTCATCGCCGGGCAAGCTTATCTGATTCTTCTTGCTCGTCCTTGTTCCGCGCCAGATACCGAAATCGACTGGGTGGCCTACATGGAGCAGGTTGCGCAATTCGTCGCCGGCGAACGAGACTATACCAAGATGGAGGGAGGCACGGGGCCGCTGGTGTATCCGGCTGCCCACGTCTACGTGTACACGGGGCTCTATTACCTGACGGATCGCGGCAAGAATGTTCTGCTGGCGCAGCAGACTTTTGCGGTGCTCTACATGGCTACTTTGGCTGTGGTCATGCTGTGCTACTGGAAGGCCAAGGTGGGTTTTTGCTCTACGACAAGCTGTGCTTTCTTTTCCGTTCCCTCTTTTTTAATCGACTGCAAAACTAAACGGAAACATCAAGGTCCCGCCGTACATCTTCCCGTTGTTGATTCTGTCCAAGCGGCTGCATAGCGTTTTCCTTCTCCGATGCTTCAATGATTGCTTCGCCGCGTTCTTCATGTGGCTGGCTATATTCTTTTTCCAGAGGCGGCAGTGGACGATGGGCAGCATAGCGTACAGCTGGGGGCTGGGGATCAAGATGTCACTGTTGCTCTCGCTGCCGGCTGTCGGCATAGTGCTGTTCCTGGGCCGGGGCTTTGGTGGGAGTCTGCGGCTTGCGTGGCTCATGGCTCAGGTGCAGCTTGTCATTGCGCTTCCATTCGTGGCCAAGAATTGGCGGGGTTATTTGGGCAGGGCGTTTGAGCTCTCGAGGCAGTTCAAGTTTGAATGGACCGTCAATTGGCGCATGATGGGGGAAGAATTGTTTCTCAGTAAACAGTTTGCCACGGTTCTACTTGTCCTGCACGCCCTGGTACTCTTGATCTTTGTCACTTCTCGGTGGCTGCAGCCGGCTCGTCGATCATTGGTATCATTGATTTCTCCTATGCTTCGCGGCCGGTCCCCTTTTACTCCGGCCGAGGAACTTGCAGTTTCCAGCCGAGTCACCCCCGACTACATCATGACCACGATCCTCTCGGCCAATGTTGTCGGGCTGCTTTTTGCCAGGTCGCTGCACTACCAGTTCTATGCGTATCTGGCCTGGGCCACTCCGTATTTGCTGTGGAAGGCTTGGCCGTATACCCCCGTGGTTTACTTGTTGTGGGCAGTTCAAGAAGCGGCGTGGAATACCTTTCCCAGCACAGACCTCAGCTCAACAATTGTAGTGAACGTGCTTCTGATGACGGTGGTGCTGGTCTATTTCGGCACTTTGAAGCCCGTCAGGTCGGGGGAGCGGAAAAAGGCAAAGGCTTCAAAAAAGAATAGGTGATATTGTTGTTGTTGATGATGTTGTTGCCTTTCTTCAGCAGCGGAGACGTCATGAATCAAAATTTGCGGACATGGCTTCATTCTTCTTCCGAATCGCTCGACGGCATCTGTCCAACAGTAGAGTCGTCTTCGTCACTGAGATCGCGGTTGTTTTTGGTGAATTCTTCGGGCCTAGATGATGTGAAAACCATGGTCAGTGGCCGCACAGGTTCCCAGGGCTCTCGAGCAGCCTCGTCTCTTCGTACCAATATGGCTGCTTTCGCCAAAGCTTCTCGTCTCGAACTACATTCACAATCTCGCCATCAGCGCGGGTATCCCCGGAGCCTTGTTCATATCGCTCGCCCAAGACATAGCCGCCCCGTTTGATCCAGATGGTATTGCGGAAGCGCTGTGCAAGCTCGAGCAACACCGTCTTGCGGTTGGGCAACTCGCAGGTGTACAGGTTGTTTCCTTGGGGCTTGACGACGCGGACGACAGATTGACTGGGATCGAGGGTGGCAGGGGGTGTTAAAGTCTCCTCGGCAGCGGCGAGCACGTTGCGCTTCGGTTTGCCCATGGCTGCGGTTTACTGTGTGGCTATTTGAGTGAATGTCAACCGAGGTCTGGTGGTGAGACACTAAAAAATACGAAAAGGAAAAAAAAAAACATTTGAACTTTTGGTGGACCAACACAGTGGTGGTAGGGTCCAGCAGCGGAATGTTGCACAACGGGAGCACTGAGGGGCTGAGGGGCTGAGGGGTACATATGTAGCTTCCAACCGCCGACCTAGTAGGTCACTAGCGCCTAACCCTGGGCTACCAGACAACATCCAGATGTCCGCCTGGTCCAGTTGTCTGCTTCCGTGTTTCTTCGGAATTTCCTTATTGGGCCGTCCTGTCCCAATGGTGTTGGTCAATACCACGGCTCTTCTGTTGGATGGTGTGCTGCCCAATGTTTGCAGTTAGGCCTGAATATATGTAATGCCAGCGACGGCAAATATTGGATGCGGTGTAACTATTATATGATCATTATAGCAAGAGTCGACGCTGCTTCTGCTGTCATGACCACAACGCCAACTTCTCAACAATTCGCCAAAGAACAGCAGCACATGGCAACAAGTACGGCAACGGCCCGCCAGTCCGATCCGCTGCGACCAGGAGGGCCTTTTCTTAACCCAAAACCTACTACTCCGTATTTCCAATCAATAGCTGTCCAGGCCAGCGGCTCTCTCTGTCCAGCTGACGCGCAGAGCCTTCAACCGGCGCCGATAGCCGGCGCCCTTGGAACCACGGCCCGCAGCCATCATGTAATAAAATCGGACGGAGACTCTATGCAGCAACAGCTAATGGGCCGTGTTCTTCAGTGCGCTGAATACACCAAAGTACATTGCACCACCCAAACTTAGCTATTCCGACGTGCTTAGAAATGCTCCTGTTGGTCACGATCTCAAAGGGGGGGGGGGCAAGATAGGTTGACCAGTCGTTAGTCCGGTTACTTATATCGCACCCTGTTCTCCAAAAGCCCAAGTGTTCAATCAATGCCCATCATATAAATGACAACTTCTGCAGTTGGACCAGGTCTATTTATTATCCCGGATAGTAAGTAAAAAAAAAATCATAAAAACTGCGACAATTGTCGTGCCAACACCAGCGCCATCATGGACGCGACCATGTTGCGGTCCCTGGTCGAGCTTCAGCCTGCTTCCAACCAAGCAGACTCGGAAAGCGTCGCTCCCCTCACCACGCCCCGGAGAGTGGTCCAGAGAACATATCCCGGGGCGCCAACCCAGGAGAATGCCTCGATTGCGCTTCACAGTCCGCCCGGCCACGGCGGCGAGTACATTCCCAACACACCGCGGACAGAGGCGGCCGCGGACGACTTGGAGATGCGCAGGCCTGCTTCGCCTGGTCCCACGGCGGACGCGGTAGATGCCGTCATGAGCGTGTGGGATCCGTCCATGAACCGCTTCAGGCTGCTGTCCTTGTGCCTGTGCAGTCTGGGCGATGGCTTGAGCGACAGCGCTGCCGGTGCCTTGATTCCCTACATGGAGACGTATGTGCCCTCTCCTATTCTTCTACTCGGGGGATCTTCGCGCTGACCACGTATCGGACGGATACGCAAAATACAGATACTACGAGATTGGGTATGGCGTCGTCTCGCTCATCTTTGTCGGCCAGGCGCTGGGCTTTGTTGCCGCCGCCGTGGTCCTCGACACGATGCGCGCCAGGCTCGGCCGGGCAAGGCTGCTCGCCGTGTCGCAGGCCTGCATGGCCCTGGGGTACGTGCCGCTCGTGGCGACGGGGCCCTTTGTGCTCGTCATCCTGGCCTTCTTCCTGGTCGGCTTCGGGCTGGCCATCAATGTCGCCGTGGGGAATACCTTTTGCGGCGCGCTGCAGAACGGCACGCTGGTCCTGGGCCTCTTGCACGGCACGTATGGCATCGGCGGCATCTCCGGGCCCCTGGTGGCCACTGCGCTCGTGGCCGTGGCCGGCGCCATCTGGAGCAGGTACTACATCGTCACCCTCGGCGTGGTGTTGCTGTCTCTCGCCGTGGCCCTCTGGTCGTTCTGGTCGTTTGAGAAGGAGCAGAGTCCTGCCGCCAGAGCCCGCGAGGCCCAGCCCGACGGGACGTTTCTGATGGGCATGTTGTCTGCCCTCAAGCTGCGCGTGGTGCTCCTCGGTGCCATCTTCATCTTCGCCTACCAGGGGGCCGAGGTGTCCATCTCCGGCTGGGTGATTTCCTTCCTCATCAACGTTCGCGACGGCGACCCATCGTCGGTGGGTTACGTCTCGTCCGGCTTCTGGGCTGGCATCACGGCAGGACGCTTCTTCCTCTCGGGGCCTGCTCAGCGCATCGGCGAGAAGAGGTTCGTCTACGGGCTGGTCGTCGGGGCGATTGCGTTCCAGATACTCGTGTGGCTCGTTCCAAACATTGTTGGAAACGCCGTGGCGGTTTCCATCGTTGGCCTTCTCTTGGGGCCTGTGTATCCGTGCTCGGCGGCAGTCTTCATGCGCGCCATGTCCCATAGGGATGCACTCAGTGGCATGGGAACGATTAGTGCCTGCGGGAGCTTGGGAGGCGCCGTCGCCCCCTTCTTCACTGGTATGCTGGCGCAGGCGGTTGGGACGTATGTGCTTCATCCGATTGTTATCGGGTTGTTTGTGGTCATGTTGCTGTGCTGGTATGCGATGCCAGTTGACGAGAAGAGGTCAGACTAAGAACTGGCGTTACGGACGGCTGCTAAGGCGTGGCTCCATGCTGAAAAGTTGTGCTTGATTTGTTGGGTTTGCAACGTGAAAGATGCTTGGGATGAATAGTTACTGGGCATACAAGACGTTGCTAATGTACTTTGGATCCTTCGGATCATATATTGGATATCTATATTGTTCTATCATTCTCAAATACAAACGTGACAAATCTAGGTATTCTAGTACCTTGCGCAAGGAAACTGCCTCTGCTGAATTCAAAGTCATTCCACAAGTTGAAAACCAAACAATTCTATCCTTCTTTACCGTCGTGACCACAAAATCGTCAAATGTCATGCAAGTTCTATATTTTGTCTGTCTATTTTCTCTCTTCGACTTGGCGAAACGTGTCTGAAAGTCGAGTGTTGCTCACAATCGGCCCTTGGCAGCGTCTTGAACGGTAATCTTCCCAGCTGCTATATCCTTGACAGTCTGGGTAATGCTAGTCCAGTCTTTGAACGTGACAAAAGGGACCTTTTCGTTCTCGCACCAGGTGACAAGATCTAATATCAATTTTTCGTTAGCAATTATTTTCCAAGGCCGGTATTATTGGAAATCAAGCACCTTTGCCAGCCTTTGCAAAAAGCAAATCGGTTTCCTTGGCAGCAGACAAATCCGAGACACCATCACCGGCGTAAAACATGGTGGGACGGTTAGGCAAGGATGAGTATTTGCGGATCTCGATGGACTTGTCGTGGCCGTGAATGCTGGTTCAATCAGTTTAGTTCATCAACTCGTCGTTCAGGGATCTCTACACAGGCGCGAGCTTACCTGTCGTCATGAAATTCAATTCTCCATCCGCCCTTGTCGTTGATTGTCTTGCCCTCTCTAGGCCGCACGTCGTTGCTGACAATTTGAATGTCCCAGCCAGGTCCCAGTAACTTGTCCAGCAAGGCGCGAATGATGGGCGTCATACCGCCACTCAGAATGACAATCGGGACGTTATTCTCCCGCGACCAATCGTAAAACTCCTTGAACCCTGGGTCAAGGGTGATGTTTTTCAGCAAGATGTCGATGCATTCGTTGTAAGGGGTGGTGATGCTATCCAGCATCTCCTGGAACGAGTCGCGGAAGTTCATCTTGCCCGTCAGCACATCCTTGTTCCCCTGGCGGCGCTTTTCTGCACCGTAGCCAAGATTGTCCGTCATGTAGTCATTGGAGTCGGCAGTGGTGACGGTGCCGTCGAAATCAGTAAAGAAGATGAACTTGGGGTTTGTGGCGAGCGCCGGGGTTTCGGTGTTGACGGAGCCCATTGTGATGGTTGTGAAGGAGACGATTGGTCAAAGAAGGTCAATGGCTTCTTTGATTTGTGAATTCGTAGATATCGTGGCACAGTGAGTCTCTTGCGCGTAAATCGGAGGCTCGACGGAGCGTCGACAAAGGGCCAAACGAGGAGGGGCACGTAGATTGCTCGGAGGGGTCAAAATCAAGATGCAAGAAATGAGTTGAGAAACCAAGACTTCAGAAGGCCGATAAGGACATCAATTGATAAGACACATGCCGAAAGTACTCTTGTGCCCATTAGTGATAGGAACCAAGACCCATTAAAAACTCATCTCCTACCAGAACAAGAGCCCTCAAAAGATTTTTGCGGCTTATGTGACTGGTCCGTCTTCGCCATGTGCACCTGGTGCCTCTGGAGAGCAAGGAGCACCGCCCCGGAATGTCGTCATGGAGGGGCGGCGTGGGCGTTGGCTGGCCCCGAGAGTCGCTGCGGGAGGTCATGTCGGGCCCCACTGAAGCCGGTCCCCTGCAGGACCGTCCACACCGCTAGCACTCTAGCGACAGCCAGCAACCGCCAGTTGGGCCGCTGTGCCGAAGCTCGGTCCTGAGCCGTTTCTCCCCGAAGGCGGTCAGGAACCGATGCCCTGAGATGGTGGGCGTTTTTGGAACGGCAGAAAGCGATCGTTGACCCCCGGCGTATTCTGGACACCAAAGCCCGGACAGTTCAATGCCCTGAAAATTACTTCCTGTGACATCAACAGATAAACAACACCATCCGGTGCTGCATTTCGATAGAGCCGCGCGTGATGCAGCCGTTTGGCGGCCCAATGGGCCGAGTAGCCTGGGCTGGTAGCCGGCGTATCTTTCGGCAGGACGCCATAGTCTTCGCCAGGAAAACAGCTCAACGGCAGAGCTTGCTGAGTAGGAGAACGGCTACCGACCTGCAGTGCAGCACACAAGGCATATTTTCACAATCACGGCTCTTCTCCTCGCACGACCCGCCGAAACAAACTGAGCCAGTATCCAGTCCGAAAAATGACTCGGAAACAAACCCTCGTGATCCGGCAAAGTCCGCAAATGGCCCCAACTCATCAGCGGCAGAGCTACCTTCAGTAACGGACAGCCGTCGCAGCGACCTGAGTCAAAAGTTTGGCCAGACCATGGATAATCTTCAAGCACGAGCCCTCACAGCCTCGCAGACTCTCAATGACATCACCGGGTACTCCTCCATCGAGGGTATAAAGAGGGAGAATGATGCGTTGGAAGTGCAATTAGCCGAGGCACATGCCAGGGTTCGAAATGCGCGTCAAGCATACAAGACGTCCAACACGAAACGAGCGACCACGCAACGAGAAGTCACGACCTTGCTCGCTCGAAAGGACACCTGGTCTCCAGCCGATCTAGAGCGATTCACAGAATTATACAGGACAGACCACGTTTTAGAGGGAGAGGTGTCTGGCGCCCAGGAGGCTTTGACGGAAGCCGAAGCCGAGGAGCAAAGCCTGAGCCAGCGTCTCAACGCGGGGATACTGAAGCGCTACCACGAGGAGCAGATTTGGAGCGACAGAATCCGACGGGCAAGCACATGGGGCACATGGGGCCTGATGGGCATGAACTTTGTCCTATTTGTCGTGCTGCAGTTCTTTGCCGAGCCTTGGCGGCGAAGACGCCTTGTCAAGGGCGTAGTCGAGGAAGAGAAGCGCGTGTTGGAAGAGGTCCGGGGCGAACTCGAAGCTGTCAAGTTGTCCCTAGCCAAGAAGGAGGAGGAGGCTGTCCCCCGGCCGATGGAAGATTCGTTGGCGGCGGCACCCGCGGAGCCAGAGGTTACCACTACTCCGTCGGCGGAGGTTTCTTGGAAGGAGTTCATCACCGATCCGGCTCGTTGGCGCGCTGCTGCGGCTGACTTGGTCAGCGAGAGGCGGGTTGACTTGCGGATGAAGGACGCTTCTGCGTTGGCACTACAAGGCGCGGCGATGGGAGCAGCGGTGGCAGGCAGTGCGGTGATGCTGCTGGTGAGAAGGACATGATGTATTTGAAAGAGCGTGCATACCTAGTCTTCTGTGCTAGATCTGAACATTGTACTATATGACGGAGGGGAATCTCAATTAAAAACAAGATCTTGGAAGTACTTGGAAACCCACTGTCTGCAGCGTTGGATCGCCATCATGTGAGCTCAAGTGCTGTGTTGATGAGTATTTGGCAAGCTATTAGAAACAAAAATGTGAAATCCGGACGCAAGGGCTCATTCTGCCCGAGTAGGACGACGAGGGACGATGTCGTCAAGTTCTTTGTCATCGCCCTTCCCCAATTCTCGCATCCTCATCTTGCGTCATAGCCAACAATGACGTCTCGGTAGTGCAGATGTCCTCTTTTTTTTTTTTCCTTTTTACGAAAATAGGCCTCCTACCTCAGTTTGGTTCCACCCAAGTCCGGGTCCTAAATCAGGGGTCTTCTTGGCAGCCAAGAGCACGGTTCCAGAAGGACAAAAAATAACCAGACCAGACGCGACATGGGACCCTCAACGTGGGAACCTTGAATTAATGGGGGCGTTGTGGCGCATTCTTGACTCCCTCACAGCCCTGCACTGCCCCCCTACTCTGTGCGTTGACCAAACCCCCCGTGAGCTTGGAGAAATGCAACGTTTGAAAGGCACAAAATCCGCGCTTCCACTTAAAGTTTCAGTTGTAATACGAACCGCTCACGTGGGGAATTGCCGAGAGCTCACCTCCCCCATGGCGTCACTGCAAAGACCGTTGCAAAGATTCCTGCACAAATCGTCGTTACGCGGAAGCGCGGTAAAGGCCTGGCGCATTGATTGGCTTGTTACAGAATCTGTATCTGTATCTGCTAGATATACTGCGTATGTATAGTAAGGATACCTTTCGGCATCTGGTTTCCGATGGGTAACTGGGTATCTCGTAATACTGGGCTAGCCGGTACTCCTTGGTGTTGATGCGAACAGCTATTAACTATACCTTGCTGGAGACTGCGTCCGACACTTTACTACCACTGCATTTCTGGCCCCGTCACAACTCGCCCTTTGCTATCAATGCGATATCTGACACTTGAGCCAGGTGGGGATTTTCGGCATGAGACTCAAAAGCGCACCACCGCCGTTGGGCAGCAGGTCAAGTCCAGCCGCGGCCATGCAAGGTATGTCTGACTGTAAACGGAACAACGGACTGAACGGGGCAAAAGCTTGTGACGAAGGTCTGGTGTGTAGTTTTGTATGTATATTGAGCTGTACAGCACTCCGTAAACACTCGAGTCCCCAGAGGAGAGGGATCAGTCGAGCCTGGGAGCTCTACCGCGTTTCCGAGACCGGTTTTGGCCTGTTTCAAACAGTGCATTGGACGCACGGTAGCCGTTGGACCGTTGGGGGCACGGGATGGCTCTCACGGGGTGATAAAGAAGCTGCGGAGCAAGAGCCTGTGATGTTAGTATTACTACCTGGGGACTTGGGCGTCGCTATCGTGGCCGTTGTGGCAGGAGGATGGCAACGACTGCCTACAATACCATGATGCTCGAGTACCTAGGTCGGTTGGCAACTTGGTCAAGTCGAAGCAACCGCGCAACCCCAAGGTCGGACAGGGATCCTGCTGAGTTGAACGGGGCTGTAAAACACCCGACATGGAAACAGATCAGCACATGAGACCATTGAGACAACAATCAACAACGAAACTGGACATGGTTGACTGTGGATGTGGAAGGACGAGTTGCACCCCCGCCGCCCGCCCGCACAGCCCAGGCAGTGCCCACTTGATCTGTCTGGTCCTACTAGGCCTAGGCTAGGTACCTAAAGCAGGCACTCGGAGCCAATATTGACCAGACATGGACCAGACAGTCAACAAGTCCTACCGGCTGTGCTGTTGAGCCTGGCAGCACCAGACTGCACCGGGTTGGAGGGGAGCGGGCAGTTGGCCAGTTGACCAGTTGACAAGTCAACACGGACATGGACATGGAGCCTCCCCAAGCTGGCCGCCTTATTAGTCTGGAAGTGCTTGAACCGCCCCTCCCGTCACGTCGTCACTGACGACATCTTTCCCACCACCACAAAACAACCCACTTCTGCTTTTAAACCCCGTCCCTTCTGATCTCGAGCCGTGTGTCGTGGACTCGTGGGTATCTCGGCAGGGCTCCATCTCCCATTTCTGCCCGCCGTCGCCGACTTCATTATTACCTCCTCCCGTCGAGAAGCCCTCCATCGTTTTCCTATAAAACACCTATCGGTCGTCTCTCCGGTGCTGCGAGGCCAGTCCCCTCTTTTTTTCATCTTTTTTTTCGCCCGCTGCATTGTTGCTTGCTAGCGGTGGCTGCGGCTCATCGTCCACCGTCCACGTCCCCCAGCCTCGACCTCGACCTTCACCAAGCTGCATTCCCACTGCTCGTCCAGCGCGAACGCATCGCGCCACACCTACTGCCCGCCATGACCGAAGACGAAAAGAAAATCCAAGACATCTACAAGAAGATTGAGCGCGAGAAAAACATCATCAATGCCGCCCAGGCTATGCGCTCGCAGACCACCAATGAGGCCGTTCGTTCCCGACTCGACACCCAACTGAGAGACGGCCGGCGGAATCTGCAGTTCTTCGAGGAGAAGCTCAGAGATATCCAAATGCGACAGGTCAATCAGGACATGGGCAATGTCTCTCTCGGCGCTGGCGCTGGTGCTGACGATGGCGGCCCTCCTCCTCCCCCGCCCAAGGACCCCTCAGCTGCTTGGGGAGGAGACCAAGGCGGTTACGGCACTGCTCAGTACAGCCAGGGTGGCCAACATGGCGATTTGATGCCTCCTCGTCATCCCTATGCTCCTCCCGGGCCTGGAGCTGGCATGCCCAAATCCAGACCGAATTTCACAAAACTAGGTGTGTATATATTCTCCCATCAGCCCCAAATGGCAAATCGACACAGACGTACCCCCCGCCATCCCCGCAGCGCCCAAATCGTGACATGATATTCTCTCTGACGCATCGCCAAAACAATATATAGATCTGATCAAATATGACACGCCCTATCTCGGTCCTCGTAT